AAGCGGGGATTGAGTTGAGAAGAAGGGTAAGTTTCCCTATTCCCCGCTTGGCTGCTATAAAAGGAAATGTACTGTACAGTTCATAGCGTGACTATGGGTAGAAGCCGAGCATGTTCCCGCGATGCGGAAAAGGTGTCACATGGGTTAAGGCGAGTTGCTCGCCTTGACCCACGTGATTTTTCCCACAGGTTCGCATGCGGGCTGTAGTTGTGAAAGATGGGAGGATGAGGGAAGTGGGGGGAGGTTAGGGAAGGTGGTTCTGGGGTTGTATGGTCAGGTGTGGTTGCCCTGACATTGGGTGCCCTGACAGTGGGGTCAGGGGCCGATCCCTGACAGCAGGGCGAGCAAGTAGAGATGGCAGTGGTGGGGTGTTAGTCATGTACGCAAGTGAGGATCTCCAAGTCATACCTGCAGAGCACCAGGATTTGAAGATGTATATCCCATCAAATGCAAAGGCCCTCACAGCAGCAAAGATTGAGCGGTCTGATAAGGTCCAAGCCATGACACAGCCCGCACTAGTCGAGTTCTTGAATCCTCACCACAGCAAATGTCCCCACATCGTGCTATGCCATTACTTTGGTGATGAGTTCAAGAAAGTCACACACTGCTGTGAGCAGTGTGACCCTGGGCCTCTCCAATCCCACCTTGCAACCGTTAGAGACTACATGGCAGTCATTGCCGGAAGAAACCCAAAAAGGGGCAAGCAGGTCAGCCACTTACCAGGAGAGAATTTCCGCAAGCCACCCAAGGACCTTCGCAAGTGCGCAAGGGGTGAGCTGCTGCATTGGAGGGATGACATCTGGAGGAAGCGTCCATTCAGTTTTGACTCTCCTGACGATATCTCACCTGAATTTATTGTTGGAGAGTGTGACATTCGCAGCCTTGCAGAACGGCTACATACAGTGTCCACATGCGATCGGCTTAATTTTGTGGTCAATGGCTGGATATCGATTGTTCCCTTGTCTGAGGCCGAAAAAGATGAACTATGGGCCAAGGTTCAGGCATTGAACACGGAATTACAAGGAATCATCATTAGGCATCGGGAGGCAGAGGCACAGAAAAAGAAGAAGACAGCAAAGCGGAAGCTAATACCAGGCAAGCTCTTGACTCCTCACACAAGCGATGTTGCCGGTACAGCAATAGACAGTGGTGGGCTGTTGGAAGCAACAACTTCCAAGGAGCAGGAGCACACAGGTGGAGAGGGAACGACAACTGTTGAGCTGGGGGAGGAAGGGAGATCAAAGTGCAAGAGAGTTAGGTCAGTGCGCAGGCTATTAATGGATGAGGCAACACAATTAGAACAGCAGGCATGTACACAGGAGAGAAAGTCATGCACAGATTTCTAGATTGGGTACTTACCTGTCAAACGACATGCTTATCCAGAAAGTTGTTCAGTGCACTATCTCGAAGTTTGGCATAGCCGCACGAGAGTGCATCAATTGCCAAGTAAGATTGTGATTGGTTTGGACGATAGAGATGGTGTTGCTGGACTAAGTATGAGTGACCCAGCAAGTTGATGTCTGCTGTCAGTTCAGCATCTGTTCGGCTTGAAATGGTTTGGTGAAGACCCAGCCGCTCCTTGATTGTGTTCGCTAGTTGACCAAGTGGCACGACATTCAAGGAGACGGCCTCACGGATGAATTTTGAATCAAATCTCGCCAAGCGCCCATTGTGTACATGCTTGATGGCAAGGTTGTGGTGCTCCTGAAGTAGGTCTCTCTCCTTTTGCCCTCCAAGAAGCCCTGATACATTTAGAATGTACCAGTCAAACACTGCTTTCTTTGTCGCCTCAGTGAAATTGAACCATAAGTCAAGGGCTTGATGTAAAAGCTCGTGACCATAATTGCTTGCCCCGATGCCAAAGAACCACACACGCAGCCACTGTGATTTGGTTAGTACAGCATAAACTTAAACTTAAATTTCAACTATGCTCACCTTAATCACTTCAAATGTTCGACCTATGTCTCCTTCCTTCACGCTAGTCTTGAACTCCCAGTACTGAAGGAGATCTCGCCATAGGAACACATTGTTGTGCATCAAGGTGTCACCGATTCCATTGTTTGGCATCTCAAAGGTGAGATTTTCGTCCTCGAAGGCCAGGTCAATGTCAGTTGACAATCCAACACGATCATTGGTGATGCTGGTGTCATCTTCACTTTCATCCCCATCACCCTCACTGTCATTTTCGCCTCGCTCACCGCTTCCCCCCACCAATTCAGATGCAACTAGTGGTCCTTCGGGTATTGGGAAATGTGAGTCCAGCTGAGGATCAATGAAGCGAGCAAAGTGGACCTGAGCGTCGCTCACACTGTGTGACACAGCCATGTAACCGGACCGTGTTGAACCAAATGCGTGGTATGTGTCGCAAGCGAGTTGGCAAAGTTCCTCGAAAGTGCATGAATGGAGATAGTATCCCTCCTTTGTACACGCTTCCAGCTCTTCCATAAGGTGCATCAGCTTTCCATCTTGCCTCATCGGGAATTTCAATGACTTTTGATGAAGCATATTTCTAAAATCTCATATATGAGTTGTGGAAGTGGAAGTGGAAAGCGGGAATACCTGATGTAATTTAGTGTCATTGCAGTGAGCACGACTTCAACAAGTCTCTCAGCTGGGTAGAAATCGACCTTGTTTGGGTTTAAATTTCGGTGGAGCTTATCAGCGGCAAAGTGAAGGCCGATGTCACCCTTTTCGGTCTGCTCTGGCCAATGCTGTCATATCCGTGCATACCTGACCCCGATCTGACTTCCGGACCTCCACCCTCTTCACCTCCGGAGTCATAACCACCGCTGCCGTTCCGATACTCACCTTCGGTCTTGGCAACACACCCCTCCTCTTACCTCTCCGACCCTTTCTCCGTCCGTTCCGATACTCATCTCGGACCGAACATCCCCCCACTTGCCACCCTCCCTACAACTCCGCTCCCCCCTCACAACACCTCCACCCTCCCGTCATCCCCCTACGCTTCCCCCGTCCGTTCCGATACTCACCTTCGGACCTGACTACTCTCCTTTCCGCCACTCCCTCTTCCTTACCTGTCCCCTCTCTCCTCCTTCCGTTACCCTTCCGCCAAGTTACGACCGTCCACCACTGCTCCGTACTTCACACTTGGACACCGTTCGTACCTTACTCCGAGCCTCCGTCATAGTCCCTACCTCGGACTTTGACTCCACCTCGGTCTTAGTCCATTGCATTGGTGACCTCATACTACGTAAACACCATTGCCAATATTCCTCGGACTTCCAACCCCACCTCCGTAAGCTCCGTAAGCTCCGCAACCCCCGAGCTTCGTGGACCGCCTCCGGCACTCTCGCCGTTCTGTAATGTATTTCTCGCAATTCCCCCTCATCCCTATTTGGACTACTGCTTCCTTCTATTCTAGCCAGTTAGTCATCACCCCCACTTCCCCTCATCCTCCTGCCCCTCTGGGCCTCGCCCTCTCTACCTCCTTTCGGACGTATCACAGGTCTTGCCCTGTGACCTTCGGTACCGCTCCGCCCCCTCTACCCTTTGTTCCCGTTCGGACGTCTTCGTTCCGATTCGGTCACCCTTTGTTCTCCTTGTGCTTTTGCCCCTTCTTTATATATCGGCGCTTGTACTTACTCGTCTGGTTTCAGTCCGAAATCGACCTGAAATGCCCCCAAGAGACTTCCTGCTCACCTACTGTGAAATTAAGGACCAAATGGACAAACAGCAATGGCACAGCGCTCCGCTTGAGTCGCTGAGGCCAAGGTCCCTCCACGCTAAGTCTCCGATTCCACTCCGGAGTCGTCTGTTTCCGCCTCGTTCTAACAAATGCACCTTGATGATACCCTTGAGCATTGCAAACTTCATGTGCCAAAGCTCAATCAGGGGTAGGATATAACGATTGGATGAGAACCAAGTGGACCCTGAAGAAGTGTGATGCTTGAGAGTTCGGATATGTGAGATCGTGGCCTGATCACCAGAAAATGGTATGAGGCGCCCCTCGAGAGCATGTGGAGGGATGTGGAGTTGGCGCTCAACAACATCCCGAATTGTCTGCCGGTTTCCTATAGTGGTTGCCTCATCAAAGCCCGATGTCTCAAGGGGAATGACTTCGGTTTTCTGGAGTGGCATTGGGTGAATGGCAAAAGTGTGTCTGAGATCATCAAAATCAGTCTTGTGTCGCCTCAGGCCAGGTACATGATCAAGTAAAAGGCATAGTATGTTGATGACACAGACATTTTCCAGATGTTTTCGGTCAATGTCCTCCCAGATCTTTGCTAACGTGATGTCCTCACGTTTGACACATTGCCAGCGTTCCTCATATTCAAAGCTGTCAAAAGCCTCGGGAGCCACACCTGGCTGCATAATTAGTGTTGCAGCAGTCCCACTTTCTAGAGATGTTTGTGAAGAGAGGGAAGGTCACCAGTTTTGGTGGTATTGGTTGATGTTATCATAAACAACGTGAAATGACACAAGTTTGTTGACCCAGTTTGCCCCTATAGTGTGAATTCTTTCGGATGCAACTGCACTCATTGAGTACAGGCACTTGAGTGTTGAGCTGTTTGCGACTGCGAGTCCCATTCGGCCAGTGATTGACTGAAGCGACTTGGAAGAATTCTCGGAGAACATGAGTATCCCCATGATACTCTGGAATTTGTTTAGCCCCTTATTGCGAAAGTACAGTAGCATCATCAGTGCAACGGCACATCCCTCAAACACTGTCAGTTGCTTCTCTGGCAGGTACTGATTCCTTTACTCACTAAATAAGGGTCCTGTACATGATTAGCCCCACGTCCCTTCCCTGAATCCCTGAACTTCATTTCCTTTAGTTGCACAGCTCTCTCTCCACCGACTGCAATCCATGTAAGCAGCATCCAGGTCACAGGCACAACGCTAACTGCAATCTTCTGGACCACATCAACTGAGAAGTCTAGGACCGTGTCCCAGCTGAATTGATTTGTGGATGTATCCCTTGCTCACAAGTAAGGGGATTTCAGTAGAACTCTGATTTCTGATTCCATTCAGTCAATGACTCATGCAATGAAGTAGTGTTGTAAGTCGCTGTATGTGTTTTTGCTGTCCATCTGGGTGTTTGGCTGAGAAAACATTGTTGGAATGGCATATTCTGGCAATGTGTCATAGGGGGGTTCATAGGATTGTTGGGGCCATGCCCATGGGTGGTTGTATAATGCGTGTACAACATCAACTGGATGGTTCTTCACAGTACGTCCCCCTATGAACCACTTCAGCATCTCCTTTGCTGATGCACTGAATTCTATGGGGTTGCTAAACAGAATAACAAGAAACTCGCTGAGTGTGAAGTTCTGTGACTTCAGTATTGACAGTACGAGTTCTACAATTGCGGGAGGCTTGAGCCTCAGCCGATCATTCTTTGGGTATATTTGCTCAACAGTAGAATTGTGACACATGGAACACCTGAAGGTGCTTGGCTGTGTATTGCTCTGCCCTGCCAGTGTCTGGGAACAACTAGAAGCCATTGGTTCCCACATGACAGGGTCGGGCGGATTTTGTTTTCTGGTATGCACTTCTCGGTTAAGCCTCTTGGATGGCGAGAGTGGTTCCAATGTGCCTCTAGTTGACTCCACCTGCTGACCAGTAGCAGCGGCAGCTCCCCTTGAATTTTCACAGATTTTTTTTACTGGGGAATCTTCATCCTCCATAACTTTGCATTTGGGACAGCCTCGTGATGGGATTGAAGGTGATGCATCACTGTGAGCTTTATTGGAAGAAAATCTTGCTTGTGGGCTATAGCCAATATTTCCTGTTGGACCAGAGGTATAGAAATGAGGTAGAGTAGGGATTTTGACCATGAACGGATTCATTGAAGGACCTGACACACCCGATGGGCAATTTGGACGTGTTTGTACAGTAAACATAAACAAATAATTTTTATTCCGAGTTCGTCCTGGAATTCAACCCAATCATATTGATTATGTAAGGCATGGCAACAGCGAAGACCCTTTTCCAACTGTGACAACCATTCAGTAAAAATCCCCATTCATGAACCGAGGGTTGAATCCAGCCTCTATATAATATTACGAAGTCATAGAGGCTGGAGTCCTGCCTGATGCGTGACCGGTAATTGGTCGTGTGGGTATAGTACTCGACCAAGTTAATGTTGGAATATCAACGCTCATCGACAACAGCCGAGCTGCAGCGTGGATTGGGGAGTCTTTATTTTAACTTAATATCGTCGTGACTAACAACGACTATACCTTTTTGTTTCAGAGTCGCGGTACCACGCGCTCCCAATTTACTTTGTCTTATATCGCTAGTTGTCACAGACAATCGCTTTAAGCGATATTGGCTCCAGTCGTATAAGTTACGCTGGACGCCGTAATTTTTCTCCCTCCCTCAGTTCTCTATTTCGAGACTGAGGTGATACCATTTCTTTCCTATCTGTGTTTGCGCATAACTCATTGTATTTTCATGTTATAGTTACGCGCGATAGGTAAACATCTTAATACTAGTTCTCTATTTCGAGACTGAGTTACGCGCGATAGCTCCTATTTCATTAGTTAATGGGGTACAAACCCCACGCAATGGGGTCCCGTCCCAATGGAGTTGAGTCCTGGCAGCGCGAATCTTGAGGGGTTCATCTCTTTCCATGATCCGCCACGGACCAGCGCCGTCATTATGGGTTCACAATCCATATATTATGGAGTTGATAGGATCGTCAGTTCATAAGACTCACGCTTATGCCGTCCCAAATCGGAGCCATTAGCCTTGCTTACCTTATCTGTTAGCGCAACACTCACTTAACTAATGTAGATCCGTGTGATATCATCTGACCTTCATTTGCGAGGCCACGGAGAATTAATGAACTTGTTAGCGAAACCATACTAGGCTCATCGGACAAACATGACAGCACATTCATCTCGAAATCCTGCAACGCAAGGGATTCACATTCAGGCTTATAGGCGCCTAACTGCTAGACATACAGTAGTAAGGATTATATTCCAGTAACTAATGGCCATATATGTTTGCGCAGCAAATTGCCCAGGATAAATGGGATCCATAATGAGAGGTGGAGATACAACAGTTGGAGATGCATACGAGTGTGTGGGGGGATCCTTATGTAAGACTAGAATGAAGGTGATGATGTTGTTGGAAGCGAAAGGAATAAGATAGTGTACGAAATGTGGAGAGATTATGCTAAAGAGTGTCGACCAGGTTTCTGGTGGTTATACTTAAGTGTGAATGATCTTTTGTGGTGTATACGGTGAAGGTTCAGGAATTGCGCCCGCTACTGAGATGTCAGTGGGTTGGCCGCTTGGCAATGTTGGTTTAGAGGTAGGATTTTTTTAGTTCGAAATAACAATAGGACTAGGGTAAACCATCGAATTAGTCTCAGTGCCAAAATGCTCTGCCGTACTGGACGGGGGAAGCTCCGCTTACTGTTTTCCCAATTTCTTCAGGTGGACTGCGCTAGGAGAACTTGTTATCCTAGTATCTCGCTTCCCTTCCATAATATCGAAAAAATGTCTTGCGTGATCGACTTCCTCCAGCCATTCCCCTAATCCATACCAAAAGGTTTGCTGCTTTTTACTTCCCGTCCAAAGCGGCATCAAACTCAAGTGATGGGCATCCTCTACTGTGACGACGTTCCATACACCAGGTCGCGGGACTAATTTGGCACGCAGATGATCAACTGGCAAGCGAGCTGTGCCCGAGAGTGGTGGGTAGTGAATGCAATGCTCGGAAGAACATGACCCAGGGTGCCACAGTGAGAACACAGGAGCGACACCATCATTCGAATAGTAAGCCTCTCCTAGTTCAAATGGGTTTTTGAGCTCTCCGCCTTCAGTAGCCTCATCTTCATCGAGGATCCTCTCCATAGCTAATGAAGTGGGGAAAGGAGTATCGCCGGTGACGGTTTCAGCGTCTGAGTCCTCGTCGACTGAGAAGTACTCAGATTCGGTTTCAGAGTCATAGGCAGATGATATCGAAGAACCCGAAGGAGAGGGAGGCGAGCAAGGAAACTCAGATGAAGAAGGTTTGGTTCGGCGAAGAAAGGACGGGACCGGACGGATGGTGGAGAAGTCGTAACCTCCAGTGATGAAAGCTGACAACCACATAGGAGGAGAAGAAGCTATTCGGCGGAGGAAAGGCACATGGTATGGTTCTACGGGGTCAGCACGATTCGTCTAAAATCGTGATGAGGTTTTGGTCAAGGTCGAAGCCATATCGGAAAGATACCTACGAATGTAGTGACGTACGACCTGTACCAGGTCTTCCCCAGGGACGCCCCAGTTCTCAGATATTCTTCGTCGCGCTCCTCTGCGGCTTCAAAGGTGCAGTCCCATGGGATACAATCTTTGCCTCCACTCCAATCTGATTTCCATAACTGCTTCAAGAACTCGACAGGCGATATTTCACTCATGGAGACTGGACGCGCTTCGCAGCAGAAGTCAGGCAACAACGACGAAGGCAGAATAGGCGAGAAGTAAGTCGCAGCATGAACGAATTTGGAAATTAACGAGGCCAACTGCGTGAAAGGTCTGGCGTCAGGGGCTTTGAGCCAAGTAGCACATAAAGGAGGACGCACAGAAATGGGATGATGTCCCTTACCCGACTCATTCATACCTATCATCCAGTAAGTAAGTTGCGTCCCTCGGAAGGGAGAACCAACTAACAAAGGGGACATAAGTGATCATTCAAGGGGAACGGATCATATTCTAACCCACCACTAGTGACGGATGCGACCATGTCCGAGTGAACATCGGGCCCGAAGAAACCATCTCGCATGAGAGTCATCATCTTCACGACCGTTACGCCGCCCATACTGTGGCCAATGAAATGCAAGGGGTGTTCCACAGACCACGATGGATATAGTCCAATGGAATGATGTCGTCCAAATCGTCTGTGTTTGTGCTTCTTGGCGTGCTCTTCGCCGTAATCCACGCTTCCACCACGAAGAAGGTAGAAAAGCTCGCATGCACGGTCGTGAACCGAGTTGACGGGGCTCACACGAGCGAACATGATGTGGCGGCGCTTCTTGCTACCTATTCTAGCGCGGTGAGCATTTAAATGCGTTTCAAAGTCGCCCCTGAAACACAAGGAGCATCGTGTCAGGCCATGGTGAATGGATGCGTAGAGTCCTGTTCCAACTCACCAGAAATACTCTGAAGTGTACGACATGAACCCTGAATTGAATCACTCAGCGTCAGAGAAAGTCCAAGGGCGTGAAATGATCAGCACTCACCCTCCACGAGCACGAGAGGCGCCGTCGACTGAGCGGGTTGGGGCAGGGGTTTGTATTGCGAGTTCATTGGAATTGGGGGCGCAGCATGTTGCCCAGAAAGATCCGCTACGGCCGAAGGGAGAAGCATAGCTGGGTATAAATAAGCTGGAATGCGGAAAAGGTGGTAGGGGTAGTGAACCAAGTAGATAGGGACAAAGCACTCAGTCTTTATGAGCCTTGACAGGGAAGTAAAAGGAAAGGTAGACTCGATCGGTGGGCATGACGCCCATGCCCTATATATAAGGGCAAGGGCTGTGGTCCCACACGGCGCATAATATCGTGTTGTACGGAGCTCGAAAGACCTGAGTTGAGCAGAAAATTCATCATTGGGGGGAAGGCAAAATGATCCGTATTCAAACTGTCACGTTGTCCATTCAGATCGTGATGGACCTGTCACAGGCTCCGATGGAGACCACGGTCCTCACGTGACTAATCATCAATTCAGTTTGTTGCTGCGGAGTCGGCCGACTATTAGGTTGTATCAGCTTGAAACGTTTTCGTCAATTTGCGTTCTCTCCGGGTTCCCTGCTCATATCGTACTCCGCCACGACTTTCCTTGAGCGGTGTCGACTGAGCCAACCAGAGCTGAGTCCAAGTTGGCCCGGCAAATTTCTCGCAGAGTATGTAAGTATTTGTAACACGGCCCCGTTGTCCTTCCAGGGCAGTGCACCTTCGGAAGCACTTCAGTGTTGTCATTCTCACGGCCCCCCGGCTTATGAAAAATGTCAATTAAGCTCAGGAGGATCAATCGTCCTGGTACTCTTTAGATGCAATCATCATCCTTGTGGCCCTTTCCTTCACTCGTTTCATCTCCTGTTGAAGCGGGCTTGTGTTGTCTCTCATTGCCCCTAACGTTGCGCGTGCTAATTTTTGAGGGTGATCTGATTCCATAGGACGTGTGTTTCGGATACCCTAGTCATTCCCTCCAACCCCTCGGGGCGACAAACCATCAGCGATCCCGTCTCGTTCCGCACTCTCGCAGGCTGTTACCTCTCTTGATGGGCGCCGTTGTTCCGCTCTCGTACTGTTTCAAGTTTCACCGACTCTATGTGAGCAACAAGTATTGGGAACTGCAATTCATGCAAGATTCCGGCGACCATTCAAGCGCCTGCTATCCCGCCTTGTCGCTTCACCTGGATGGGATGTGTAGTTTTACTTTGAGTCGTCCAAGGAGTTGCCGGCGCTGTCTTTCTGTTGCTGGTGTGTTTTTGCTTGGCCCTCATCACTTACGGTTCAAATGACTTTCCCCCCGCCAAAATTTCCGCACAGTGAAGGGTGGGCCGCCACCCTGGGTGGCGGAACACCGATCAACATCGCCCATCATTTCCTACCAGCTCTCCCACTGATATCTGTAGCTGACCACCCACGCTCACGGATGCTCGGCACGCCGTCGTGGAATGTTCAGTCATGCATCTTCCCAGTTGATTCATGGCTCAGGGGAGGGAAAAAATATGAAAATGTAAGGGAATGCAGTCAACGTACAAGAATGGAGCGGCGTTGCGGAGTGCACTGCTCTGCCGAGATGGTGATGTCACAACTCACCGGGTTCTACGGTCCCGATCGACTGCTCCCCGCGGCTGACCCACCTCTACATAGTATGACACTGAATGCCATTGTACCTCATTTCCGGACTAACGTAACGCTTCTTTGACTCAATGTAGGCTCCTGTTAGGAGGAATGCCGCTCTGTCCCGACGAGGGCGATCTCGGGGGCGATACCGAAGGCGCCTTGATTTAGGTTATCTGGGATGGGATCAATTCGGAGCAGGCCCCGAATCCCTATACATCACACCTGAGTCTGCCACCCACATTTTCCCCTAGAGGTGATGCATTTTTTGTTCTCAATATCTGATGACCGGTGCCTTGTTGGATAACCCTTCTCTGACGGCGTTCGAAGGGCGGCAGGTGACTCTAAGCGTCAAGTTTGTTGCGCAGCTGGCACCCACGACACTCCGGCCTGGCCGGCAGCAACAAGCGACCAGTTGCTTTTTTTGTTTTCTTTCATTTGGGGCAGGATGAGCACAGCCTCCAAGCCACGCCACATTCCTGATGCTCATGGTCGAGCCATCGGGTGGCGTTGTAATTAAAAGCCCGATCACCAAGGGCACATTGAATGGTCGAGGAGCATCAGTTGACCAGATGGCGAGGATTAAGCTCTTGATACCTTCAAACGGGTCAGGGGATACGGTTTGTTGCCACCTTGGATGTACAACTTTTGCATCCCTCGTCTAGCCTTAGCTCCATAGCAACACCTTTCCGTACATTCTGGAACATGCCTAGGAGAGTATATTTGATCGCTATATCACATATGCTGACTCGCTGTACACGGTAGTCTACTACAGAGATCAACAAAATGGGGGAGGGCTCAATAAAGCATGTGCACGCCACCCCATAGCGGCCGAAAGCCACTCTAAGCGTCCTAGGTAGCCGCTGAATTTCCAACATGGCGGGCTTGCGGCTGGGTTGGCCAGGCCCTTGTCTGCCCTAGCCGTGCTTAGGAGGCCACAACTTGGAATTGAACGGGGAGTGATAGCCTCTCCCCATAGCAAGTCGGTGGTTTCTGCGAATGGTTCATTTTTTTTGCCCCTGGCATGGTCGGAAGTGTACGTTAGTAGGCGCGGGCACACAGTCGCTCGGATTTACTGCCCGACGGTCGATAAGCTCTCGTCCCGTGGGGATCTACTTCTACGTTAATCTCATCCTGTTCGCCCCTTGAACCAACCGTCCGACCCAAGCCGGGATTTGCTCTATCAGCGCACCGACCAAGTTAACTTGTGCAGTGATCGACATTTTCTTATGCATACAACGTCTAAGCGCCCATGGGTGCAAAGTTCATCATGCAACACTGAATGATCGAACACACTAGGAAAAGATGCAACAATTGCAGGGCGAAGTACCACAGACAAGAGATACAGAAGGCAACATGCAGGCTAGTCACGAAGGGACTCTGGGGAAGTCCGCCGCAACAGAATGCGTGCATTGTGAAGGGAGGAGGCTGAGGGCCCTGAGCAACACACACGGCAGGGAATTTGTGGGTGGTTGATAAAGTAGACTTGCGGAAGTATGGGATCTGGGCCAAATACACTGGGGCTAGGATAGTAAAATACGACAATTATTCATGAATACTACGTGGGAAGAAGCGGTGGGGACGGTGGGTAGCTAGCTGGAGTACGTTTCATGTTTGCTTTTGCTCTTTGTTCGACAACCTATCTAGCTCACATTGGCGGCGTATAGAAGGGTTTTGGGAGTCCCATCCCTTGGATCCTCAATTCGAGACTAGACTGACGCGACATAGTCTTCATATTAAAAGAAGCGGCTGTATGAGTAAACCTAACGGGACGTGCTGAGGGAATGTTTTAGGGTTAGTCTAGTGCTGTATGTACGTATTCTATCTACTTGCCGTACCCCATAGATTGCTAGACTTTCCTCATTTTGCTACTAGACTAAACAACCAAGATGAATTCGAGGTCGAATTGGCCGAACATTTTCTTTATCATCTATACTGCATCTATGCACTTATATTTGAGTACAGGTCTCTATTGCCTAAATCAAGACTCTCTGTCTAAGAGCTGCTCTATCGGGCTCCGACTAGACGGTCACAGGAAATGAGAGAAATGGGAGAGGGAGCATCATATGCATTGTTGAAAAGGGGATGGGGGATAATGGTTCTTCGGGGCGAACCAATATCCTTAATAATAGGATGCATTGTGGAAGGGATTCGATGGGATATGAACTAACTTGAGCGAACGGGATGTGTGAAGATGAAGAGCGGAAGGGTTGAAAAACCATCGACAAATCCGCGCGCAATCCGAGCTTTCGATGTGCGGAGGGTCAGGTTCCATCCCCATGACCATTATTACCGGGCTTCGAGAGGCAGGGAGTGGGAGCGGATACAGGTGCCATTGCTTAGAGGGGCCACAGAAGGTCGCACATTGCAACACCAGGCGCTTTCTTTCCGTTTTCTCTCCACGTCCCTCTCCCTCCTTGCCTCATCCACAACCTCGAGCCACTCTCCCAACTCAGACCAGAACGCCCTCTGCAACCTCGAACCTCTCCAAAGTGGCATTATACTCAAATGTGTTGTATTCTGCATATAACAGACATTCCAAATACCCGGTTTCGGTTTCGGTTGCATGGTGGAGGAAGGGTTGGAAAGCCCAAAATGGAACGGGCCCGGGCCTGTATGAGGGTTTTGGATGGATGAATGGTGAATGCAGTAGGTGGGTGAGCAATCGCCTGGGTGGTATTGACTAGGTAAACATAGCGATATGAATAATCCAAGTAATCGATCGAGCAGGATCACAATGGATTTGTTTGCCACACAAAATTTAAAAAAGGAAACAATTGGTCACGCATAAACATTCTGAAGTCTCGGAAACTCACCTAAAGAGAGGCACTAGCCCATCACTGGCATAATAATCCTCCGGAAGGTCAACCTTCACACCCGTCCTCCCGTATTGGCTCTGACTTGCCAAGTCATCCCCTGTACCTTCCTCCACCATACTACTGCCACCCGCAGCCCCATTTAGCGCATGTCCCAACATCATCTCACTCCTGCCCAACTCCTTGCTATTCCCCAGTCCACCACTCCCTCCACCAAGACAACGACCACTGCTTACTCTCATCCCATTGGCACGAGACGGTGGAAATTGGACTTGAGGTTTCAGAAACGACGGAAGGGTTCGAATAGACTGGTAATCCAAATTTCCCAACAGCTGCGCAAAGCAATAATAGATTATTGACTCCAGCACATGCGACTTCCATGAAATGACATGACGCGTCGCTTCGGGGTTGGCTCGGCGCGTCTATGAATAATCGAAGAGGATTCAGCGTTTACGTTCTACCAAGGAAACCATATTTAGCCACTTACCATGCAAGCAACATAGGACCGGAAGTACGTTGCCGGTGCCACCTTTTCTCTCCTGTTCCAAAACTGCTCCCTCCCGACTGCTCCTTCGAACCTCGAATCAAAAGTATACGAATCAGTGTTGTGCTCCCAATCGCTCCTCCACATTTGCCGTAGAAACATCCAAAATGAAATCTGATTGAACGTCATCGGATGCGCATCTAGATGCCAATCAGGCAAGGGGATCCAAGAAGGGACCAATGGAGAAAGGTAGCAGTATGTGTACATAACTCGGGACATGGCGGACTTTAGCTGGAGATGGTCAGTAATTTCGTTTGTCCATTGGTTCGTTCAGTTTGTTACGTTCGTTATCGGGGGAAAGTCAAGTCAGTTCGTACTTCACTCATAAGGGGGGGTTTCCATACCATTTTCAGATTATGGCCCCTCCCCTTCAACAGAAAAAAAAAAACTCACAAACAAATAAATGCTGCTGAGTGCGCCCTTCCCGTCCTTGCCAAAAACATGTACAATCCCTGTCCCCTTAAACGGAGCTGAAACAGCCGAAAAGCTTGCCACCATATCGGGATGAATGCCATCTTCAAATCCGAAATGCCCCTCCTTCATCAACTGTAGCATAACAGCCACCGTCGTTCCCCCCAACGAATGCGTGGCAAAATGAACAGGGTTCCACTTTGACCAGGCTGGGTATGCCCCCGTGGCGTAATGCCGGCCATATCGAGTGTGATGCGAAGATCGAGAGTGTGCTTCGCCATAGTCGACCGTCCCACCTTTGATGGAGTAGAAAAGTTCGCAGGCTCTGTCGTGCAAGGAGGAGACAGGGCCTACTCTGTTTGAAGATGACAAATCAATCGCCAGGCAAAATATAGATGGTTAAGATTCGAGTCACACACCTTGCAATGATGAGCTTTCGATGGCGTTTCTTACCCAATGAGTCTCGATAAGCATGGAAATACTTGTCAAATCCACCCCAAAAAAGACGGGGGACGAAGGAGAGGAAACCCTATTTTAATTCATTTTGAGATTAGCACATGTCGGAACGTGCAAAGCGCAGTCAACCATGATGGTGAACCAATAAACGTACCTCCAGGATAACGAGCGGCGGTAACTCCTGTAGACCAGTGGGATGATCTTCATCTCCAAACTCACTCTCTTCCACTTCATCCACACCCTCTTCCAGCGCCCTAGTACTGCAACACTGAGCACTTTCAATGAGACCATTCAGGCGGTTCGTCAGCGCTTCCTCATCCCTGAGCAAACGATGTCTTACACTAGTGTTATTGCCAAGGCTGCTACTCCGCAGAGCAGTATTTGCACTAATAAAGGACGCGATTGAAGGTGAATGTGAGACCAGTGAAGACTTCCTTGATGACAATGATGATGAGGTGGAGGAAAGCGAAGACAAAGGAGACAAGATACCCAGCTGCGCACTAATGTCGTTCTTCATACTTGGTTGCATGGTTGAGCATGCTTAGACGTTACAGTTGCAAAGTGGGCAGCCAAATAGTGAGAGAAAACCTGGGGGCAGGGTCTATCCGAGATAGGAGATAGGGTCCCATTGCAGGGATCGGGCTCAAAAGATAGCCTCGTTTGACTTGATAGAATTATTATTTTGTGAAGTCACAGATAGTTGGGACGCGGTGACAGTTCCCTGCAGCATGAGGTCATATTCAAATTGAGAATTCTATGTGGACGATTGACTCCGAACGATTGCACTGCCACCCTGGCCCAGTCGGTGCTATTTGTTGCCGCACGATTAGCTTTAGCTTATTGGTATGATATTGTACTGTGTTGCGTTGCATTGAGGACCACATAGCTGACAGTGTAACATGATAGATACGAGGGCAATCCATGTTACAGTCAGCACGCTCAGAGGTAATACATCAATTAGTGGCTTTGAACTTCTGCCAGCCGAACCCTATCCAGTGTGTCCGCGCTGAAAATGTGATATTTACATTCCGCATGGACTCACCGCTGTCTGTTGGTTCGTAAATCTTGGCGAAGCTAGCTATGGAATAGTTGAATCCATCCGCCCTGTGCGCACACACCGACATCCCGTCTCTTGAACACGCACGCCATTGTGCCACATTATCCCGGTCGCATTAAAATCAGTCCCACAGTAGCGGTGATTCATCACCGAGTGCAGGGACTTCTGATACTCCGAGAGCGCCTGTCAGGGTCCTCCCGGAAGACCAAAACAATCGGAAAGTTTCTCCCTATGGACTGACGGAAGAAAGCGGGTCCAGGCCGAACACGTGGGCACCTAAAACGAACCTCCGAATCCAATATTTGAACTGGCATGCTCTGGCGCGGTGGAGAACGAGACGATCACAAAAACCAGCGCCAGATCATGCATTGTTCCGTACCTTAAGGGCGAGCCTGGCACACAGTGAAGCCTTAAATACCTTCCAAATTCGGAGTGGCATCGGAGAAGAAAAAAACTGATTCCCTTGTGAATCATTCCGAGATACTAAGCAGGATACCAGCCTCTATTAAAATAGACAAGATAGTGCGTGGCAACTAGGCCACGTTGGCAAGAAAGTTGACGGGACTGAACACTAGTCTGACGACAGGCATGGCGGAACTCGATCTTTTGATTCGATGGCTGAAGGTTCCATGGATTAACATTAACTCGGCCCGGTTTGGTGATCGGTAGACTTCGCCGGACGTGCGGAGGTCGGTTTTGGCCAGGTGTAGTAACCCGGCATTATTGTTACGAAGTCATTGAGGCTGGAGCCCTGCCTAGAACCCGGCATAGGTCTGGATCAGAAAAAAAGACGAAATTTCCCGGCAGAACTGGAACAATAGTAAATCAGGGGGAGTTCACGCTGGAAGGTCTTGCCGGAGTTCTTCCGCCAAGAGCGCCGTCCAACTGTGTCCGTGACGCACTGTCGAACTAGGATCCCGAGGAGATTGTGGCTGAGGGTGAGGGGTCGTCGCTGTGTTCCAAGGCTCGAGTCTCGGCCGGCTATGTTCGAGCACCCTTGAAGTCAAGGCTAGCGTACGATGATGGCAATAGACACGATCTGTGGCGGTGTGACGTTGCGAGATAGCGAGTTAAAGGAAGGGCGAACGAAGGAAGTGCAGGGCTGCAAGCTAGTTACACTAGCGAGGAAGCTGGTCAGGGGCAGCCAAGTACCCGATGTGCGCGGTCCTATGACAAGGGAGAACGTTAGACGGGGGGTTGGAGCAGACTTGTTCCCGATTAGCTAATCCACCAAGCGAGTCTGCAGATCGACGAGGAATATGAGGAGAACGGTCAGAGAGCCAACGTTAGCTAGATAATCCTTCAAGTACCCCCACGGCAATAGATGGAAATCTCCCGCTGGCATACATGCAGCAGTGGGCGATACACTACAAGACAATGTGAACGGTTATTCCGCTTGCCCAGATGACGGTCAACCCTCAAGATCTGGCACGCAGGGAAGAAACCGAAGCAGCGAGGTACCGGAACCCTCCGTCTTGGATGACCCCAATATGTAGGCTATCGTGATGGTAGGAGTACATAATCTATTAGACACCGATCGAATCAAGAATACAAGTGCACGATATACATTCCACATGCCTGCGCAGCAGAGGATAGCTTCGCGTTAAAAGTCAATCAACACTGGGGGGGAGGTGAATGTAATGACTACAGCTTGGGAAGGCCAATGGTACCATCCTCCGCCTGCAAGCCCCTTGGCTTTCCTTGCCTCTATGCCTGCATTTGCCTCATCCTTCAAAATGAATGCATCGTGAGGCATAAGTGAACGCTCTAACAGTATTTTGTAGGATTCGAGACCCACTTCTTGAATCTGCTTGCATGAGAAACCCGCGAACCAAATATCAAAAATGGTAAACCCGTCGAAATGGTGCCGAACCTCAGGCCGTTGCCTGAAGACTACGGCAGGCATTGGAGAAGCCAAAGCAAATGCTATTCGGATAACCGGCTTCGGATCCACCGTTTTTGGCTCCTTTCGCTGCCGGTCCACCTTTTTCTCAGGTTCCGCCAGCTGTGTGATCTCCAGCTCATTCGAAGTCGTAGTAGCTGACTCGGAGTCGGAATCAGAGATGGAGGCAAGTCCGAGAGTGGAAAATATTGCCGATTTGACAACAGGACCCATCGCGTCAAACAACGTCGGAACGGATGTCACCTTGTAATCCTGCGCATTCTTCACCTGGATGACTATGGCCGTGAATCAGGGTTAAGATTTTTTGTGTGGCAGACGGGCAGAACAGTATCAGCACCTTCTTGATTAGTCGCACACAACATGATCGCCCCACGCGAAACAAATTCCCAGAGATGGTGATGGTCGATTGAGATCACCTCCTTTCTCTCGATCTTGATGACACGGTTAAACCACATGCCATAATCCTTGAATATCGCCTGGAATGTGCTGTCGCGTTCTGTGGGCCCGCCCTTCATGGGCCAAGATGTCGGCCCGGATTGGAGAAGCCTCTCATGGTTCGACGCCGGAAGTAAGGCTTCCACGAAGTTGACCACAGACACCCATCTTCCACCACTGACTGCCCATGCTGCGTCGTATGTTTGCATGATCAGCAGGGCCCCAATTAGTTCGCCACGCTGCCCACGGTCGATACAGTTCAGATCCGAACGGTTTGCCAGATGGTACCCCGCGTTCCTCTGCGTATCCCTCATCAGTTGGTAGGCGGCCTCGGCCAGAAGCGGCTCGGATCCAGGAACCTCTCGAATCCAGCAGTCGCTGCGATGCAGAGTCGCATATGCTGTTCAACCTGGGTACAAGGCGAGCTGAGATGTCCATGTTGAACTCCAGCGCGAAACGTGTGGAGAGGCAGGCCAGGGTGCCAGCTGAATCGCCGTCTCTCAGTCGAATCGACCCATTCAGCAGCTTCGCGTAATCCATAGTCACTGGCTCTTGTTGGAGTCGGTCGCTGTGGCAGCTTGTCCCAACAAGCGCCAAATCTGCTCGACGTGGTAAGAAAGCGGCACCTCTAAAGGGATGACTGGGGTGGACATACAATGGACGACCAAGATGGGAAATCCAACCGATTCCTACCACTCTGGAAATTGCAACGGTATCCTCCAATGCCGGGTATGCGAGGTCGTCAAATTCAGAAATTGGATTCAGGGGACGATAGTCGGGTTCCCTGGCCCGGGCGGAAGGATTGAATGAATCTCTGGGGAGAATTTGTGGAAGCGCCCCGCTGTCGAAAGAAAAAAGCGAGAATATCGGAAAATCTTTAATTTGTTGTAAAATTCGACGCGACTCCGAGAACAAATTCCAGTCTTGCCTGTCTGGTTTATCGGTGAGGATATGGGCCTCGTCGAAAGCGAGGATGACCAGAGGTCATCGTGGGCCTTGATCAGAATCTAAAACATTGTGTTCGTCTATGAAGTGACAGAGGCTTTTTCCCGCATCTTGTGGGCCCTCTCCTCCTTCTTGCGTCCTAAAACATACCGGCCATATTCAAGTTCACTTCTGTCACTGACCCATGCACTGTTTTCCGCAAACTCGAGAAAAGAGTCATTCTCACAAAAACAGCGATGGACGAGAAACTCACCTCCCTGGCCAACTTGATTACCTCATCATAGAAAGATTCTCGATGGAGGCCCGAAGCATTATGTGATTGTCCCATGGCCATATACTCGTGGAAGGCAGATGCCAACTTCCTTTGCCGATCTACAACCAATGACCCGTAGTCTTTCCTGAAAAGTGGTTCTTTTGACAATCGTCGAGCACCAAGACTTGGTAACTTGGCAATATCTGCAGAGCCATTAGCAAATAATCCAGTGAGCAGTCAGAAGATAATGACCTTGTTTCTCTGACGCGATGATCTTCAGTCTTGTGAGAGTGACCACTAAGAGAGAATACACGAATCCAAATAGCCTCCTCTGCACAGTATTCCTATCGCCTATCTCAGAAACAAGCCAATCGTGTAGTTTCCGATCAGGAGGAGGCATTCCTATAGGGTTCGGATTGTAAACAAGCCATACATATGAAGAAAAAAGCAGAACGGAGAACCTTCGATTCCCGGACGTAAACAAATAGGCACTGTGATAATTTCCGTCCCAAGCTGGTCCACCATACGAGACTTGCCAGTTCCAGATGAATTTATGATACTTGTTAGCCTCGCATAGGGAGATTTGTGCCTGTCCCTGGCAAGGTGGTCTGCGATACTCTCGAAAAGTACGTTGGCAGAGTCGCCTTTGAATGTAGTGCCCCATGCTTGTGTGGTGGCTGTTATGGTTATGCAAGTCAGAGAAGATCAGTAAAAAGTGAATTCACTGCGCACCCAAAGCCATGCTCAAATCGTAAGCGGTCTCTCGCTCAGGCTTTAGGAATGCTTCTTGAGATAGAACATGATAATCAGGTGCTTGGCGTCAAAAAAGGCAGAAAGCAATGCACCGCTTTTGAACAAATCACTCCAGGGAACCTGGTTGTTTCCCATACTTCCCAGCAGGTTGATAAGTTCCTGCTCTGCATTGCTTCCAGGCTTAATGTAAGCCTTGAATTCGTCCTCGTTTCTAAGACGGTCCTTCATTTCCGCACCCCCAGCCAAGTTGTTGACGGCCTTGTGGACGGCATACCAAGCATGGTCCAGGCGCTCCCAAATCTCATCGATACTATCATCGGGTTGAAATCCTCGCGGAAGATATCGACAAGCACTGTCAATATCCTCCTCCAAGGGCGACTTAGTATTTGTGGGCTCAGATTGATGCGGTGCAGATGGACCTCCAGGCGTTTGTTGAGGGATCCAGCTGGTGGACATGAATATTTTCTTTTTTTGGAGGAGCATGGTTTGGGCCGGAGGGGAGTGTAAGAAACTAGCGACTTGTAAGCGCTCAGTTCAACGACAGTGTAACTAAAATGGATTTCAACTTTACTTAGCGGTAAGCACTAGATATTTACAGGTCTCCTTAGTAAGTCACCAAGACAAGAACAAGTATCTCACCTCAGTTCACGACAGTGTAACTGAGGAGAGAGAAAGATATCGCGATGAGTGGCTTTCAAGCCTACAACGCCGCCTATCGATAAGAAAGATGAAACGGGAATAGCGGAAGATCCGTTGAATTACTTAAATGGGGGTTGGGCAATATCTACATCTAATATCCTATATCTCTACACTAGAGGCTAGTTACCTGCCTATCTTATATCTCAGGATTCAGCGCTCCGGAACCAAACCTGGGGTCAAGTTCGCGTTTTGGTCCGTTTGCGGCTTATCCAACGCGAACAATACGCATATTCAATTTGAACTTTGTAGTTACACTGTTTGTTAGAAGGGTTCTCCTCAAACTGAACGACTGAGCTGTTAAACTGAGAAGCGCGATACGTCTATTGTGATGTATGTACGTAGTGATGGGTGGACTTACCTGAGAAGCGCGATACGTCTATTGTGATGTATCGGCTCTCAGTGCAAGTCCTGTCCTTATATACATTTAATGTCAGTTCTACGCCACTGAAGTGAAACGCGTGCGGTAGCCAAAGCGTGAAAACAAAGGGCCAAAGCGACATTATGTTCTCCGTCGATTGCCCTAAAAGTGCCTCCTTCCCAAAGCTCTCAAAGCGCGAATGTACGGTCCTAGGACCGCCAGTGGCGTCGGGCTGTAACTTCCAACACTCCCCCACAGCCCAACGTCCACGTATCCATCTAGGCCACAAACTCCATCCCCAGCATTAGGCAGAAGCGATCGTGCTTTACCTTGGCTAAGGACTTCGTGAGTATGTCGGCCGCCATATCGTTCGTCCCAATGAGTTTCAGGTCAATCGTTCCGTCCGCGATACATTCCCGTATGAAGTGGTACCTGACATCGATGCTCTTGGTCGCAGCGTGATTGACGGGGTTTCGGGCGAGTAGATTCGCAGCTCGATTATCGATGTGTAGCGTGGTCGGACTGGATGTTCCTTCGTGCAATTCCTCCAGGAGCCGTCGGAGCCAGATCGCTTCCTTGGCTGCTTCGGCCGCTGCAACGTACTCTGCATGCGTCGAGGATCCTGCCACACCTACTTGCTGCTTTGACATCCACGAAATCACCCCCCCAGACAAGAGGAAGGCGTATCCGGATACCGACTTCCTGTTTACTACGTCGTTCGCCCAATCTGCGTCAGTATAACCTATGAGGTCTTCTCCCCCGGTTGTGTATACTATCCCTCGGTTCATAGTCCCTGCGAGATACTTCATTATGTGCTTGAGTCCCTCGATGTGTTCCTGTCCGAAAGTCGATGCGAATGGTGCCAGCGCTCTTACAGACGCGCAGATATCCGGGCGAGTTCCTAGAGCGGCATACATGAGAGAACCAATAGCTTCGAGGAAGGGGTACGAGGAAACTTTCGAATGTTCTTCTGTTGATGCTGGTTTGTAGTGTATCCCAGTGGGTAACGGTGTGACACATGGCGTGCAGTCTGTCATGTTGAAGCGAGCAAGGATATCCTTGATATACTGTGACTGGTCTATTGATAGCATGCCGGCTGATATGTCTTGGCGAACTCGGATCCCTAGGATCCACGATGCTTCTCCTTTGCTGGAAACTTTAAAACGGTCCCCGATGGTGTCTTGGATAGATGCAAGCAGTTTTTCGTCGTTCCCAGCAAGAAGTTTGTCATCAACGTAGACGGGAATGATTACGATGGATCGTCCTCGTTTGAATACGAAGACCGAGTGGTCAGCATGTGTTCGGCGAAAACCAAGTTGAATCAGGAAGTCATGTAAGGTTGCGTACCACTCCCATCCAGCTTGCTTTAATCCATAGAGCCCCTTCTTAAGCTTCGCAATCATCTGTTCCCTCCCCTTTTCCTCGTATCCCTTTGGCTGACGCATGTAAATGTCCTCCGAGAGTACCCCATTGAGATATGCCGATTTGATATCCATCTGGCGGACTTTCCAACCGTGGCAAGCGCATATGGCGAGAAAAACACGTAGAGAGGCCGATTTTACAACGGGAGCAAACGTCTCCGAGTAATCAATTCCCTCCCGTTGACCAAAACCTTGAGCAACTAGGCGGGCCTTAAAACGGGTCACTTTTCCATCAGCACCACGCTTCTTGTTGAGTACAAATCGACAGCCAATGACGTTACGGATGCTCGAGGATGGGTCAACAAGGTCCCAGGTGCCAGCGTCCCGGATGGCAGCGAGCTCCTCTAGTACGGCGGCATGCCATTGTTCCCGCTCGGGCCCAGCCAAGGCCTCTCGCAAGGTTGGAGCATCTGGTAGATCGGTGTCCTCAGTCAGTATGGGGTTTGCCAGGTGGGCCTCATCCAATACAATGTCCAGGACATCTTCCGTGGTGACGGTCGCTGCAATCGGTACCTTGTTCAGAAAATCTTCATATACGTTCGCGATCTCGTCCCTGCGTCGGCCATGTGCGCCATAGTCTGATGGATCAAAGCGATGAGGTGGACGTCGTTCCCTCTGTGGTCGAGCAACGGGCTGGGTGGCAGCAGTGGGCACGGTGGGAGGTGTGGGGGACTGATCTGATGGACTTTCGGTGAGAGGATCACGAGGTGGACTTACAGGCGTGGGTCCGGGGGTTGCCGCCTCTGTCAGGTGATCCGAATCATCTGACTCGTCACCGGGGTCATCATGTGCCCTTGACTCGAAAACGGCACGTGGCTGGATCCTCGCTTCTTCCCGAAAAATGGGCGCGCGAACAATTTCGACTTTGTGAGTCCGTTCATCGTACGCCTTGTATCCGGAAGAACTCTCTGGGTACCCTAGAAACTTTGCCGGCCGCCCCCTCTCCCCCAATTTCTGCGCTCCCAAATCCTTCGGCTGGTGAACAAATATGTCAGCGAACCATACCCTCATGTGCACGACATTCGGCTTCCTTCCGTGAAATCGTTCAAAAGGCGTCGTCGCATTTGAGTGAGTGTCAATGGTCCGGTTCATGGCGTAGACGGCTGTGGCGAAAGCGTCGGCCCATAGAAAGTCCGGAGCCCCAGCATCCTTCAGTAAGGTTCGTCCTTTGTCCAAGATCTTCCGATTAGCTCGCTCAGCCACTCCGTTCTGCTCAGGCGTGTGCGGGACCGTCTGCTCCATGTCAATACCTTTGTCTTTACAATACGTCCCCAGGATGGAGTTCAGGTATTCCCCCCCCTATCCGTCCTCAAGATCTTGACGTGGGTCCCGTACTGATTCGCAAAGTATGTGTCCATTTTGATGAACCACGCCGTGAAATCTGATTTAAGTGAGCATGAATAGAACCAGGTGAAGCTCGTCTTGTCATCCACGAGTGTGCAGAAGTATCGGCTTTTTCCAAGTGACGTCACCTCCATAGGTCCGCAGACATCGGAGTGTACTCGCCCCAGCCTCTTGTCAGCTATCTCATGTCCCCTCCCGAAAGGACCTCTCGTCATCTTCCCCCTAATGCATGCTTCGCAATCAAAACCCTTCGAGTCATCCCGAACATTCTCCATTCCCAGAACTGACCCATTCTTTATCATCTCATTCAACGCATCCTTACCAGGGTGGGCTAGACGTTTGTGGAGAAGATCGAAAGAGGGGATGGGGGCTTCCACAGCCGGGTTTGCCCTCCCAGTCATGGTAGATGTCAGCTGCGAGGATGGGTGATTCAGGTAGAACATGGGTGCGAACTCTTTTAGTGACTCAGCAACTAATTTCCCATCTGCTCCCTCGATTCTGCAGACATCATCGGAACCGAACGTAATCCGGACTCCTCGGCGAATCAGGATCCTGCAAGACAGGAGACCATACTTGAGGCTGGGTACGTACTGTACGTTCTGGATCCGACAGGTGACACGCTTCCCTCTAGCGACGCAGCCGATCAAGACGGTTCCTTCACCCAAGGAGGGGACGCGACTGTCATTCCCAAGAGCGATTTGGCGTGGGGGGTCAAAAGGTGTGTATTCTATGAAGTCGTCCTTGTTTGGACAGAAATGGTTACTGCACCCTGAGTCCACGATCCAGGGCTTTGGCGCATCGGTGATTGACGCAGCATTCGCAACGCTTTCTGCACACAAAGCCTTTGCCTCCTCAGTTGCGTTTGCGTTCTCCTTCTCAGCAGCTTTCTTCTGCTGATACGCTTCTTTTTCAGCTTCTGTCGCTGTGCATTTTGTTCGGAGATGGCCCATCTTTCCACACTTCCAACACGTTTGGCGCGTTACCCAAGTAGGGTCATTCCTTCTTCCCTTCATGTTTTCTTCTGCGGCGAGTGCCTTCGGAGTATGTGTGGGTCCGACTTTTGTTCCAAGGTCCATTCCGTTTACTCGGGCACGGAGTTCTTCAGTCTCTATTTCCCTCCTCAGCTTGTCAAGATCCCAATCCATGTCGCTGGTCGCTGCTGGGGCATTCTGGACAAGCATGGTCTGCAAGGTGCTCATGCAGGATGGGAGGCAGTGAATGAGTTGCATGGCGATCATACGGTCTTCGATGCGTCCTCGGTCACCAGGTATGTGTTTGTTTACTTCATGGGCGAGGTTCATGAGGCCGGATAAGAAATCCGAAATAGATTCATAATCGCTGATCTTGGCCTCATAGTACTTCGTCCTTGCGTAGTATTCGGCAGAAGCTCCAGTGTGTTGGTAAACACCCTTCAAGGCTTGGAACAAGGTTGCAGCGGTGCTCTGGGCATGACGGAAGACGTTGTCTTGGACCGGGTCACTGAGGGAGAGCCACAGCCTTCGGCGAGTATTGCTTTCCCCTTCGATCCATTGTGCATGTTCAGTCGTTGTCTTATCGGATGGTTCAACTAGGCTTCCATCTAGATATCCCCAGGTATAACCCATGGCGAAGCGGAGATTGGTGGACCATCTATTCCAGTCGTCGCGACCTTTCAACTTAGCGATAGCAAAGACAGCCTTATCGATGGTTGAGTCTTTCAGGGTCATAGTGTGTTCCTCGGGGCTAGTCCAGAACAAGTAAGGTACGGCGAATCAGAACAAGTAGTTCAACAGTGCCAGGCGTCTTTGGTTGACTTTCCGAAGCGGTGGAGTAGAGCTGGGCTGATAACCTGTTAAACTGAGAAGCGCGATACGTCTATTGTGATGTATGTACGTAGTGATGGGTGGACTTACCTGAGAAGCGCGATACGTCTATTGTGATGTATCGGCTCTCAGTGCAAGTCCTGTCCTTATATACATTTAATGTCAGTTCTACGCCACTGAAGTGAAACGCGTGCGGTAGCCAAAGCGTGAAAACAAAGGGCCAAAGCGACATTATGTTCTCCGTCGATTGCCCTAAAAGTGCCTCCTTCCCAAAGCTCTCAAAGCGCGAATGTACGGTCCTAGGACCGCCAGTGGCGTCGGGCTGTAACTTCCAACATGAGCTTGCAGCACAGCGCTGCAAGCTTGGCCATCCAGTTTAAGGGAACTCTCATAACAAAAGTAGCCTAGTTTTCAATCCGGGTCACTTAGTGTTTTTGTACGATATTACCGTTAGTTGCACGCTTCGCTAGTTTTATCGCTGCGCTCAGAAAGTAAGAAATTTTGATGGCACGCACGACTTGGTGAGAGGAACCAACAACACCCATAACACGCATTCAAGCACCAGAGATGAGTGTTAATTATGATTAAAAAAAAAGCTGGTTGTCGTCACCGCACCAATGCACTTCAAGAGAGAGAAGACAGAGACGTGAGCACACATACACACAGACGTTGCTCTCTCTCTCCCTCAAAGGGGCCTCGAAAAACTGCGCACAGGGACGACAGGTGCTCTCTTTCCTCCAACCTTCTCGCTCGCTTTCCCCTCAACATCGCTCTCCATCCTCGCCTCATCCACAACCTCAAGCCACTCTCCCAACTCGGTCCAAAACTCCTTCTGCATCCTCGTCCCTCTCCAAAGAGGCATCAAACTCAAATGCGTCGTGTCGGGCATATAACAAACGTTCCATATACCCGGTTTCGGTTTCGATTTCGGCATCGCTGCAGCCGCCTGTGTGCCGGGGACGAATGGGGAGGAAAGTGGGGGTGAAGTGGGGGTTCCAAAGTAGAAAGGGTTTGGATGTGGATTTTGGATGGATGAGTGGTGAATGCAATGTGAAGGCGAACAATCGCCTGGATGAAATTGACTATGCATATACATGCCCACCGTAAGAAGAACAAAAAAGGAAAAAAAAATTGACGTGACTGTCAACCACACGAAACAACAATTAAGTCCAAATCTTTAATGCTCACCTAAAGAGAGGCACCACTCCATCATTGGCATAGTAATCCTCCGAAAGCTCCACCTTGGTACCCGTCCGCCCATGCCAATTCTTCCTCCCCACACCTCCTTCCAAATCTCTCTCCCTAACACAAGCCTCGCTCCCATCCAACACCCCGCATCCAAACATCGTCCCTTCCTCCTCTTCCTCTACCTCACTCCTACCCAACTCCCTACTGTTCCCAGGTCCGCTGTTCCCACAACTACGCGCTCTCGCCACACCAGCACGAGACGATCGTGACCGAGGTTTCATAAACCACGGAACGGGTCGAATAGAACCGTAGTCGAAGTTCCCCAATAGGTGAGCGGAGAAATAAATGAATATCGACTCTAAAATGTTCGACTTCCACGAGCAAACGTGACGCGTCGTTTCAGGACTGGCTCGTTGTGTCTAAGATATGGCGTCAAACAAACAAACAAAAAATATTTCCGCGTTGCATCAGCCAGGAGATGGGAGACGATGACACCACAATAAGCAAAGAACTCACCATACAAGCAACATAAGACCGATAATACGTCCTCGACTCTTCCTTCCCCTTGACCCCTTTACCCCTCGGCCCATTCCAAAATCGTTCCCACTCAACAGGGCCCTCATACGTCGCATCGAAACTAATCACATCTTTCCTCTCCCCCCAATCGCTCCTCCACATTTGCTTCAAATACTCCCAGAACGAAATCTCCGTCATCGTCATTCGGCGTGCGTCTCGATGCCAATCGGGTAGAGGGATCCACGATGGGATCAATGGAGCAAAGTATGAGAGGGTATGTACGGAGCGGACGATGAAGGAGTTTACCTGGATATTGAGATTCGTTAACGAGTGAAAAGGGGAAAGAAAGATAAATAAAACTCACGGAGAAATACTCGATTTCAGGCGCACACTTCCTATCCTCGCCAATAATATACGCAAATCCCGTCCCCTTAAACGGAGCGCTAACAGCCGTTACGCTAGCCACCATATCAGGATGAATGCCATTCTCAAACCCAAAATGCCCTTCATTGATCAACTGCTGCATGACCGTCACGGTCGTCCCTCCTAACGAATGGGTGACGAAATGAATGGGATTCGATCTTGACCAAGATGGGTAAGATCCCGTTTGGTAATGACGTCCGTATCGAGAGTGAAAGGAGGATTTAGCGTGGACGTAACCGTAGTCGACTGTACCGCCTTTGATGGAGTAGAAGAGTTCACAAGCTCGGTCATGCATTGAGGAGACGGGTCCTACTCTGTTTGAGATTAGGATCAGTAAAAGCAAAGAGTCCGAACGGAAAGGAAAAGCCTTTGTTGTTCTTCTTCAACGAACGACAATGACATACCTTGCGAGGATGAATTTCCGATGCTCTTTCCTACCAAGAGAATTCCGATAGGCATTTAGGTACTTGTCGAATTCACCCCATAATCGACGATGGAAGAATGAGAAGAAACCCTGTTTTATGGTGAATTTCGAGGTCGTGTGGTTGGACGGACGGATGGTCACGGTCACGGTTATGAAACGGCGTTGTAGCCCAGGAGCGAGAACCGATAGAGTTGAAAGCCGTGGATGTCGGAACGTCGGTTCAAAGCGAACGGCACATGTGTAAAATGCGGTCACACGAAAAAAAGGTTTTTCCTCGGTCAGCAAAAGAGCTCACAACAAACACGCGTCGGAACACGAAAAAGCGCGCGATCCGACTACTGAGGAGCAATTGTAACGTACCTCTACTATAACGAGCGGTGGTAACTCCTGTGGACCAGTGGGATGATCCTCATCCCCAATCTCACTCTGGTCTCGTTCTTCCATGCTCACTCGTTCTAACCCATCGAGTTCCTCAACTCCACCACCCAACTGACCATCACTCCGAGACTCAGCAGCTTCGATAAGATCATCCAAATACTTTGTCAACGCTTCCTCACGCGTTGAATCATCCCCATGTAAATGACGAACGTTGTTGCTACCACTCCGCAAGGAGGTATTAATGGATGTTATTGAATGTGAAGGGGAGAATGGTGAAGAGAATCCTGAAGAGAAGGACGATGATGAAATTGAGGAAGGAAATAAAGATGAGGAAGGAGGTAGTGAAGCTGAGTATAATGGAGTGCTAATGTCGTCCGAGTTGGTTGTAGGCGATTGCATAGTTTAGTTCTACGAGTGCGTTTAGGTAGACGGTCTCTAGTCGGGTCGTAAAGTATAATAGTGAAGGGATAAGGTAGAGGGAAGAGGCAAAACTGCCTCCACAGTCGAGGGAGCAGAGCAAGGGGAAGCGCGTGGGCACATATATAAACAAGGGGGTCATGAATGAATGGATTGGGGATTGGGGAAACGGGAAATGGCTATATACAAGGCGAATTCTTCGCTTGATTTCATATGCGATGCTCGTTTCAAAAAGGAAAGCCATGTTGTGGCCCCTTTCAACTCTTAACCATGGACATAAGGGGGGGGGGGGGGGACTCTCTCGGGTCTCATGCTTGAGCACGAAAAAAGAAAAGATCACGGATCTACTACAACTGGGCTGCTTTGCTTGTCAACGTCAACAGAGAGAGAGAGCGAGAGAGAGAGAGAAAGACCGGAGGTAATGTCCCGTGTAAGGCAATTTATCTTGCATACATAATACGGCGTCGTGAGCACATGATGAAGTAATTCAGCAGCACCGGAATCATGTGCCCTTCTCCCAAGCGGTTTTGGACAAAATGGACAGCCTCATGACGCATCCACCACGCACAATTGAATTGACAAAACACTAGTACTCTGTCCGTCCTTCCCCGCCATCGTCAGAAACTCGGGGTCACGAGGTACGTACCAAAACGTCCCATCACCGCTATACTTCTCTCCCTCCCCCAACGCCCTGGTAAATCACAAGCTTTCCTCCTATCCATTATACCCACACATTCCAACCCGAACTTTCACGAGATTCTCTCCGGTGCTTCACAGCTTTTTGTCCATATCAGAACGTCCAATCCTCTCCACATAGCCCCCCTGCAACCCGTCACCGTACCCATCGTATGTGTAACAACCGTTGATACTGCAGTATAGCACTGGTGTTCATGCATCGATTCTACCTCAATTGCCTCGCACCTCCGTCTCCGCTGATCAAAATCAATGCGGCTTCCTATAATTTGGCATATGACAGAATAATATTATTAATATTATCACTCAAACCCCTTATGTATGCACTCAAGAACGCAAAGGGGGGCCCTTTCTTCACCGGAAAAGCCCCTGCCTCCCCAGCCACTTTTTACCCCCAGTTGTCTTATGAATTCCCCTTGACATTCCATGACAACACCCAGCTGTGTATACCTGTCACTACCTAATGTGCACAATCACCACGCGTACCCTCTCCTCCCTACATAACACATGCACGACCGTTATGGAAAAAGAGCCTCGCCACGGCCACACCATCTCCGATCAGTTCCCCGTCTTCCCCCTTAACTACACACCCCCTATTCCCTGTGTCACATATTACCCAATGCCATGGAGCAGACGATACAACAGTGCCTACTATAACCGCACATATGTGTGTGTAAAGTATACCACCGACGTAATTGCTAGAGCTTAAACTACGCACACACACATATATATACCCCAACATGTTAGAGCCCCCCCGGTCGTTCAGAGCGAGGCTAACGAGATTATGACCGAGGCGTGATATGATATGATCCCCCAATCTTCCGAATCGGCTGTCATCAGGACGTGGACTCAGAGTCAAGGTCAGGCAGTCGATTATCAACGACAGAGTAAGCTGAGACGGAAGTCTGCCTCTTGAAAGTCCTGGCACACACACAAGTACATGCCAGTGTTGACTATTGCGTCCGTGTGTCAACGTTTAATCACAATGATCGTGGCCGTGCAGGTGTATGCTCTGACGATTGCAAGCTGACCACCATTAGCTTCATAACCGGTTAATGAGTCGATGATAGACACGAGCACTCGTGGATCCGATAAAGCCATTGCCCAAGCCGCAAGTTGATATATTCGACGATTCCACGCGTGCACACGTACTATCGACCCTTGTCATATGGATGGATGGATTGCCCCTGCTACAAATTTAGAACCAAAGCCAGCATATGGATACGGGCGATGTCCGCGATCTACCGGCGCTTAATGTCGAGGGCAAGATAGATCCGACGAAGCTGGCCACACAAAAGTCGAGCGGTGGACAGTACTTAATCCAAGCTATTAGCCAGTCTTCCCTGCTCACTCGCCAAAGTAGTTACGTATTTTGTGAAGCATCCAGTACAACCAACAAAGTCAACACCCCAACAATCGATCTTTTGAGTGACAAGGAAAAGTTCGATCGTTCATCAGGATATATATACGGGCCGGCCAAAGTCCTTCAAGGTCCAATCTAACCAGAAGTGCCTTCGGCTGGGGGCGCTTTTGCCATCTGAACACGCGGTGGCAGGTAACAGTTCCTGAAGGTTAGAGCACCGATTCCGCAGCACAAAGTTACTGCCCAGATTCCACTCTTCGAACTGGTTGAGTGCCACATATCACACAATTGATGGCCCGACGCCCCAGCATGGACTTCAGGCTGTTCCCGAGAACATATGAGGCTTCGGAATAGATACACAAAAATTAGCCCGATCTGATGGTGTGCCGGTCCTCCGTCGTCCAAGTAGTACCCGGATCATACTCCTTTGACGATCAAAGATACGTTACAGGTGTTTTTTTCCCACTCAGGATGAGTGTCGTTGTGGGGCCCAAAAAAAGTAAAGTTGAAAGATGCAACAATAAACGGAGAATTAGGGGACACGCAGTCCCAGGCATTGGAGTCGGAGCGGGGTTTTAGTAGAGACCTGGGATCCTGGGGTAGACAGCAGGAAATCACAAATTGGTGCAGAGGGAGTGAACGTCGGCCATAAAATGAGATAGCGATTCGAAAGGGGATCCTGCAACTGGATCTCGAATGCCTCGCTGTTTGAGACTTTGGATTTGGAGAGCACCAGCGGCAGTGAGCTGAAAGCCTGAAAGAATGTCCCAGGCAGGGGAGTCTACCCAGACAACTCAAAGTGACAGCTTTTTCAAAGAACCCAATCGACATACGCTAATTGCCGGGAGTCGCCCCATTTGGTTCACCTCTTCGTCTTGTGTTCTCGCTCAAGAGTCAAGGCAGCGCCGCTTGCGCAATCATTCAATTCCGAGCGCTGTCACAACAACTGTTGATAATGTGAATACAGTACTGCTTCAGGGCCCGCCTTGAAATGGACTCAATATTCTCAAAATCATGATATCTCCTCGCTCGCTTAAAGTCGCCTTGGACAGACCTGCAAGATGCTCGGTTTGTTCGCTAGCTCAGGATCATCCACGCCCTGGTAACCTAGCTGCTTCTTTCATCCCCAACGTTTGATGGAAAAATTGTCATAAGAATTTGTGGGATACTATGACATGACACGACCCTAAACACTTGCTCGATCGACCTGACAGCGCCGCGCCGCGGATTTCGCACCTATCAGGCATCGCACCTTTGTGCACAGTTGCCGAAGCTCCGATAGGGGAGCCTTCGACACATGCAATGGAAGCGGCTGATGGATATGTTCAGCCCGTTCGCCGACTGATTGTCCTAGAAATGGCAAGTACAGTGCTACGCTGATAGCTCATGTGCCACTACCTAGTGATTCGGTCCGAGCACTATGGCTCCGCCGATCAATAGGGCGATCTGGCAGTGAGAAGAGACTTGTCGGAACATCCTTTCAATGTACAATTCACAATGTTCCCTGGTGGCGTAACCAGTTACTAGTGAAGATCTCCGAAGAAATCGAAGTACTGTACATTTAAAACTGCACACGCGAGGATTATACTATCATCCTCGCTGAAGTCCCTACGGTACTGCGAGGACTGTATACTCTGCGTGAGTATTCGGAACTAAATGGAATTCGGATCGCTACAACTCGCTCAGGCAAGCCGATTGGCTGCAGAGGTACCGGAGGATCGAGATAATTCGGCCGAACTAAAAACCGATCTGGAGCCTTGAATGGATCAGTGCATGATAGGTCAGGAACTGTGGCGGCCATGCATGCGCATAGGTGAGGCGACACTGAGACAAAAAGTCATGATCGTTGATCGGTCTGCGTCACTTTTTGAGAGCTATTCGCTTTGTTGCTACTACCGCTGTTGATAGTAGTATAGACATCTCCCGGTACTGTAGCAATGACAGTATCAGCATGCGCAGCGCACGCGTACAGCCGGACTCTTCCTTCCTCCGCATCCATGCGCGCCGAGAACCGGTCCGGGTTGGGAATGGGGTTCCAGTAAGGCTCTCAAGGCGTGTCCCTTGGGCTGGGTACTATAACGTAACCCCCACATTGCCATTCAGGAAGAGGGACGTTATACCTTGGGTGGCACGAGATGCATGCGCCGAGCTGCCTTGGCCACCAGATTGAACTATGCGTTGACTTCCGACTGTCTGCTAATCCCCGCATATTCATGAACTCGTAAACTTACCCAATTAAGGCTATCAACCAAATGAAGTCCGTACACTTGGACACTGGTGGTTGCCCAAAATCGTGTACTTCTAGCCTCCGGAAACCAACACGCGGGCCCAGAAACCCTAAACCTACAGATACACATGTGTCCACTACATCCGAATGGGGGTGGTGACAAGGCGTGCCCCAAATCGAGGAATCAGGATACGCCCTTGGTACTCACAACACAAGCCAATGTACACGCCTCCCCAACAAAAAAAAAGACTTCATCGGTGAAAGATATTGAGATAGGACGTATGATGATTAAATGACATATGTACTACAAGCTGGTCAATCTTAGGCAACCCAATGGGGAGGAGTCGATTGATCTCATGATTCCTTCGCCTATCGATGGCACCGTGTGAGAAGTCGATGCCAAAGGATCCTTCGATTTGGAGCACCGAGTCAAAGTTGGTAACCTTCTAGAATCGGGATTCCCGAAATTTCTTTCCTCCTTATCGCGGAAGAGGAGCCGCATACATAGGTTAAGCTCTGCCGAAACGATGACGATAGGTCCCCATCTCTCCACATCGTACATTGCATTCCCAAGGACCAATATCGTGTTACGCGCCATCTAGCACTTGAGTCCCCCCCACTTTAAGTAAAACCTGGTTCGGGTTTGAATTGGATCAAGAAGGTGGCGACGCGACATGACAACCATGATGCTCCGTGTATCAATCAGTTCATTCCTCCAAGGCTGCTAGACTGTAATGCCACCCAGTGCGCGCATAGATACCTATATCTCAGGAGGCTTGGCGCGGAAGCCTTTTAAACCAGTGCTGTGATGAGTCCCCTATGTATAATTCTTGCAGCGGGTTTTCACCTACGTTGCAAGGACTACGGATAGCGCCAGCTAGATGAATGGTTCCATTGCATGGAAAGTATCTGTGCCATTCCGAAGCATGTGCCATACTATATACAGTCGTTAAATCATTGGTGGATAGAGGTTTTTGCCAAAAGGGAGAATGGTGCAGATGGTATTAAACGCTGGGGACGACGAATCGCAGTCAAGTGAAAGAGGCAGTAATAAATACAGGGGAAGGGTGTGTGGGATAGGCCGCAGTGGACCTGTAGCTTGCTGACGTGCGCTTTGTTCGGGCAGTGGTCGGAGTGATCGTCAGCGGCTTTCATCATAAAGAGCCATCATCGATGGCTTCAGGTAGCGACGGGTCGGAGGACAGACCCATTTACGCAACTGATGGTGATATACAGTAGAGCCTCGTCACGTCACCGAACACAGTTTGGTGGATGGAGGATCAGTTGGAGGGCGTGAAAGTCTACTGGTAAAGCGGCGGAAGCAGGCTGGGAGGGGCGCGCACGATATTCCGGTAGGAGGAATTTGCTCAGATGGGCCGACCGAAGCCAAGCATGATTTCTGTGGCGAGGAGATGGGGAGTGAAGCTCATGGGAACGCGATGCTACTGCGTCTTCGAAGTCGGCGCGCACAGGCTAAGGTACCAGGAGTCATTCCGAGTGCCTCACTACTACTGGAGAGGACTTAAAACAACTTTCACGTTGAGCACTGCTACCCGATGAAATTCGACATTGGAGAGCATTGGAGAGCAGCAACACAGATATCGATTTATTAGCCCGGAGCAGTCCAAATGGAGTTCCGACATGCTCGCTAAGCGCACACTCCGCCTTTCGGCCTATCTTGCCGAACGACATATTATTTATCATTGATTCACTAGCACCACGGTTGTGTTTTACATCCCCGGGAAAACACAAGCAAACTGAAAACCCCTCGGAGCCCCAGGCTCTAACCGAGCGTTTCATGTAAGACAATTCCACTCACGAAACTACAGCAATCAATACCCAAAGTCGCTTACCACAGTTTTTGAAAAAAAAAAAAGCATCATGGCGCTATTAGCCGAAGAATACTCCTATGCCGAGCTGAAATGTCGGGCAATGGAGCGCTGCCGAGACTGATCGGTGAGGACAGCTGGTTGAATTATCGTGCTGGAAACTATAAGATAAATTCGTCTTTACTGCGGTAAAAGAACCCTTGAAGTGATCAGATATACATGACTGATGTGCCACTCTGGGATCAGACCCAATGGACCACAAGCAATAGGAGATCCAATGGTTTTGCCAGACTAAGAAACACCCAGAGTCGGATTAATTTGAAATGAGGGTGAGCCAATTCATCGGGTAAGAGTGTAACCGAGAGACCAGCGTATGTTAGACCGAAATGTCGCTAAAATGTGATCAGGTCGCGCCAGATAGTTTTGGCTAGTTAGAAATCAGTGGATAATAATAAAGGCGAAGAGCTAGAGTGGAACTCTCGGGAAATAGACATTGCCCAACTTGGAGGATGAGGTGAAGGCTGAAGTATGACTGCCCAATGATAATACGGCCAGTGTCAAAGGTTCTGAGCCATTTGAGGCCCTTCGAAAAGAGACTCAAAAGGCAGAGTCGTCCGACAATGAATGAGGATTACTATAACGAGCATTGTCTCAAAAGGACCGATCCATGTTCACATGCTTATCTTAATGGTTGCAGTGTCAAAAGCCGTCTAAGAGAAGAAGCGCACGGCTCGAATCTCGAAGAACGAGATGGGAACACGGATGCCCTTGGCCAACAGTTAGCAACCATGTTGAAGTAATTTCAGCGGTAAACACACTATTCTATATTCCAAGCCTGCACGAAACGAAAGGCTCGAAAGGGGATTTATAATAATCCTACTTTCGCATAAAACGCTGCTCAGGATTTTGACAGGTGGTAGACGGCGCAAAAATTGAACCAATTCCTTTTTGTGCAGTCACTCAGCATGCATATCCAGTCCCCCTTTCTGTCTTCTCGGGGGACAGCGGTAGCACGTTTGGGATGCCAGGCTCACGGACGAAGATCATAATCCTCGACTGACGAGACAGATGCTGTCTCCGCGGATTTGGACTAGCGGAGATCCCGCCCAACTGCCCGATGTGGGCGGGAAATAGAGCATTCTCCCAAAGCTCAATGATCCGTATCCAAACTAACACAAACCAACTTGGTTGACCAACGTAGATCTTTTTAACACTTGGACGAGACCAGCAAGCGCTCACCGCACCGCACTGAATGCTTTGAATTTTTTATCAGGTTGGGAGCGTCCCAAGACGCCATATGGTTCCCGGCACCCTGTGCAAGAGTTACACGCATGTCTCCGAAGGTGCATGGCCGAGCGTGGTCGACGGTCTTTCTTCATTGCTCATCTCTGGAGGGAAACCCCAAACAGCCAGTTTAATCGGTGTCGAGATCATGCATCAGAGACGACATCGCGTTGGTGTCTGACCACCATGGTTTACAAAGCCTAGCGTGTCGATAAGGCCAGGGCGTGGGTATATGCCGTGGAAGAAACCCCTCATCGCGGGCAGACATCATGCACGTCATGGCCCTCGAATATTGATCGTAATTATGCTTGTTTGTGCCGAGACTTCATAACGTCCTCGACCGAGTACTTACTCCATGTATGATCGGAAAGTGTTCTAATGCGTGTGTGTGTATAGCATAGTCAGTGCGTAGGATGCTTCGGAATTGTGCACATCAACCTCCACGACAATATTAATAATTGGCCTCGCCCATTACTGATGCCGGTGCACTGACGGCGATGTGACACATGCATAAGGGCGTGTCATCGCGAATTAAGTGGCCCAGATCGGCCGCCGGACTTACGCCTGTTGAGAGCATCGCTTGACTCGCCGCTCCTGTTCTATGGTACCCGATCGAACTCCGTGCCGGTGAGAAGCCCAATGGTTTTGTTGTTTGATTCTGATATCACTTTACACATTCGTTTGATTTATTTGACACCTCGCTGCGCTGGTTTCATCCTACTCTTATTATATTCGAACAAACGACGGTTAAAAGCTCGATGTTGGCCTCTGACGCCCTCAGTTCTCTGTGCCTTCACGCTTGGGACCGAGTACCGTTTTCCATAGCTTACTACCAGTCTACTTTAACACCCAAGAAGGTTTGCCAGTGACAAGGGGAACTTGCACCCCTCCTGTGTTCGAGTCAAAGCAAGTGACCAGATCCTCTGCGGTTGTTCCCACTGGTCAATCTCTTGCCCAATCCAGTTCGCTCTACTGAGACTTTCGTCGGAGGGATTATCTATGCCTTGTATGGAGGAAGGCATTCCCTCAACCTAAAGTAAACCTGAAGACAAGCCAGATTTTCTCGTCCCCAGATATTTCATTCCGATATTTTCGTCTCAATATCAAATGCACGGCAGGGATGGATCTCGTGGCGACGAGGCTCCTGTCTCACTAGATTCTGAAGCGTGACCTGTGGATCTTGGCTTAAGTTCTGGGCCAGACTTGGGCACGTTTTGTTAATATTCTTTAGATGCACAGCCGAAGCGACCCTTCAAACACTTCGAGAGCCAGTCACACAAGCTTGGAGATATTCCAGTCGCTTTGGTGCTATTAAGCGCCCAACCTCGAGGCTGTTCATGGGAGTCCATCAATCTGAGATGCAACTGCCCAAGCAACCACGAGACTGGACCTGACGGCGTGGCGCGTGCTGAGGCGTCCCATCCTCGGTGCTGGAGGTAACCAACATGACCGTGTTTCCACCCCCCTCAGAAGGAAGAATCTTCGAACCCAGATTATTTCCTGGTATGGAGATGATGACCCAGCCAACCCTATGAACTGGACGCCCACGAAGAAGGCATTCGTCACGTTCTGTTTGTGTCTCCTTACTTTTTGTGAATCTGCTTTGAAGTTTCATCCCTTCATGCATCCGTTTCCGACGTTCGGATAGCCATTTACATCGGAAGTGCCACTTATACGCTCGTACTTCGCTCCGCTGAAATCCCAATTCCATCCAAACGGGGAGAAATTGGTCTGGCCAACTTGGAATTTGGCGTCCCTCTTACAGATGCACAGCTCGGCCTCACACTCTTCATTGTTGGTTATGGAATCTTCCCTTTTCCTCTATCTGTGGCCGCAGCAAACCGTATTTGATCGCTCTTCTGATTTTTCCTCTTCTCCAAGTTGGTACTGCTCTGGCGAACGACTGAGGGTTCTTGACACTGAGGTTCCTGGCAGGACTCTTTGGTTCTCGTAAGTGATTTTTGCAAAGTTCCATCTCGGATCGGCTGGTTTGAGATTGCTTCGCAACCGCTAACGGCGCCGCTTGATACTGCTGGCGCCATTGTTGCGGATATGTACAGCCCTAAGTATCGAGCATACCCAATCGGAGCCTGGGGTCTTCCAGGTGAGGAATTCTCTCTATCCGCGCATTGAGATAGCCGGTGGCGGTAGAAGTAGCGCTTCAGATCCCTATCAACTGGGTTTAGACGCACGTTGCCAATGGTCCAAGGTTGTTCAGTAGCCACTGTCACCGATTGCTTCTTATCGCACTTATCCATCGAAAACAATTACCAATGTGTCCTGCTTCCATATGTGGTCCAGTGTTGGGACCCATTGTTGGCGGGCTCGCCTATGATCGGTTTGGCTGGCGTTGGACGATTTGACTTTAACTCTTCCTCACTTTCGCATTCCTTCGCTCGCGCAATTCCTGAAACGTCCTCTCTCAACATTCTCGCGCGTCGCGCTTGCGGCCTATCACTGGCTTGAGCGTTGAAAAACTTACATTGAAGGGAAAATTATCCAGAGGAGCCTGACGGGAAAGGAAATTGCCCTCACGACCCTTGTGCGGCCATGGCTGTTCATGTTCAAGTGTTCTTGAATTTGCAGATTGGTTTTGTGTACGCTGTACAAGTACACATGGCCCGAAGGTGTACTCATTTCCATTGATGGGATCACTCCTGCGGTAAGCGTGGTGTACGGCTCAACCTTTGGCATCCCTACTTGTCTTTGTTGATATTCATGGGTTTAATTCGGGTCAATCCCTTTCATTCTGCATTCATGGGTATGGTGCTTAGGGTTCTCTTTACGATAAGAAGGTGCTTAGCCCCTTTCGTCTTCTTCATGAAGTTGGCGCCATCATAACTTATTCCTCCTTCGCTATTTGCCTCAAAACGGCATTGTTCGACAGAAAGCATGGAATGATTGATTCTGAGGATCGCCTCCCACCTGGTATGGTTGGAGCTATTCCCATATGCTTGGTACGTATTCAACGGAGCTGTGGCCATACCAACATCCGATATTGACTAACCGGCCACGTTTCGATCCATAATGAACTATGTACATATAGTTTTCATTTGGCTGGACATCAACCTCCAGCATTCATTAGATCATCCCCATAATTATGTCGTCGTCCTTCGCCGTCGGAGCATTTCTTCTGTTTTACTCGGTGCTCAATTTCCTGGTAAGTATAAAGTACCGCTTCCCTAGGTCATATAGATGCGTACCCCGCCTCGGTACTTGCAGGGAGTCGTTCCGTTCCTGTCTGAGTGGAACTTTTCCATGTATGCTAATTTCGCTCATCCAGTGCACTTCTGCCCGGCCCCGCCGAACTCTTCATCTTATCTCCACTCTTCCCCATCGTGTTTTCCAGGCCAATGTTCATCAATTTGCAAAAAAAAAAAAATCGGCCCTTCAGGGTTCCCTGTCCCCTGGGGATGTATGCTTTGTGGGTTATATCGCATTGCCGCTCCGTTGATGGCGTTTGCAGACGGGCGTCGTCGAGATGTCTTGATCTATTTGATCTATAACTAACAATAAATCTTCGCGCAGTGGGTTTGTATTGGATTGGCCATGGTACCCCTTCCCTTTATGGTGCCAGGATACGCAGGTATTCCAAGTACGCTACAAGTTCTAGACCAGATGAGAAGCAGACACAGCGTGTGTGATAAGAGAAAAAGGGTTTTGTGAGGATTCCTTTCGTTGCCGCGACCCGGAACTTTCCTCTTTGTTATTTCTCGGGGAGTTCATTGGGAGTTTATTGCGTAAATAACCCCTTTTGTTCACCATTCCCAATTCCGTTATATAATTGAGCTCCTGTTTGGTTCGATCCGTCGTGGTCATGGATCAAACGTCCTGACTCACCACGTTCCTGCGTCAGTCCAGGAATGAATTCGGCTAACTCCGTTGCACAACCAATTGGCATTTACCAGGTGAAGGCAAGACTGAATTATGTGGACTGATTGTATGTACACATTTTGCTAAGGCACCCCATGTCTATCATCTATAAATGAGCAAACGCGGATGAACACAAGCAGGGTTTGTAGGGGGCAGTGCCACGCGGTGCAGAGGAAGACAACTACTTAAATAATTGCAAGAAGGAATGGAAATCTATGATCGGCGACAATTTACAAAATTGTCAGGCAAGATGCGAAATGTCGGCCGTAGCCGAGCCCGAATTTTGATGAAGGCGGAATGCCGAAAGCGGAGGCGGAGGTGGCGCGGGGACAATTTGAATGAAAGGTTGCACTTGGACTGCCCGGAACAAGACAAGAGGAGAAAGCAGCGGGAAAAGGGAAAGACATCAAAATCAAATATCCATTTGGGGAAATGGGGATGGGGTTCCTCAATTGGCGTTGAAGACAGAGACTGGGTGACGGTTCACATTTTCTTCGATAACATCCCAATGCTCACTTCCGGACATTTCTAGTTCCAGCTCGTCGAAAGCAGCCCACCAGTGATGAACGAGTTCGTCGAATTCTTGTTGTATCCTCCTCATGGCGGCTCCCTCCAGCAGCGAGCCACCCGCCTTGCAGGATGCGAGGGTCGTCGATAACTGAGTTTCCCGTTGAACTCCCGAGGTAGCAGATGGGGGGAGGGGACGATACTGCCATGGCTTATCCATGACATAGTGCAGGCATTTGATATCCGCGTCTCGCCAAATGTCCTTGTGTGCGATGCGCATGTGCTTCATTGCGTTGTAGACGTAAGGAAGGGGCACCCATTTGTTTTTGAAGACATCCGCAAGAAGGTCCTGATCTGGGAAACGGTATTTCCTGATCTGAGGGGAAGTGTATAGGGCATTTTGGATGTGGCGTGCCATTTCAAGAGAGGGATGGAGTAGGACGAGACCTCCATTCAGAAGATGGTGGCATCGGGGGGAATTTTTAGTCACGGCCGTCGCCCGGTCTAGACACGATGGCCAGGTAAGGGGTGTGTAAGGGCAATTCGCGGGAACCCTATCACGTACAAGAGCGGAATGGACAATCATGAATTTGACAAGATAATGAAAGGCCTCAAAGCGAAAGTGGAAAGTGGGCTCACCAGTCACTAGGGTAATGTCTAAACTTCATCAGGTTACACGAACACGCGTGAGTGGCGGCTATATGATCATGGGGTATCGACAAGTCGAACAAATCATCCATGTTCTTGAGCAGAAGCATATCTATGTCACGTAGAATAACGCGCTTTTGGAATGCAATTACAATAGAAAACGCCAGATAGAGTGTCAACATTTTCCGACTTTGGAAAGCGTGAGTGAATAAAGCCGCTAAAGCTCACCTCGTATTCGACGAGTTCAAAAACCCTGTTCCCCAACCATCGTTTCGAAATTCCAACCGTCGGTATCCAGGGCAGAAGAATGTACAACACAAATTCGACGAACCTTAGCTTTGCCCACGTCTCGGAGAACCTCTTATCATAATCGTTAAGCTGGTGCTTCGATGCCGGGGGTCGCAAGTATTCTATATCCTTCACAATAATACCACGACTTTGAAGTGCGGCCCGCACACTCTGGTCCACACCTGGCGTCAACATCACCACAAAGGAATACCGACTCTTGGTATCAAGGTGAGACTTGTGCATGACGAGAACCCCTGGCAGGTACTTTCCATCCGTTAAAAGATGGACGTAGGCACGTTTCGAAGTCGATTCTAGTATCCGAACAGGCATAGTCAAGGCGAGTAGATGCTTGATGGTCCGAGACACTCAGGACGAAAGGATGAAGTGGGTTGAGGATGGAAAGAAGGAAGGGGAGAGAACGACGAGTCTTTATACCTCTGGAAGGTCAGCAGGGCTTCTCAAGCAAAATATTGAAAATGGCAGGGACCAACATGCCCCCAGAAAGAAAAAATGGTCAAAATTCAGAAGCACGAGGGCAGACAAAGGGTTCAGACGCCATGCTACGTGTAAACTTAAGGATCAGGCGCTGGATGTTGACATATATGGCCCGATCCCGGAACGCCTCCTCAAATTCATAATAAAGTGGAAGCCAGGTTCATCATGATGAAAGCGCAGTTTGACGACCCTAGCCATGTGTGGCGAGGAAATAAAGTGCCAAAGCGAATGGGAATGAGACAGGTTAGAGGGTGTGATTGATCAGAAATAACCAACCGACAACTAGTGGAAGCAGCCCGATCACGGCTCCCATATGGTACAACAAGGAATTACCCGGCACCCAACGGCACTTGTCATCTTTCCATCTTTCCATCTATAAGAGTCAATTTCTGATTTTGTTCCTGTCGCATACTAAGTACTTTGTTATTTGTGGCCCACCAGGTTGCTGAACGCCCGTGGGAATCTGCATCAATTGTGTGCACGGATCAAGGGCTTCAACATGACCCCACCATAGAAATCTCATCGCGCAATACATGTGTTTTTGGTCGCAACAACGCAGACCCCTTCATTCGTGGTAAAAAAAAAAACCATTCGAGGAGCATTGACCCGGAAATTCACCGGGAAACCAATAATCCTCACCTGCTGCTCCGTATCAAGCTGGGAGATAGCCGCACCCGGGGCGTCCCACATAACGATATTCACGCATCGAGGCTCTAGAAAAATTGATGTGATGTATAACGGATGTGGAATACAATTCTTCAGCATGTGAAAAGAAGACAAGCAGGTGTCCATGTCGCAGTGAAATGTAGAGGTTATTGGATAACGAGCATTACTCCAGCAACTACGCCAGCTACCAGCGCCCCAAATCGGATAATTGGATCTGAGTATACCCGAGCAACGGATCCGTTGGGGTTGGGGGGCTGGGATTGTCCCGCGATTGATGTAGTAGTGAGTAATGGAGTGGGTAATGGGGTGGGTGAAGAATATGTAACTCCGTTGAGCTGAGCTGCAACTTGAAATACAGATCCACCACCATATTCATAGAACTGCATAGGACGGAAGCAGTCGCATGAGTCACTTGTCCACACTCCGGGAATACTCGCGCAAAACTAGCGCTCATCACTCACATCGACAAGCATGAATGTGGGGTATTTCTGATACTGGGCGCCACACTCTTCGGCTTGTAATCCCAAAGAGCCCGGCCCGCTCACGGCGTTTGTTTCGTTCAGCTTTGAGGTGTCTGGCACCGGAAATGTGATTCCGAACAAGGTCTCTTCTTTGTCTAAAAAGTGGTTAATCAGGTACTGCGCATGCGTAGGGAGCGCGGGATTCGTTCACGCAACATCAGTGATCGTTCCGATCAAGCGTCAGGGATATCTTAATGGGTATAATTGAATACCTTGGACTGACCATCTTATTTCCCGCTTCACCAGTGCGATTGACGGCACAATTGAATGTCTGGTCCGTCACGTCGTAGGCGGTCTCCCAGATATTAGAGAATTCTTTTTTTTTTTTTTCAATTGTCGCCAAAGTGGCATCTTAGGGTCGGCTCCTGGTTGGTAGAATATGAGGACATACCATCAATTATGTAGGCTACATTTGTAAAATCGGCGTGATAGTCCATGAACGTAAGGACCGTCTTTTTCTGATCCTAAACTTGCTGTCAGGGCCTTATGCCGCAGATGGATGGATATACCAACGATTAGGGTTCCAAGGGTAGGCCATTGAGATCCATCAATGGTAGCCGAGGGTGGGGAGTAGGAATATACATTAAGACCCGCGGCTTTGTAAATTTGGTCGTAAATAGTGGGAGCTATACTGTCTGAGTTGACAATAAGGATCGAAATAACTTCTGTTGGGTTTGCTTCCACCCATTCCTTGACAGCGGTCAAATAATTGACAAATGGACCAGCATCTAGTAGCGACTGCCGGTATTCATATTTCAGCGAGGGCTCCCTGAAGGCGTAAGGGCTGATTTACTCACGCAGCTTGTGTGGCACAGGTGTGGTACGCCCTTTGAATCGTGAACCTGAACTTGCAACATTCGGATGCCATCATTTAACTGAGTTGTGACATTGTAATCCTGATTTGCGGAAACTTGTGGATGGATCAGAAGCGTCAGGATAGAGGGAGAAGGAACATACTACTTCCGGGAGCCACAGCGTAAGAATCATGCGCCCCAACGTATGAAACATTACCGAAAGTTCGACTACAGAGCTGTTCAGGGATGGGACATCAACCATGTGGCTCTATGATGGGTTGGAGGACGGCTTACTTCAGCATACCCGTTGCAGACGGATGTGCCACGGATTGATCTAGCCGCAGTTAAGGGTAAAAGAATCGAAGTTACACAAGAGTACACAAAAGCGGCCTGCGCCAAAGTTAACATTTCAAAACCAAAATCTTTGAGCCTAGGGAGAGCAAGGTGAGGAGGAGGCGGAGGGAAAATATACACGTAAGAGATCGAAAAGAGTGGCACGGCTTTGTCATGGTTGCAAAGCGCAGCCTTACATATCCTCATTGAGATTCAGACTATGTAGATATGTTACTTTATTGCCATTTAAGTAATGTAAGTCACACAGGTACCTGTCACAGTCACACCTCGCCCAAACAAATGTCTCTCCTTCTCCCTGGACAGCCGCTTCCTAACCCAGGCCATGGCGCAACATTACAGTATGGCGGAGGCACTTATGCAAGAGATGGAATCCCTCGATCCTCTGTCGTGGGTGAGATTGAAAAAACCGGCGGAGTACACTTCAATGGCTATCTCGAAACATTTGTGCCACAAATCTGACTTGGTTCCTCTACGTAACTGACGCTTTCGGGGATGTGGTTTTCTCAAGAATGTGTCTATTTCGCTTCCACGAACCAGACCTAGTCCTCCCAATCCGACTTCGGTAGTGTTAGGAACCGTTATCCGATTGTCGCCGGCTCAAGCGACTGTCGCCATTTCTGTGGTAGATGGCGTTCCACTTCCTGCTGGGGAGGAGTTCACAGGTGATGATCATCAAGACTGGGTCAAGGAATTTTTAGTCCAATTTAAATCCTTAGGTGTTATACGCGTGCAGGATGTGCGAGCCACGGAGAAAGACAAAGTAAAAATAATGGACTGCTTCAGAGGAGGAGACGTCATTCGCGGCATTGTTGTCAGTACACAGACCAAGCTTCGGAGAAGCAAATGATTTGAACAGGGGTTCTAGATATCGTTGGGAGACGCGAAGAGCTACTACTTGACAACAGCAAGAAATGATCTCGGAGTAATTTTTGCAACCAGTGAAGCTGGTGAGTTGATAAACAGAGATTAGAAAAACTGCTCATTGAATACATTATTATGTTCAAGGTGCCACGATGGAACCTGTCTCATGGCAAGAGATGAGATGTCCTCGCACCGGCCAAATAGAGAGACGTAAATGCGCTAAACCTGATGGACTGTGATGTTGTTGCAATGGATACCTACATATGCACTTGATCGCGGGTTGCACATCATGACAGAAACGTGTCGAGCAGAAAGCATGGCCATGCATTATTTCTGGCAATTTTCAGGTTAAACCGCCAATCCCCGAGTTGCGGCGTAACGATAGATGTGAGAAGTACTAGATGGGAAGTTCCCACGCAGCACAGGACGCCGGGAGGTTCCTCAAATCATAAAAAGTGGTGATGTCCGCATTTGGGGTGTGGAAAATTACAAAGTATCTCAGCACCACTCAGTATCCCGGCGTCTCTCGATGCCAGCGAGTTTAGGTTCAGGCATGGATAGAGAATACAGCTATGGGATGGGAGCGTTAGGAATTAAAGACTTTGAGATGTTTTCTAGGTCGTTGCCGTGAACTGTGACTTAGCTTATGGCAATACACTAGGATGAAAAAAAATAATCAAAGGGGGGAATCACATTTGAACAGAGCTTTGGGTTTCGCCTCTTTGCCAGCGAACGACGTCCTTTCCCGTCCGCTCTGCGTCAAACGCACCCAACATCGTCGTTGTTGTCTTCGCCGTCCTCGACGGTTGGAGTTCGCTCACTGTCCCGACATCGAGACTCAACGCCAGAGCAAAGACGGTTGAAATAATGTCGCTACGTCGAATTCTCAATGATTCTGGCCCAAAGTCTCCCCCAACTTCCTCCTCAGCCTATGTCTCCGACATGGCTATTGACCCGGCGCTTATGGAAATGCAAATGCATTCTGTACATGCCTCTTCATTAGAACCTCCGTCCTCGGCAACAGCTGGGCAACTTCAAACCCACGAACATCATCACCATTCACCGTCTCACGGCGGATCGCCGTCCTTTACAACATATTATCCTCAACATTCTGGCTATCCCTCTGAGCCTTGGCCTTCGCAATCTTGGGATGCATATGCCTCCGACGTATGGAGTTCACAACCAGAACAAAATACTTCACGTCCACCTCATCACGATACCTCATATCCATTAGACCATGATAGTTTACCTCACCCTCCACCCCTGTCAGGACCAACTCCGGCTGGTCAAGTGTTACCATCCTCTCAATCCTCCGCAAAGCCTCCAAGTGAGCATAAGAAACGTAAACGGGGAGAGCAATCCATGGAAAAACGCGTCCGTCCCTATTCCATATATTTCAACTGCGTCATGTTTACTGACAACATACTTCAACTTGTATATTAGGCTCAGCCTACACGGTCTGCAAAGCAGAGCAAGCGGTACGCGCGAGACTCGTCAACACCGGATATGGTGCCACAGGATGAATCAGAAGATCGGAGGCAGGATCAGCGTCTGAGGCTGGCCTCATCTGATCTTGAAGATTGCGAGGAACTCTGGACGGATGAGCTTGGTAGATATTTCCTCGAGCAGCGTGTGCGAACACGGGAAATCGAGGCTTGGTTTGAATCAAAGTCTCTGGTGAGTCTCACTTCTCAAATGAGTCCTTCATTTTCTGTTCTTAATGCATTGTTTCATAGGAGCGTAACCAAGAAGTAATCAAGCATGCCCTGCAGTCCTGCAACTCCCGCCTACATGTTATACAGGAGCGGGAGAGGCCGATACCACCAAAACCCGCTGCCACCGAACCACCATCGTCGATGGAAGACGACTCTGCTTCGCAGGATCAGAAGCCTTGCGTGAAGCAGCCAAGCATCGGCGATACCGCTGACGATGTAGCACGCGAACTTGAAGATCTCGCCGACACGACGACCCGTAAACCTCGACCCAGGAAATCCGTGCCTACCAAGCGCAAGCGCGATAGTCGACTAGCCGCACATGACACCAAGTCACCTCTTCCCGACATCTTCGTAGAACCTGCCGCAGATGCTGCACTGGACGCACTAGAGGATGAATTCGACTCACAAGTCAAACGTCCACTTACCAAACGCAAGAAGCTGAACGTCCCCTTACCTACTCCTAGTTTTGAAGATAGCATAGATGACGTGGCCCTCGAACTAGAAAGGTCTGTGGATGACCTCCCATCTTCGGTGCGCGGTTCGTCGCCACCTTACTCGAATGGTGTTCAGACGCCCCAAGCCCCTGCCAAGCGCAAGCGCGCGTCTCGCAAGAAGCGGGCATTAGCGGACGATGAGCCCTTTGCCGAAGTCGGCGCAGATGCCGTGGACGATGCCTCCGTTGATGCCTCCGTTGGATCAAGAACCCTTTCGAGTGGCTTTTATCATCTTGATGAGCAGATACCCGAGCCGAAAAAAGGGAAGAAGGCTGATCATCTTGTGCTTGCTCGGAGACTTGTCGCATTGGAAGACGCACAGAGGAAGGTTTGGTTGAACATTGCCCGAAAGGACATCCCAAAAGTTTGTCTTCTGCGTTATCGCCCTCGCTGTCATGCTCATCTGTATCCTGTTAGGTATATCGATTCCACTCGCAAGGCTACTCACACAAGATCTCTCATCATAAGAAACTCTCTGGACTCATTGTTGCGCAGACCAAGCGAGTTGGAACTCGCTCGAGCAAAAGTACCAAAGATATTCAAACGAGAGCACGCCGTCTCACACGAGAGATGCTCCTTTTCTGGAAGAAGAATGATCGTGAAGAGGGCGTCAATCGTAAGAAGGCAGAGAAAGAAGCGCTGGAGAAGGCCAAAGCTGAGGAAGAGAAAAGAGAGGCGGCAAGACAAGCCAGGAAGCTTGAGTTCTTGATCACTCAGACGGAGCTTTACAGTCACTTTGTGGGGAACAAGCTAAAAAGTAAGATTGGCCTTCGGGGTCCTACGGATTTTGGGGAACTTACGTCCGCTGACTGCTTCTTGGTAGCCTCGGAACTGGAAGCGAGTTCCCAAAAGACTGTTCTAACGGGCACCTCCAAGCATTCCATTGACATTTCGACTCACGATAGTTCCACGCCCCTTGCTGCACTGGATTTCGACAGAGGTACATTAGTTGTGTTGTTGATCGTTGTTTGCCGTTACTCATCATAACTTCTTCTCTCTGAACAGACGATAAAGAAACCCTTACCCTTCATGCGGCGAGGAAAGCCCAAGAGCAGGTCGCACAGGCTCTGCTGCGTGCCAAGGCATTCGATAAGGAAGCAGCCAAGGATCGACAGAAAAACGAAGCCCCTTTTCGAGATACAACTTCCGGTACTACACCTGAGCCTGGCACTCACAAGCCTCTTGTTGATCGTATGTTGTCATATCGCTTTCATATTTTGTGCTGACCCACCGACAATCAGTTGACTCCGATGAGCTCAACTTCACGAATCCCCTTTCAATGGAGAATCTGGAGATTCAGCAACCGAAGATGCTTACCATTCCGCTCAAAGACTATCAGCTCAAAGGTCTCAATTGGCTGGCAACTCTATACGAGCAAGGCATTAATGGCATTCTCGCTGATGAGATGGGTCTCGGAAAGGTGAGCACTGTGTTGAATGATGCTTAATCGACAAGGCTTGAATACTCCTCCCGCAGACTGTGCAATCGATCTCCCTACTTGCGTATTTAATCGAGAAACATGACATTTGGGGCCCTTTCCTGGTCATCGCTCCAGCATCCACTCTTTTCAACTGGCAACAAGAACTTGAACGTTTTGTACCGAAGGTAAAAGCACTTCCGTATTGGGGGAACCCGAAAGAGCGTGCGCTCCTGCGCAAGTTCTGGAGCAAGAAAGAGATCAGTTATAATGAGGATGCACCGTTCAGTGTGTTGATCACGAGTTATCAGATGGTCGTTCAGGATGCGCAGTACTTCCAGAAGGTCAATTGGCAGTACATGATTCTGGATGAAGCGCAGGCCATCAAGAGTTCTGCGAGCGCGCGCTGGAAGACACTGTTGGGATTCCCTTGTCGGAACCGGCTGTTACTCACTGGAACACCCATCCAAAACTCGATGCATGGTATGCTTAGTCAGAGTTATCTTTGACCATTGCTGACGGTGCTCGTGCACTTATTACCAGAACTTTGGGCCTTACTCCACTTCATCATGCCGACTCTGTTCGATTCTCATGATGAATTCAACGAGTGGTTCTCTAAGGATATTGAGAGTCACGCTGAAAACAAGGGCGAGAGTAATCTTAACGAGCATCAACTTCGTCGTCTTCATATGATACTGAAGCCTTTTATGCTCCGGCGCGTGAAGAAGCATGTCCAGAATGAGCTTGGAGACAAGGTAACTTTTGTTTGCGGTTCCGCCCGAAGTCGAGGTACTGACGTCAAGCATCAGATCGAGATTGACCTATACTGCGATTTGAGCTTCCGTCAACGGGCCTTGTACCGTGGTCTTCGCGCGAACGTGTCGGTTCAGGAACTGCTGGTTAAAGCTGCAAAGCATGGGGATGCAGACAGTGCTCGCTCACTCATGAATCTCGTCATGCAGTTCCGAAAAGTTAGTCACTCCTGTTCGAAATGCACTGGGAACTAATGCTGTAACTTAGGTTTGCAACCATCCGGACTTATTCGAGAGAGCCGATGTCACGGCTCCATACGCCTTTTGTGACTTTCCCAAGACTGTCAGCTTATTGCGAGAAAAGGACTTGCTATTTTATTCTAATATCGCAAAAAGCCCCATCTCTCTATCACTCCCCCGTATTTTTTACGAAGATGGACTAATTCATGGTATCCCTGGCGAAGGATCTATCTGCTACGACACGAACCGAGTGCAATCCCTTATCAACATCTGGCGAACCGACTTCTTAGCAGATTCAGCTAGTAAGTCCGCCGACCACACTCCTCTGTTTCAAATGTTTACTCTCCTTAGATTCTGGGCTTTCATTCCTTCGACTTCTTCGTCTATCTCCTGGCGAGACACATTCTTTCTATAGAGCTTCTTTGATGTGTCGAGCAGCATGCACATCTGCGACCCGAGTCCGGTACCGTGATGACGGGCCTCTCTTATAGTGCGCACGTTTCTTCAATGCGGGGGTCCTGTTGAACTGAATCCTTTGCAGCGATGACGAGTTTGTGGCTAATTCTCTCTTGCCTCTTGGTCATGTCGCGTCGACATTTGTCTCCCGATTTCTTGACTCGGCTCCGGGATTACCATCGCTCATGGACATTGCCATTGATTATTGGGAATCGTCATGTCTCTCACGCAGTGATATCTCGAAATATCATACTTCCAAAGTCGTTGCTCCTACAGTACGGCTCGATATATCGGACAGATCCTTCGTGGAGTGGCAGAATCGATGGTTCGAAGGAAATACATCAGAAAATCGGGCGCTATACGGTCTTCCCCCTTCCATTGTCGAATCACTTCCTGCCTATGAAACAATGCAAGACCTCTTGCCCGGGATCAGCCCTCGGGGATTAATCGCATCCTCGGCACGAGACCAACTTCCCAAAAGTCCCATCGTCATTCCGGAACCTAAGAGCCTCGTAACTGATTCCGCCAAACTTGCACGTCTCGACGCTTTACTGGCGGAGCTCAAAGTCGGGGGTCATCGGTGTCTTATTTACTTCCAAATGACGCGTATGATCGATCTCATGGAGGAATATATGACATTCCGCAAGTACAAGTATCTCCGTCTTGATGGCTCGTCGAAGCTTGAAGACAGACGGGATATGGTTCAAGATTGGCAAACTCAGTGCGTTTTATTCTCGGATATTTCTAATTTCTATTGAGCTTGACATGGATGTTAGGTCCGATATTTTCTGTTTCCTTTTGAGCACGCGCGCCGGGGGGCTTGGGATCAATTTAACTGCTGCCGACACAGTCATATTCTATGATCACGATTGGAACCCATCGAACGACTCGCAGGCGATGGATCGAGCACATCGGCTTGGTCAAACTCGCCAGGTCACTGTGTATCGCCTAATAACGAAGGGTACAATCGATGAGCGTATCGTGCAGCTCGCACGTGTAAAGAAAGATGTAAGTGTTAACACAACTTCAGACTCATATTATTATTCATTCCACACGATCAGGTGCAAGACATTGTTGTGGGTGCCAAAGGGTTTGATGGAGCAAGGACGAATGATATCGCAAGCCTTCTTCTCAATGACGACGAGTTGGCTGCTGTCAACGAACGATCTGCTGAAGGACAATCAGTCGCAGTTATTTCTCACAACGATGCAGCCATCCGAATGTGGCATGATGAAGGAGACGACTTCTTTGCACAGCAACCATCAATGCGGACGGCGCTTGATGTTGATGTCAACGAAGACGTTCCTTCGGGGATCGCAACTCCGCGATCCTTGGCAGCCGCGGTCATTCCACAGTCGAAGAAGAAGGCTAAAGGCCGGTCCCACAAAAAGAAAGCCGGTCCGGTAACAGGTAATGTCTTTACTGAGTATCCACGGTTTACCGATCGTTCCTGATCCGGCCTCGTAGGCGACACTCTACCTGAAGATTTGTGAACCCATACAAGCCCGTTCTCATATAGAATTTCCGACTTGATGTTATTTTGAATTATCGTTATTCCTTGGACTGCTAACGCTTCTTTGTACGCGCATTCCACTTTGCATCGGCCTGACTGGGTTCACCTACTTGTTTTTGTCGTGCCTTCGATTGCATCCCATTCAGCCGTTCACCGCAATCCAACTAGCAACTGCTTGTACACATTCTTCCCACCCATCATTAATATTCCCCGTTTGATTGTCTCATAGCGCACTTTAACCCACCCATCTAATTGCAATTGTTTTGCCGAGTCCCTCACTTCATGGACATTTGATCGACCACTGCAAAACGATAGATAATATTAGGATCACCGGTACCAATGGAAGTAGTGAGGATTAGTACTTTGATTATGTTGAGCCGGAAGGGTAAAGTGAGCATGAGTTTGTGGCGATATTCTATGCAGAAGTGGAGGTAGGCAGAACACTTTAGGTGAAAATCAAGATGTAGTCAGGGGACGGTCAAAGTACAGATGAAGATGCAGAGATGGAATATTGGTGAGGGGCTAATATGTAATGCGGGAATGCAAGGGCTAGGTAGTACAAAGTTCTCCCGTGAGTTGTCAAAAGACTACATGCCAATAAAGTTCAATCAAGATGCCACAACCACACGAAAAAGTCAAAAAAAGCATAAACAAAGACATAAACAAGCCAAGCACGAGAAAAAACAGAATGCAAAGGGAGCCCAAAGGACTTGAATACGCAACCTAGATCCGCTGGCCTAAATCTCGCCGTCATAACGAAGTGCAGGTGAATTAAGTTAGATATCAATTAGATCTGGCAACCCTAGGTCCCGGCTGGCTCTTCATCAGACAACGACCTGCTTTCACTGTCTTCAGTCATATCCAGAAAGTTCACCTCTTCCTCCGATTCAGAGTCAATATCGAGGAACGAAGGTCGTTTTAATATGGAGCGAGGTTTCTGAAGCATTGACGCAATTGCTTTTCCGCCAGAAGGGATGGCTGTGTGTGATATTGAGAATGGTTGATGTTGGGGTGGTTGGGGCGAACTGACAGCAGCAGATCGCTTGGAGAACGACGAAACGTCAGAGGGGGGAGCAACGACGATAGTACTGGGAGTAGTCTGAGAAAGTGTTGACGAGGTCATGGCGCGAGGTCGAATGGCATTGATTGATCTCGTGTGTGAAAGAGGGATGGTAGATCCGGGGATAGATGTCGATGAGCTAGTATCAATGACTGCTGAGAATGTTGCTGAGCGCCCACGAGCATGGTCGGAGGGCGGAATTTGACGATCGAGAGCCGATGACATAGAGGGAATACTCATCTCTACGACAGTAGGCGCTGGTAGTGCACCAGGCATACTCGTGATCACCAGAGCGTCTTTCTGGGTGGTCGCGTTGGGATTAACTTCGATTCCACCAAACCTTAACACCGGTCCCTGAGAAGTTGACGCTCTGGGAATCCTCGATCGAGGTGGAGGTGGTAAGCTCTTCGTGACAGTGTTCAATGTCCCTCCGCTGCCTCCGCTTTCAATCAACGTCGTGACTCCTCCAAATGATGCCAGCCCCGTAACTGTTCCAGCCGTAGAGGGACGAGGCAGTAAGAACGGGCAGTTTGACGAACTTGGGCTGAGCGGAGTCCGAGAATTAGGTGTCAGACAAATTGAAGCTCGAACAAACGAGGGGCCAAAGGCCCGCACTGGTGATCCAACCGGTGATTCAAGTGGGCTGCGAGGCAACGAAGAGTTATTTGCGCCACTCTTCCTCGGGGGCGTCAAATTCACGTCCATCATACTTCGTTTGTGTGCCCGAGAGGAGTTCGCGTCGAAACTGGTGTAGTTCCCAACACCTGCGTTCCTGAGCCTCCTCTTTCCATGCCCCCCTTCTTGAGCTGATCAGGTCTAGGTTCTGGATCTAGCTCCAGTAGCAGAGCAACCTCGCGTGGGGACACAATATGCATGTCATGTCTTAGGTCTTCGTCCTCTTCCCTCCCCCTAGATTTGATGGCGTTCAACTCGGCCGTAAGAGATAAAGACGATTCTGCAGTCGGCATTTTTGTCGATGATGCCACCACTGAGGCCGCGACAGCATCAATCGAGGGCATCCGTCGAAGCTTGTTATCCAGTGGTGCATCCATTGTACTAATCGGTAGGCTGTCAACTTCATTAGGGGTTACCGAAGAAGGCGACAACGGTCTGGAGCTTGACGGCGAAGATGCAGGTCCATCTCGGAACCCATTGACGCTTACCCTGGGCGAGGCAAGACTAACAAGATCACGCTGGGTAGAATTGATGGTTGTAACGTCAGAGCTAAGGTGCTTGATGCTAGCAGCTTTTTTCTCTCGAGAAGAGGGACTCCCTTCCACGGAGGAATAATGTCTTAACGTCGGACGTTCCACATCGAGTATGTAATTGGTGGGTGTTGAAGGAGCAAACGAACGCTGTTTTTTGAGTCTCAAGGACGCGCCATTTATGATAGGATTATTGGAACTCGAATGTAAAGGGGAGGGGGAAGACGATGGTGGCGTTTTCTTGATGCTCTTGGACCGCGACGGAACTAAGATGGAGAGCGGCGATAGCTTCAACGCATGTTTGATCGGGTGGATAGTTGGTTGAGGGGGTGTACGTTCAGCAGAATCACTGGTCATTATGTGTGAATCTATACTCAATAAAGACATTGAAGGAGTCGAAGACCTCGGGAGAGGATTGGAGTGTTCCACGTGAAGTGCCTTAGTATCTTCCATGTCCATGGTCAGAGGAGCTGTATTCCCGGCATGGGGCTTTCGCCGCAATTCTTCATCACCAGCGGAGAATCCGGAACCAAATGAGAGTGCCGATGCTCGTGCATCAGGACTCATTGGCTTGAATGGAACGGTCTCATCCATCAATGGCCCTGCGTGGGATTCCCCCTGTGCCAACCGTGAACGGCGTACAATATTATCATCTAGAGAAGAAGCAGCAGATATAGTTGAAAGTTGTCGCGTGTGAGTGGAGTTCACGAGGGGACCCTGTACAAGGGGCTCCGCAGATGCAGGGAGAGGTCTAGTAGACAAGCTCCGTGGCGGAGTAACAATGCTTGGTGGTGTCGTGAACGAGAGGCTTGTGGGTGTTGGAGCTGGTGCAAAGGTAAAAGTGTGATCAGAAAGCTCCCTACAGATCGTGTGCAGACATGCGCGCGTACCTTTGGTGGAGATACTAAGTATCCGAGCGCGTGCACTAATGGATTCGGACAGTAACAAGGCAAATCAGATTACGGAACTGACAGATCAATCGAAACGCGGCGTACCCATCAACGGGCTGAGGTAATAACGTAGAAGGCTTCAGTTGCGAAGGCCTTGAAACAAGGTCGCGAGCTCTTGCATCTGCAGCACGAGACTCCAGGGTCTGACCCCCCACAGTCTGACTTCGCAAACGACGTTCTAAGTAAGACACTCAGGCTCGCTTTCCTCACGATACTAAAACAACCAGCGAGGCTGATGTGGCTCGTGCATACCGGATGAAGTACGACTGGGAGATGTATCATCGTTAATCTTAAAAGCTTTGAACAACGCGGCAGGTCCTATGGGCGCAGACGGATCATTCGAAGCTGTCGGTGTTTGCACCAAGCGCCCCGCTTGACTTAAATGTGAGGTTGCGGCAATATTGATCGTGGGAGAGGGTCGTGCTTGTTGCTTAGGTCGCGCGACATATGAGCTTGAACTTGAGGAGGCAGAAAGCTCTGAACTTGAGGAAGTGGACGTTGCCTCGATAGTAGAACGAGTTGGTTTCGAGCCACTGGAACCTGAACGGAATGCCCTGAAAACGCTTGGCTTCTTTCTGGAGGTGGAGTTGGTCTCCTTCTGGCCTGATGATCTTGATTTTGACGAGGTTTTCCAGAACCATCGTGTGCTATTTGACGCCATGGGGGAAGGCATGTTCATGAGATACGTGAATAAGTGAAAACACAAGGAGCAGTCGACATGGAATGAGGGATAACCAAGGGAGAGACCGAATTGAAAGCAACCCAAAAGGGAAACAATTCAACCATCAATTCCCTTATTCAGTTTTCCACACCGAGCTATTCACGGCCACAAAAATATATAACAGAGGCAATGTCAGCCCTCCGAGCTCATGTTATGACCTTCACAACGGTCACAGGGGGGTCAGAAAGGGACATCACGTCGTTGAGTCTTTTGATTCTTCTGGGGAATGTGATGCGAGACACACAATAATGCAAAGGGGCCAGTGACATATTAAGACTTGCCCTGCAACCTAATCCACCTCACGACCCATCCACCATCCTTCTAGTGCCCATCCAATCTTGTTTAACCCACCTACATATGCCCCAAACGAAACTAGTCCGAACACGGCACCAAACAAGGCGCCACCTGCTACTTGATTCACTGTATGCTGAGCCAACCACACTCGAGACATCACAATCAGCATAGCCCAGGCATCAACCATCAGCGATCCGACGACACGCAACATGAACTCCACCCTCGGCCTCTCAGATATAACCACCAGAGACGAATGGAGCGGCAGTCGCGCAGCTGCGAGAGTGATGTACACCGCCATGCACACAACAGCCGAAGAATGTGTTGACGGCATGCTAACAAGCGATGTAAGTGCCATCAAACATGACTTTTAAGTTCCGATGCGCAGAAAGATTAAGCAAGGGAGCGTTGACAGAGCAGCTTACAAAGCCGCAAGCGATGACCAATCCCGTACAGAATTCTTTCTGCAAGGTGTCCAGCTTTGGAGGAGCTGATATCGAATCCCCCGGAATATTTCCTCCGGCCATCAAGACGCCTGGCTCGGTAGATTGGCACAAACGTTGCCAAAGGCTTGGGAAAAACGGAGGCTTACCCGTAGTCTCTCTCCAATACACGCGGCCGTGCCTTCCCCGTAGAATCATCGACTTCCGCCCGCAGTTGTTGCGGTTGAATGATGGTGGGACGCGGTTGGCGTAGAATCAGCTTTAGACCCTTCGCCCCCAGAACAGCACCAACCGCTGCGGCTCCGAAGTAGGCGAATCCCGCTGATTGCGTCCATAAGATCACGCCAACGGTGAGGGGAATAAGGCCCTAATACGACAGCAAAAGCGGCGCCCACAAGTGATCCACACCAACGTAGGCAAGATCCACGTTGACAGTCCGAAACACAGATAGCGAACGTGTTCATTTGATTTAGTCATTCATTCAAACAAAAATGTGGTGAGTAAAAAGAAACAGGGACATGAGGCCAATATTCACCTTGCTAATAAACCAGAAAAAGAGTCGTTTTGGACTCATCGCATGACTAGTACCGTTTTCCCTGACCAAAGACCCGCGTGACCGATGGTTGTTGATGGGAGCGGAAGCAAATTATTGGTGTCGCGAGACCAGATCGCATGCAAGATTAATCCTCCTTCCATTCATTACCCAACATAAGTATCCGTTCCCAAGTTTGACTTAAGCGTATATATGAGTTAATTGATGGACTTGCTATCCAACACTAGCCTAGAGCGAACCAGAGGACACAAAATGCGATGAAAACGTGGTGCTTGAGAAAATTTGACTTGCACACATCCATCCGAATCAGAGCACTGTTGAAAAGGAGAACCCGTCGTCGATAATATCGCTGAGGGAAATTGTCGGCGGCCAATCCTTACGCCATGAAAAGCTGTCTGTCGACCTACTTACATCTAGGTGAAATCGACTCAGGCCGAGCACCGCCGACTCCATGGAGTTAACCATCTCCTGTTCGGGAAATCCGCATGAAAAAGATCCCGTAAATCAGATCTCTCTATCCTGATAAAGAAAACCAATCATAAGTTCTGATCTCAGTTTGGGTGAAATCGTCTTGCTTGCGCAGAGTGAACATTGCAGCCTTTTGATGGGGCTTTCCGATCTAAGCAAAAGGGTTCCAAGTTAGTGGAGCCGCTCTTTGGCAGGAATAGGCAAGTTATCTGGAACTTTACAAGGTATGCCCAATGGCCAGTACCCAGCTGCGTTTATCACAAGCATTTACTGCGTTCTAGGTCGTATGTGTATATACCAATGACTCCCCGTGACACTGATTTCCCCAGCCCTCCGAGCCATCCACAAAACTCAGCTGCTGGTGAGCGGTTTGTCTGTGGAAGTGTTGTTTAGCTGCGCCACGTTTGTAAATTGGGTTTTACTGAACAGTGAGCATGAACGCGATACCTTTTCTTGTTAGCTATAAATTCTGACTCGAATCTCACCAATCAGCACCCCTGAAAGTTCCGAGTCACCATTTTCCCATGATCGCAGTATACTCCATGGAGACACGAGGACTGGTCACAGGAGGATTATCCATAGAGGCATTTTCAGCGCGGCTTTGGTGTCTGCCGTGAGCCATAACATTCACCCGGCCCATTTTCCGTACCCCGCCTTCCCCCCGAACATGTCTTGAGCGATGAGGTGGTGCTAGCTTGTACTGTACTCAACCCCGGTTGCTGGTCGTTCGTAAAGGAGGCCATCGATCCCGTCATGGACGATCTCATTCACATTCGAATTGTCGGTTCAACATCAGGCCCAACGTCAACAAAACTGTGCCAATAAGGAACACTTCCCGACACGCTATTGCTTCAGCTTTTTGGACAAGATGAACGACCTCCGCCAAAAGCGAGATGCGGTTTTTTTCTTGAAAACGGCTGTAAGCAATACTCCTAACCGTATCACCACAGGAAGACATGATTATCTTCTCATATCCCCCGATTTGCAACGATTTTATCCGATATCATATGAAGGATCGGGAAGCAATGAGCCAGAAAGTGAAAGAGATCGATCCGTTCTGAGATGCGCAGCACGCGACCACAAAGCCCCATGAAACTCTGGATCTTCTCAGCCTCTAGGTGGCAAACTTGACCCATACAATAATTCACGCATTGTGAGGCTGGGAATCTCATCCATTGAAATGTAGTCACCAGCATTGACGCGCTAATATCTTTCATCCGCTTCCTCGCTTTGTCGGGCCGATCCACTCGCGCGCTCGTGCAGGCCAGCACACATCTATAGAACGGCCGCATGTACAACATAGATTTCCACGCCTGTGGCGTCCACCCGTTCAAATACTGGAATCGGCACCCACGTATACGAGGCGCGTTCGTTCATTCATTCTTGGATCTTCTGCTTCGAACAAGATCGGCCCAGGGCCCCGGTTGAAGAACAAGGAGAAGAATCATCCTCTTCACTATCAGGTTTACGTCTTGTAAAAATGTCATCCCAAGGAAACGTGTCCCCTGGGAACACTGATGGAGGAGATAGGCAAAAGCGAAACTCTTTGCGGCTGGATCGGTATTGAGGCATGATTTGATGGCAGGATAAATAAGACGTTGACGACGACAAAAAGCTTCGAAGCCCCTTTCTGCGCCAAAAGCCATCACGCTGCCGATCACCAGCAGCTTGGGGCGCGAGACCGTCCAGGATCGCCGAGTTTTATGAACGAAAGCAGCCGCTTGCGAAACAATTCCCGATAAAAGCAATGCAGAAGCGATCACTATAGTGATCTGACGTGCATGACCTCAGGCGCGTGTGCGAACATCGTAACAAAAGACCGGTGCCGTCAAAATCAGCGTAATTTCGCGAATCAAATTAGCCGAGTTTACGGCGGCGCAAATGGACAAATGAGAGGTTGACTGATCCATGACAACCACGCACACACAAGACAAAGATGGAACCAACTTGGTGAGAGAAGGGGGTTGCATCAAGATCTATTTGAATGCCGAGATGAACAGCATTTCAACGGAGGCGTCCCCGTTAAGTATGTTAAATCCTAGGTAAAAAGAACTGAGTGGCCAAAGCACGCGCCAGAAATGACGGACAGTTTCATAAGGCGAGGCCGACAAGGTGAGGCAATCAGCCGAGAACATCTGTTCGCGTGCGTGCACCCCATGCGAGCGCGATAAACAGCGCACTGATCCCGATTCGCTGCTCCACCGTTAAATCGGTGAGCGGTTTTCGACGTGATCATCACCCAATGAATTTTGTTTCGCGTTGACGAGCCGAAGTCGGTTTCGCTGAAAACACATTTGTGGCTGTACGAAAAGGGCAACGCCACGTAGCCCCAGCTTTTCAGATTTGCACTTGACAACTGCCAATTGATTGTGTGAGGGCAGCCATCCGCAATAGAACCTGCCCCTTACGTGCCAAAGCGGCCTTTGTTGTTCAGGGCACAGGGACTAAGGAAGCTGGATAAGCGAACCATGGTGATCTCTTGAAGGAACAGCGTGTCAATTCAAACTCGGGCGTCGTACATTCCAAACGTGGAAATCGATGTATAAGGGCACATTTAGGTAGAGAAAGTGAACGGCGGAGATCAGCCCCCTTTCCAAAGTGGTGGCCTGATGACTGGGAGAGTTTCCTGCTTGGGATCAGGAAGCGGTGAAAATCAAGTGAGATTCTAGGGGAGTGAATGGCAGAACGGTAACTTTTGCGCAGATCTCCGGTTGTACTTGTCCCCAAATTCGCAGGAACACGGAATACTGCGGTGGAATGCTGGAAATAGGCGTTTGACACGGCGTTTTGGGACGGTATAAGCCGTTTGGAGGGTTTGGCACAGACTAAGAAGCCGGAGTGAATCATAACGACACAACCGTGGCTTTAAAGGGAGCCTAGTTAAGAAAGGATTCCAGGGCCTGGACTCTGTACGAGCTGGGCCTGGAACCTGGAGTCAAGCCTGTATTTAGTATGGCGATCACCATAGATGCATCTAACAACCATGGCATCAACACAGGGCGCGGAAATTGTCCAAAGGTCTTTCCTTGCCGCGGGAAGCATATTCTTCTTCGCCACGGCGGCGGACGATGACCCAGAGAAAACACCTTTGGAGCATTGCTGTGATTAAATTACTGCGCAGTGAAAGATAAGGAGGCGGAGCCAGACACAGCTCGTTTCGATGGCTGCGCGCGCGATTCCTGGGTAAAGACAATCCATGCTGTTCGCGCACGCTCTGCTGAGGCTCACACTATGCAGGACTATTATAACAACAAGCGCCGCACAGTGTTGAAGCACCAGACCAGCCTGAGGGCTGATGGCAACACAACGAGTCATGTGGCTCTCAGGCTTCAGTTCGTAGCGTGTGCTTTCGAGACACGGGCCATCAGCAGGAAGCAAAAACAAGGTAAGCCCCAAGTAGCGTTTGGTGGCTGGCGGATAGCTGAGCAATTATAGTCAAGCTTCCGGAATGAAGTCGGGTGGTTGAAGCATTCAGCGATCGGCTTCAAAAATTCAGTTGCGATCGGTGTTTTCCAATTTCCTTCTCTAGAAAAGGTTGTGAATATGCCTCCAGCGAGTGCTTTGGCTGTTGGAGGGACCTGAACGGACAGTGAAGGGCCACAGATGTGTGGGTGAGATTGGTGCAGATGAGATGGGCTCAGCACAACGACAGTTTTGCTGCCGTAATTTGGCAGCCAATAGGCCGATCAAGGGTGTTGAACACACGGTCCAACCGACGATCGGCAACGGTGAATCTCCCGACGTCGCTGAAAGGGAGTATGAAGCAAATTCAACCAGGTGTTGACTATCACCGCGACGCGAAACCTCGTTCGTAAAAGCAAACTTGATCGGATCTAGAGGTTCGAGAATATCCTTTAGCCTGGAGCAAACATTGTGCAATCGCACGCATGGAGCGCCACAAGCTGCTGCGAGCTTGTTTGACTTGAAGTTTCAAGTGTCATGACATGACCTAAAGAGTTCAATTGGACTCTGGACTCAGCCAAAAAGCTGAGAAGCCACCTCAATGATCTTGGCGACACTGTAACGCATACGGCTCGGTTGACATCCATCGGGATCTGTAGCACTGCTCCATCCGAGCACCACTTAGCTTGGCCAACTTTGACTTTGGCAAAGCCTTGACAACAGATAACCCGCCGGCAGCACGCACGTTCAGCTGTTTATTCCTGGGGTGCCGGGGTTAGCTTCTGCGGTCAGCATTGTGGTTCGCATGAAGCATTATATTACTCGGCTCCTCGGCTGCGCTCGCTGATGGCAAGCGAGGCACGCCGTTTCGACGCGCGCGAACACGATACAGGTCGTGCTCTGCCAACTTCGTGCTGTTTTTCGATAATGAGGTTTTTCTTTCAAAATAGTTGTAACTATCAAATAGTGACAAAGAAAGCCGAAGATCTCCGCGTGGCAGATCGGGTGAACGTTCTAAATAGGGCCCGAATCCCAGCCATCAAGGAAAATATTGTCGAACTATCCGGTCCCCTCTCTCCTCTGTTTGTACATACCCAAAGGCGGGTGTCATCAGTGGTGGGAAGTGGTCTGGATGACTTGGCGAAGCAATACTTGTGGTAGACAAATTGATATGGATTCTGGGAACAGAATCGAGCAGTTGTTGAAAAATGCCGGAACGGGGAAACTCACAACATGAGGACTTGTGCAAACAAAGTTGAAGGCACGTCCCTCCGGCTGCTCAGAATGGCAGAACCCTGTGTGAACAGCAGTGCGTTCGCGTCGATCCCAATTCGTAAGAACCGGAGGCAGCAGCAGCAAGAGCGACCAGCCGGTATCCGGCCCGCTGTCGGTCGACAGAATTGCTTCATGTGTTTGCAGCCCTGGTTCCAATTTTTTTATTTAGTTCCTCTAACAGTACTATGACACCCTTGCCATCATTCGAGGCACGCTCCCGCTGGCTTCTTTCCCTCCCGTGCGACTACATATATCATCCCCCTCTCGTAGACACAAAGGCTATATTCCTCGCTTACGTCCGATAAAGTCGCTTGCACTCTGAGCTCAGATCCTACTTTTGGCGCCGCATCGCGTGTTTCTGTCTCGACTTCCCACTTTCGTCGTATCTTCCGTCGCTCCCATCATGTATGGTTCATCCTTCGACGGCCCCAATAACTCCCCATCCCGTTCGTATTGTGCGGTTGGCTGACCTTGCTGGGAATTCGATTACAGCTGACCGATCACCCTAGACGAAGCGTCAAACGAGGGCAACAAAGTCAACGACGCCCCAAGATACTATCCAAGTTCTGCTGAGATGGAACCCGCGACTCCCTCCTCAAGATATACTGCGTTTGAACAACTCCCAGCAAGCCCCCAGTCATACACACCAAGTACCACGTTCCGTGATAACGTCGAATATGTTCATTACAATCTTCCGGCTGGAGCAGACCGAAGCTATGGTTCGGGTGCGTCTGATCATGCAAGACCCCTGCAAGATTACCGGGGGGACTATCAAGAATCGCCAGCCTCCTCTCCATCCCAATCCTACTCCAATCGGGCCGTTAGTTCGCGGTACGATGGAGAGTGGTCTCCGTATAATAACAGCGTCTATCCTCAAAACCCCTATGTACCAAACTCTCCAACGAGCGTCGTTCCCTGAGGGGCCAAGGACAACCCTGGCCTGTCGAATCCCGCCATCGGTCACAGGAGGGCGCGACTGCGCATCCCACCCTTCCTCCTCTCGCATACCCTCCCGCTTCCACTGGTCAGATGGGCTCTCATACATTTCCTGCCAAACCTCCCACTCCACCTCACGACCATGGTACAAACCCGACACACCACCCTATCCAGCCACACCGCTCGAATTGGAATACGCTTCCGCCGATCCAGCCACCTTACATCCCTTCGCCCACCACATCGACTACTGTGCAGCTGCATTTCAATCAACAACAGCCGCACCACCAACAACGTGGGCAAAGCCCCCAGGACGTCCATTCTTACATGGGGGAAATTTCCCCTCCGTCTATTCCTGCGTCGTTGAACAGCCCATCCTCAATGACCGGATCTGGAACTTGGTATTTAACTCCAGCCGTATTTAACTGGCTAACAGCCGTTCTCGATCCCAAGCGACGGTCGGACAAAAGTAAACCAACGCCTCATGGTCAATGTGAGCTGTGCGACGTTGTATGCCAGAGGTCTGGAACACTCCAACAACATATTATTTGCCAACATCGGCAAAAGATTGCTCGACAGGTTCTAATGTCCCAGCCATACAATGAAGTGCTTGCAATAGCATTTACTGTCGCACAGCTCCATTCAGATTACCAGACTGGCGCACTCACATCTGAATGTGTTCACTTCAGAAATTTGCTGCAATCAGCGCCGCATGGCCTATCATCGCTTTCTATGGAGCAATTTCCACTTCTTCGGGAGAAGCTGTATGAGCTCTCGAACACGGAAAAATGGAAAGGCGCAACGTGCGAGTACTGTGGGCTGCTGGTGCAGAGGAAGGCCACGCTCACCGATCATCTTGCCACGTGTCCATCAAACCCCAACCCTAGGCCAGGGAGACGCAGGCAGGATTTCAAACACACGCAGTCTCGTAAGCTTTTTTCACATTATCAAGCAATCATTTCTCACTCCAATAAATCCCTCCTTCGCATTCGAAAAGCCCCAACCGGGGAATGAATTCATCGAAACCAGGGGATTCCTACATTGGGATCGCCGTTATCACCAATGGTATGCTTTCTTTATTCACATCTTCTCTGTGGCGGATATATCATAATTTCTTCTTCCACTATAGATTGTTTTAGTAGAGTGATCTGTGGGAGTTTTCATCCGAACATTAGCAGTTCCGTCCTAATCTTAGATTAAAGCCCATGGGGATAATTCAGTTGCGATTGAGGGCGGACTCAGCTGTCATTTACTGCATTGATAGGTACAAAATGTAACAGGGTTACATTCAGAAAGGAAGATATGACGATGAATGGTATGAAAATGGGGTGAGCACCGCTGGGAACGATCGGATAATATGGCGTGCGATCGACAGGTGGCGGTGTGATGGGTAAGTATAGTTCGGGACATAGGGACTATGAACACACGATTTCACAAGAAGATTCTTCAGACGGGCATATAGAGGTTCGGGATGAGAAGCCGAGTTACAAGAAAAGCGGAACGAACGGGGAATCGAGTGTTCTGAGAATCGGAAGAAGGTGAATATTTCTACTACTCAAACAGAAGAAGAGAAGCGAAAGCGAAAGCGTAGCACGACGAACTACCCGGCCGGAGAACGGCGCGGTGCTAGCTTAAACGCGAGCAACATTCGTGATGTTACTTTTTCGCGCAAATCATTTGTAGAAAGGTTACCCAGACCCATCAGATATTCTCGTATGCGGAAGGGAGTGCTGTCCACTGGGACTGCATCGAAGGCCCCCTGGGGTATCCTGAAGGCGCCTGCACATGCTGTGGGAGAGGATAATGGGTCGGAGGAGGGAAAGGAGTGATGTATTGGTCATAGAATTGTGGATATCCATACATTGGGGGGTATGGTCGGCCAATAACCTCTGCAGAGTTTGTGTTCGCGGACGGAGGACGACCCTGATTTCCATGTGGTGAAAACGTACTCACGAGCTTGCCTTCAGCCATTTGTTGGAATGTAGGTCCGTGACCACTCATTCGGGCATCGGAGCCGATATTATGAGGATGATAAGAACCTCGAGAAGACTTCACGTTATGATGACTATTTCGAGCCCGCCCTCGGCCAGGCGTCTGAAGGGAAGCGGCTTGGGAACCGGAAGTAATTAAGGCTGGTTGAGCTGGTTCAAGTTTCGGCGTAGGATATTGGGAAGCGGTTGGCACTGCGGACATATTATGAGAATTAGGCGTGCTTGAGTGATGCTGACGGTTGGATGCTTGAGAAGGCGAGCGACTCATACTTTCAGCATCGATGGTGTACCCTGCCAAAGGGTACCCCGGAAGTAATTGGGTTGCAGTAGGTACGGACGGGATATGATGCGTGATAGCTTGCTGAGGGAGCCAAGGAGGTGGGGGCTGCCAAGGAGGTGGATGGTTCCAATAAGTCGCCCCATTGGACTCGGTTGGGGAGCGGTGCGAAGTAGCGGCCATGTATTGATTCAATGCCTCATTCCTATAAAGGGGAATGAGCATTCCTTGCTCATTTTGAACGAAACCAGTGGGCTGGAGTGGTGGGAGAGGGCTAGAGCCGCCGTTTCCTTGTTGAGAAGACAAGCTTCCCTCGGAGGGGTTCATGTAAGGAACGAAGGTCTGTATAAAGTTGGTGTTAGTGTCGGACTGGCGTCCATAAGTTGGAAACGCAGGCAGGCATACAGGGAAGTAAGATGCATGGGGCGGTGGCAGGGATGAATGCTTCCAAGGCTGAGGGGAATGCCCCGACAAGGAAATCATCTCGGCATTGATGAAGGGAGCTGACATAGTAGGTACCGTCATCGTGGGGGTTGCTGCACTGGACGTCCCAACGGTCGAAGGGCTCAGTTTGGGATTCGCAGATACAGGAGACTCGGTGGGAAGAGGTTTCTTCAATCCTACCGAAGGAGTTGCAGGATCAGATTTGGCTCGTGAGCGACGTCTGTTAAGGTGATTTGTAGGTCGATGCATGGTTTGGGGAATGCTTCGATTAGGAGAGGCTGAACGGGAAGTTAGAGGAGCCTGAGCATCTTCCAGCGATAGAAGGGGCGCGTCTTTGAGAGGGACATTAGATTTCGTAGGAGAGACTTCCTCGGCCACTTCAATGTCGGAAGAGGCAGGAGTATGCGGAGGAGACATTGGATGGGACTCTGGAACAACAACCACTGGCTGAGCAGTCTCTACCGCAGTAGCGGGATTCCCTACTCCATCGATAACAGAAGGGCTTACATTAGGGCCAGTCCCCCCTTTATCGGCCAAGCCCTCAAGACCCAACCCTTGGATATTGTGTGTGCGACGCCAATGAATGCCGCGCCCACGATTGAGGTTGGTACTGCTGTACTTGACCCGAAGGACGCTACCCCCATAGATGCTCCCATTCTGTAAGCGGGGATACTAAGTTGCACCATCATGTGCAGGCCACGCGACTCACCTCGCCATCAATTGCGGCTTGCATGGACGAGCGATCCACGTACTTTAAAAAAGCATGTCCCGGCCCTGCATGCGTCTTGAAAATTAACTTGATGGACTCAACGGCCCCGTATTTAGAAAAGACATCAAGAATCGTAATGTCTGTCCAACCATATGCACGATCAAGACCACCAACGAAAAGGGATTCACTTGGGAGCTGCTGAAGGCTGGCTGAAGGAGAGGGAGTGACGGGAGCAACAGTGGATGGCGTAGGCAAAGGAGAATGCGTGAGGGAGATGGGTGTTTCCGGAGGAATGTTTGGGAGAGGGGATTCGGTTGGCATACCGCCCGAAGCTAGAAGTTCTGCGCTATTGCTCTCTGCCGTGTGGCGTCCAGGAGAATATACAGACCAATCCATTCTTGATAAACCGCGAGATCGAGAAATTTGTTCATTCCCCTTACAGATTCTGCGATAACCCGGTCTTCGCCAGCATGCCAACACCCTTCCAACTTCCCTTCATAGCATCTCCAGGAACATACTTTCGCTCATCGTTCATTTCTACAGCTCCGGGTAGAGGCGGGAATTCGTCTAGAACAGGCGCTAACCGACGATTCTCGGAGCCAGGCAAAGAAACAATGGCCATGTGAGGGCTTCGCCGCGATGAAACCAAGGGTGATACAGTAGGCCCATTAATTTTTGACGGAGATGGGATGATGATGGGCGGTCCTTGGTGATTGCCGGAGTAAGGGGTCCAAGGATGATTATAATAGTGAGATGGGTGAGGGTGTTCATGAGCCCATGTTACAATGAGGTTCGGAAGCTGCGCAAGAGTCTAAAAAAAATCCAGCGAGCTAATCAGGGCGGTTGCGGGGTTGACTTACATGCACGGCTGAGACTGCGTCATTTCTTTGTTCCCATTTGACCTCTATCATCGAGGATCACACGTTGGTCAAATGTTAGAATGCACTTGTAGAATCACATACCCCAGGTAAGGGAATTCTCATCTTGTGGCTGGTCGGGGGTGGTCGGGGGATGTGGCGCAAATGGATGACCACGAGCTTCTTCGGATGTGGGAACACGAAAACTCTGGAAGGACTCGAGGGGACCAAAGACTTCAGTTAGCGCTTTCATTGTCTGCTTAACACGTAAGAGTAGACATTATCACCAAAATCATAATACCCACTGAAGCACGCGACGCATCTTGATTGAGAGATATGAGAACCCCAGATCCTTGGAGGGGATCCTCCGATACCCACTGCACCTGCTCTTCTATTAGAGAGAAATTTCTGGCCTCATCATTATATGTTACTTGAACAAATCTAGTCTTGTCGTAAGCTCCTTATAACGGGATTAATGGACTGCGACCACACACCTGGAACGCGGCTCTGGTCTGCGAAAACGAACCCAATTAGTACAGTCTTGGGACGCAATTCGTGCACTCTGAGGCAATTTAGTGTGGTCCGTGGGCGGGAGCGGGCGGAAGATATAAGGAGGGTGCGGTGCGCCTTCGCGGGCTCGCAGCGAATGCACCTTCCTCTAATGAACGACATGTGGCAGGCTTGGATTGCTGCTGCCGCTTCTTCAGGGGTCTTCGTTATAATATAAATGAGCCGAATGGGCCTCCGGAAAAAACCTTGATGAAGGTTTGCATACCTCAAACTGGACAAAGGCGCAATTAGCGGAATGACCAGACTTTACATCATGTATGAACTTTATGTTGATGATGCTTCCGTGCTTGCCCAATGTGTCCCTCAATAATTCATCGAGCTCGGCGTTGGGGACGGGTGGCAAACTGGCGACGAAGACCGACGCATTGTGATTCCAGCGCGGCAAAGGACGATGACCAAGTGGATGACGCGGACCAAAACTTTGCTCTATGGTTGAGGAGGTTTCTGGAACAGTTTTTGAAGGCGTGATTCTGTTGTTGGTGTCCCGAGCGAGCCCATCGGCGTCTGTTCTGTCATCAGGGGACGCCCAGCCTCCTCGAGGGGCTTGTTGCCAGTGGAAGACAGCTCAGAACGCGTCTCAGATTGAGGATCGGTATAGAGCGTCGGTTCTCGGGATGTATCTTTCTCATACTCTTCAGACGCCACTGAGGAAGAATCGGGCAGTGCATCGTAGCGGGTGCCCCACGTTCTACCGTATCGAGGGGCATGACGTGGCATTGGGCTCAAGTACTCAGGACTGGATAGGTATAATGGATAGTGGTAATGAAAGAAGATTTACAGGAGGTCTTCAGACCTTTATAGGATCAGGGTCCTCCAATCCGCGTCATTTTGGGTCCGGGATGAGGGCCGAAAGACGCGCTAATGACGCGAAATTCCCTATGAAGACGCGTCCATCAGTACCACAAGAAAATTGCAAGCCCCCCCGATGTGTTAATCCTACTCTTCCCCTCGACTTCTATGACATATATGCATGTGGCGCGTTCGACATCTCACAAGATTCGTTCGGCATTTCCCGTCTTCAACCCCGGACTCACCGCCAGCTTGATTTGGGTCAATAACTTGCACTTTTCTCATGTCTGACGACGGAGGCGATGATTTTGTTGGGTAAGCCAGAGGTCTAAATGCTCAGAATCTTCCTTACAGCCTTGGTTCAAGGAACGAGAACCAGGCCTACGTACGTCCCACAATATTTCTCAATCATCCTGCCCATTTATCTCGTAACACCCTAGGATGACGAAGAAAATGATCTGTTGATATCAACAGAGCTAAATGATGAGTACCCACAAGAGGAAGCTGCCGATAACGGTGCAGAAGTGAATGGTATCCAGACAAATGGTCATGTGGATAACACAAGAGGTTCGGCGGGCGTTGCTCGAGAACCCAACAAAGTCCGCGTCACTACGCCTTACATGACGAAGTATGAGAGGGCCCGGATCCTTGGCACTCGCGCACTTCAAATAAGGTGCGAGTTCAGATCCCTCGCCTCTCCCACAACTCATCTTGCCACCTGCAGCATGAATGCTCCAGTGTTGGTTCCGACTGACGGCGAGACCGATGCTTTGCAAATAGCCATCAAGGAGCTTTCTCAGCGGAAAATACCACTCATCATCCGACGTTTTCTCCCCGATGGAAGTTTTGAAGATTGGAGCGTTTCGGAACTCATCAGCGAATAATTTAGCATGTCAGAATACTGTAGATTAGCCAGTGTTTAATTTCCCAATGTCCACAACTATTAATATGCTCCTAGAAGGCCAGGCAGGACTCCAGCCTCTATGACTGCGCGTCTATGATCTTGGTCGCGTGACTGCTTACTCATTTGCTCCCCGATATCACAGCAAGTTAACATGGGTGAGCTATCACCAGATTCTGCGTGTGATCACCGGCTGATGGCGCTGTCCAGATTACCAGGTCAATAGCTTGACTACTCTGCGAAGAAATCGCTTAATGACAGGATTCCTTAGAATCGAGTTGGGTCCAAATTTGGAGGTGGTGGTGTGGCTGGTGCCTCAGAGACCAATGTCGATCGGCGAGAGCGACTAAGAAAACTCGCAATGGAGACCATCGACATTGCGAAGGTTTGTCGGCTTCAGCATCATGCATTCAGACTGCCAAGATTCTTCACAGGATCCATATATCCTTCGAAATCACCTCGGATCCCTGGAATGCCGATTATGTCTTACACTTCACACTAATGAAGGATCATATCTTGCACACACTCAAGGAAAGAAGCACCAAACGAACCTGGCGCGTCGTGCTGCCAAGGATATGAAAGAGACGCAGCTCCTGGTTGCACCTGCGCCTTCAAACATTCAACGCAAGCACTTCGTGAAGATAGGCAAGCCAGGCTACCGTGTCACAAAAGTTAGGCATCGAACGGACTATGATGCTTATGGAAATGTCGTCCCAAGGGGTGATCCTGTCTCCGTAACCTCAGTCGCTAAAGAGGGCTTGCTGGTCCAAGTTCACTTGCCGCACATCAAGGAAGGCGTGAGGCCACGGAAACGAGTCATGAGCGCTTGGGAGCAGAAGAAGGAGCAGGCGAACCGAACTTATCAATACCTGATTGTAAGTGGTTGCCCAGGTCTTGAAGTGCTCAGAATGACCTTGGTCTTTTGTCAGGTTGCGGCGGAACCGTATGAAACCATTGCCTTCCGCATACCAGCCCGCGAAATCGAGAGTGAATTTGATGATGACAGCGAATGGAACTGGTCTCGATGGGATCCAGACACAAAAGAATACTCATTCCAGTTCATGTTCCGCCAGTAATACTGTGTTTCTGATCCTTAGCTTAATTGTATCACTTTGTTGCGCCCACCGCCGTGCAAGCGCGGCGACATCCCTTGCCCGCATCAGTGCAAAGTGGTTTTGGCATTACATACTCTAGCAGATTGAATCTACTTCGCCCTCGAAGCCAGAGCAGCATTCATACCCATCCAACTCTTCTCAACGAGAGTCATTAACTTTTGCACATCATTTGACCACTCATTCATGACATCCTCCGCGCTTTTTCGCCCCCGGAATGACACGATCCCTGCCGGCCGATCAATTTGGGCATAGACGGAACCAGAAACAACAAGTCGGCTGAGAGTCTCCTCCGTCTCACGAGGTGTTAAGTCTAGGAGGGCCGTTAAGCGAGGTAATCGTATCCGAGTGTAGTACTGTGCGATTACTCGAATATTCTAAGAAACATCATTCAGCGACCTTGCCACCTACATGGGGGAAAATGCTCAACGTGTTCGATAACCCGAGAATGCAAATCATTCCAACGCTTGTCCCCTTCTGATGAGGTTCCAAATATTGGCGTGACACGCAATGACGGTCCATATATCGTCTCTATCCCAGGCCATCGCATGAGTTCACGAGTGACGAAGCACTTTGCAAGATTGCTATGGCGAGTTAGAAGCTCAAGATTCCAGCGGATGCTTCGAAAACTCACTAATGTAGATCCAGCTTAGCAAGTGCCGGATTAATATATAGACGATGAAGCATGTCCGACTGCTCATTGCTATGTTCAGCCAACACAATGAAGCAAATGATGTTCTCAAGAGTTGCCTTGCCCTTTTCTTGTTCGTCGGCCTTGACGGATGGCGTCTCCCATAGTTTATAGTAATACTTGGCTGCATCTAGGTACGAGGAAGAATGCAGGGCATGCTGAATCATGAGGTCATAATACTTGAACTTGAGCTCCTGTTGTGACATGTTGAAAGGGTGATTTCGGGAGTGCATAATAGCGGCACATACTTCATTCCCTTCCTCTGTCAGGAAGATTTCCGGTACCTTTCTCCCTCCGACGCGAACCTTGAGCCACTCTGCATCCCCGTCGAGGCTGGCCACAGCCTTGGCATTTTCATTGTGGGGCCTTTTGTCTTCAGCTCTTCGCCCTCAGCGTCTTTCATTCGAGCCACTGTGACAAGAAGTCTCATTTGCTCGAGAATAAACTCCGTCTTCTCCCTCCGTTCCATTGATGAATATGTCTCTACTTGCAGCTCCGAAAGAAGATCTGACGCTGCAATGAGGGAATCGCGTGGGGAGATGGGAGAAGGGCTTGAAATCGCCGTGGTCGGCTTCGGGGTGTATGTCGTATCGGTGTGGAAGAGGTTCTCGTGCCATTTCGAAAGGATAAGCGTCAGTCGAGCTCTTGGAGTTTCGAGATGAACCTGGACAAGAGATTGAATATCGTTTGAATGAGGCATTGAGAATGGTGTAATCTGCACCTTCCCTTCTGTAACAGATTGGAGCGTCTGGAGTAGATCCAACCATCTGTCTTCACCAGCCTCTGTTTTCAGATGGTCCAACCAACCCGCAGCCTCCTCAACCATAGCCTTGATTGGCTCTTTTAATTGGCCATGCTTTTTGCTGAGCGTCGCTATTTGATTATTGAGCCCTTCATAATCTTTCGAAGCGTATAGTATGTTAATAATTGCAGAGAGAACGCGTGTTGTAGTTGCAGGGTCTGCAGCCTAGATCGTAGACCGTAAGCGGGGGCTCCCATCCTTCTTGGGTACATGCCAACATTTCTACTTTGTTTCTCTATAACTAGAAGCTTGTCGATAGCATCATTCTTCTTCCCGGCCTACAGGAATATCGCGTCAGGACGAATACATGCTTTGAGAGGTGGTACCGACTCCGGCGAGGCTCTTTGCCTGAGGAATTATCACATCTGCTTCCTTGCTATAGTCTGCATACAGGGATGTCAGAATACACGAGGGCTAAGATGGCAGGATGATAATACCCTTCTCCTGCTTCTTGGTTTCTGCCATTCTGGTGGGCGATTGGAGAATTGCGCGTCGCGTCCACTGAATTCAATCGGACGTTGCCTTGATTGGCCTGGGAAAGCTGCCCTGCATTCGAGCAAGATGCCTAGACAATTTGCATGTCAAGTTCATTTGGCCACCTCGCGGTTACTGAAGGCTGGGGTTCTCCAGCAGCCCCCTGTTTGGTATAATGCTGTTGTTTCATATCCCCCTATTCCTCTTCCGCCTCGCGACGCTCCTTGCAGACCGGTGTTTTGGCTACCAGAAGAAGACAACAAGACACAGGGTGAATTTGTCTCATAGAGTGAAATCTATGGTAGTTGGTCATGGCTAAGGCAAAATGTCAGGACATAAGATTCCTTTTGACCTTCCTGTGAAGGCTTTTACACCTAAAGCTCAAGAAAAAGCACGTCAAGCTATCAAAACCCCACCACCGCGCATACAATCCATAGAATACACCGAAGATCGGATACGGAGTCAATTTTTTCGTGATCATCCCTTTGAGGCTCTCCGGCCGCGTACATTGATCGAGCAAGGGTCCCTAAGGACAGAGCATCTTGTCCAAGGTTTGGAATGGACACGCCTCAGCCAACATGGTCGCGCTCCTCACCTGAGGAGTAAGTCCAGTCTCGGATTGTCCCCTTCACATTCTCATCACTCATCCGGTGATCCCTTAGAGCTATAAAATTCGCCACATGTTTACACGACTACCACAAGAAGTCCATCACAGAAGCATACCAAACGGCTGTCTCTCAATTCCGTGCCTTACGAGCAGAGCATCACATGGCAACCCTTTTTGCACGTAATGAAGCCGTTTTCTACGGCGCTAGGTTCCGCCCGGATCAATCGACCCGCGCATACATTCTCGAGAACAAAGCTCTTGGCACGTGGACTCGCACGTCTGACGCCAGCGCAAATGCAGGGCGCCAGAGACGGACGCTAAAGGGGAAGTACTTCCCTGTGTGGATGGGTCGAATGGGCGTGACGGATTATTGGTCTCGAGGCGTGGGTTACACGAGGCGTTGGATGAAGGGCATGCCACCCCCATATTGGCCCACGAAGGGAGAAAGGAGAGTGAAGGCACAGCAGAAAGCCGCAGACGCGGCTCAGACCCTCTTGCATGAGAAGGAGGAAGAGAAGGGAAGAAACCTTATCCATAATCCTTGGTGACAATGTTAATGAAGACATAACACAAGGCTTCGCAATTCGCAAGCACTTCAAGTCTCAGTTCATTCATTTATTACAAAAGGTTTGAGGGTTGGACTTCCGTGCTCAGAAACGATAGCCATTATGCAATTGAGGAATAACATTCTCTGGCTTGGAGTATACAGAGGCGTGGGGGACCCGTCCGCCAGGTAACCAGCTGGATGGATCAGTTAATATTCATGCACAGTAGTATGAGACAATGTTAGCTGGTTTCTTTATGCATTAGGAATGCACTGTTGTACATCGAAGCTGCGGCCCGACAAATGCTCCTAAAATACTGTGACATAGGCTACAATGGTGCTGTGATTCGCTGCAAGGATAAAAATGCGCTGGGCGCGTGGAAAGACATGGATAACATTATGGGTTGTCGGTACGGTGAAGGAATACGAGCCGGTGGATGTCCTGCGGCCTTCCTCAAATATTTGGAGACAGCCTGGTGGCAGAGTTATTCAGAGGTGGAACTTGGTGCCAATCCTTCAATACTCACCAATCATACTTGACCATCTCATCTATATTTACCAATGCGGACGAAACCAGCTCTCTCGCCTCAATCCATACCCAAAATTTGAGCATGGCACCAAAATTGCCTTTTGGGATCTCGTTCATCGCATCCCTGGTCGTCATCTGACTGCCCAGCTGCCTCAATATCGGCAACGCACTCTTGAACAGGTCCATATTGGGATCAAGCTGCCGTCCGATCCCCTCTAACAATAGAACCGCTAACACTGTGTTGATAAAGTCGCCTTCCATCCGCACATGATGATCCCGCACGTTGATCAACACCTGAGTGAGGACGTCACTGATCTTGATCTTCCCGAGACTGAATGTCTTGGATTTGACGCCTAGGACAAGATGCTGCATCTTGAGTGCAAATGTCTCTGTATCGATCGCAAGTTCGGGGGTACGGCATCGCTCAATCATAAGCACGCCTGCGTGATACCCGTTAAACTCCGCAATGGCCCGAAACAGATCGAGAAAGTTCCTTCGGTTAGTCTGGTTTAGAGTTGTGACAAGACCCGCGTCAATGAGGACTAGAGCAGGGAGATAACCTTCTTTGGAAATCTTTTCAAGTTCAGCTTTCCACGCTTCCCGATTGCACTCCAGTGGACGGAGACGCTCGATGACTTGGTCGGATTCTTCTGAGGGCGTAAGACCTTCGTCATTGCGACTCTGATGAATGGACGTGGGATGAAGGTCGTCATTTTGCGGGCGTCTCGCATAGAGAATAGAATGAAGGATATTTTTATAGATGTACGTAGTTGTTGGTTTGTAAAATTTGATCATGATATTACCCGGGTGGAGATCTGAGTGCACAAAATTGTCAATGAGAAGCATGTTCTTGCATGCATCATCCATAAGACATCCATTTTCATATCAAGGGCATATAGGTCTTACCAAGAAGACATCTAGGCCAAGGTCGGCCAATCTATGGTCATACGGCCCGCCACCATTTTCAAGGAACGCTTTGAGCGGTAATGCATTCTGATGCTCCTCCACAAGTACATCGGCACTCGTGAACTCCTCCAGAGGTCTCGGGAATGTCACAGCTGCTCGTTTATCTGCGAAATTCTTCTCGAATTGCCTCAGATTGGAAGCTTCATGAGTTAAATCCAGTTGTTCATTCATCATCGTTCCAAACACTTGCACTTCGTCAGAGAGCGAGAGCCATTCAATTCCTGGAATGATGCTGAGACACTTAGCAAAGAAGGACATGATAGCCAGATCACGACGGATCATGTCCGCCACACCAGGGTGCAAGACTTTGATTGCGATAGAAGTAGATGGGATGACAGGCGGCGGCACATCCGGAGAGACCAGAACGCGCGACGCATTGGCCAAAGCCCTGGGCCATTCCTGACGTTCCTTCGAATGTTTTGGACTCAGGTAATGGGCAGGGATAAGATCTGGATTAAGTGTCGCGCAGTATACCTGCCCAATAGCTCCCACGCCAATGGGTTTTTCGTCGAAGGAAACGAAAACCTCATCAAACGGTCGCTTGAACACTCTTTCGATGACACGCTTAGTGTGTCGCAATGAATGAGGCTCGCCAGCCGAATGGAGCTGCCCGAGTCGCTCGCACATCTCTGCAGGAAAGAGATCCTGCCGCGTAGCAGCCCATTGAGCGAACTAAATTTAAATCCTCTAAGTTTGGAACACTGAACAGAAGGTATACAGGGCTTGTCTCACCTTAATGAAAGTGGGTCCCGCCCTCTGCATCTGATGTGTAAGAAAGGCATACCAAACGAGAGCCCCTCGCCTTCCATTATGCTTCCCTTGCCGTGGACCGAAGAGGATGATGGGAATAGTAAGAAAAACGGGTACAAACAGAAACGTTAAATGAATGAAGCGCCGAGCAATTAGTATTGGTTCCCATATTTTAAACTTGATAAATAACAATATTTTCCGCATAACGGACTGGCGCTGCTCCTGAGGAGAGGACATCTGGTGGGTGGCGTATGAAGCGTCTTTCGTGGCAAAGGACGTGCAAGGAATGGCTTTGGGAGAAGATAGGATCAGGGGAACAGGAGAAGTTTCCCTCGGAAAGAGGAGGACAGCTGCACCAGCTACTGGAGTAGCCAAAAATAAGGAGCACCGAAACCATCTAGGAGACTCTTTAGTGAACCTTGATGAGGAGTGTGCGAAACGTGCCCTGGCACTTGTGCCACAGGCCAGAGTTGGCCGCCGAGAAATACCGAGTGATGCTAGCCAGATGCCCCGCCCTATCCGAGGCTGCATCTATACGGTCGATCGTCGCCGACAGATGAACGCTGTCGCGGACGTCTATCGTTTAGTGGAGCCAAGCGTGGGAGATAATTTTCACAAGAAAACGGCACCGGAAGCAAAATACACGTGCTGAAGGCAGCCAAAAGTTGTTCCTCAGCTCAGTGTCATGCTTCGCGCTCCTGATTGTTTCTTTTCGGGCTCGTAGAGCGCCTTGAACTGTATCCTGCTGCAGATTTGGCTTGCTCGAGGCAAGAAGTGACACGTTGTCCGGCTGCAGTTATGCCTTGTTGACCTTCAGCGACAGCCTTGTCCCTCGCAGCGGAGGCTTCCCATTTGATTAGCTTGTAGCATCCTTCGCCTGGTTCGCGGCTTGTGTGACCTTGTCCTACATAGAAACATGCTCAACAACTCTATCAGAATGCTCAATGTATCTGAACAATTAGTTCTCATGATTAGGTTTGAGCGGTGCCCGAATCGACGTAAGATTGACAGCACCAGAAGAATCAGAGACAGCTACATGAGCTCGGTCGGTGAAGGTTGGCTCAGGATCGAGTGAGTGAGTATACATACATTATACGACTGGTCATTATACACCCGCATGCACGTAATCCCTTGCTCGATCTGCTGCGCCTTCAACAACACTCTTTGCTAACTCTTTGCCTGCCCGGGAATGAGGTCCACTGAGTTGCTCAGCCTGGGTGGTGGCTGCGCCAGTTTCAGGAGATGTACAATTAAATGGAGGCCTCATATCCAACAGCCCACTCACTCCTTGGCGTAAGTCGCCGTTTACGATCTGCGGCAGCCAGAGTGCTTGGAACCTCTTCACCACTATCTCGGTGTGGCACAGGAGAAAGTCCCACTGAAATTTGCAAAGTATCCACCCAACAGGTGACGAAGGATGTTGTTAGTCAGCAGGTCCGAGTCGAAGCGACACTTGACGCGACCGGGGAGACAGAAACTTCAAATCGAGCCTTCAGAGCAGGATTGGCTAAAGGGGCATCGGTCAGATATCCAATCGCGTGCCGAGCCTCATACCGAGGCAGTACGCGAGAAGTTAGGCCTCGAAGTTGGGGAAATCGCCCGACCTGGTGTTCCCACTAATCAAGCCTCCAACATGACCCACCAACCATGGATCTCGATCTACGGGTACACCGGCATCGATCCGACATTCATGATCCTTTGTTATGTTGCAGGATCGATAGGGACAGGATCCGACGAAAATAGTTGTGTTGCACAATACCATTTGAATTTTTATTTCCAACTTGAATGTATTGGCGAGGAACGCGACGAGCGTCTCGCGGGTTTAATCCGCCCGAAAACCAGATGAATAAATATTACTGGTGCGTTTAAATGGCTGTAGATGGGAATCACACGTGCAAACGTGGTTCCGGGGACTATCACTGCGTCGCAAAAAAGTTGTTCATTCCTCGAAGCCTTGAAAGACACACGGAACCGCCACATACATAGCACTAACCCATTCTTAGCAGTAAAGCGCCCGCCAGCTGATGCGTGCTGACCACAATACCCTTCCCGCCACAGAGCCGGTCGTTCGTCCTTTGATGTTCTCATCGGTTGGGTGTGAACTTCTCCTAGTAGCTGAGACAAACGGCAGTCTGGTGCAGACATTCTGTTAAGGAAGGAGGCCGGATGGACAAGTGTTCCGCCAAAGATCACTACGACGGGTTTAATCTATTGGACATGTAATCGAAAACCCACTAGCGGCTTATGACTGGGAATCCCAGGGACTGGTTAACACGGGTGTTAGAACCAGCAGGAAAGGACGGAATGCACCACGGTCACCTGCGATTCGGCGAGAGCGGCTCCCCGTCCTCAAGCAGAATCTCACGTCGATGACCCTGAGGCGACAAATATTCGCACAAAAAAGTTACGTCCGATTCGGTTCCACACCGGTTGTTCGTGCCGACATCCAAGTGGGAATTGTAAACCCTGCATTTTCACACTATAACGAGCAGAAGGGGCGTAGGCACTTAACTAGGATCAATGCAATCTGATGGTTATCAAGCAGAGTAATCCCATATGATTTTGCATTCCGTGGATGACCCACAGAAATTGAAAAGGGGAAAAAGTCTTATGCTGCATGAAATGGGTTCAAGTGAAGACATTACAAAACCCGAGGACCACTAACTCCCGACGATAACAACCAGATCCCCCTCCATGTAGAGACGATCCCCTCATGTGCGCCAGACACGATGTTACGCACTGCCACGTCATCACGAGGCCGCGGGGTATTAAGATAGATTTATCATCATCATGGGTTCAAGTGAGGTGACCACAACTGGAAGTAGCCAAGTGCACGGCACGGTGTGCCCCCATAGCAGCTCGTAAATCCGTTTCTCGGGATTCATAAGCTGAAATGGGCACCTCACAATATCGCTAAGCTAAGTAGTTCGCCGCGAGGCCGTACATTCAAGAGCTGCAAATCCATAGTTCAGTCGGGAGTGAAGTATATAACCAGGATGCCAAACAAATTGGTTCTTGTAATACCAAGTTTCCTTAGGAATGGGCGGAGTCTCACGTTCGTTGACAGGCTGAGAAGATGTCAGAATATTGAGTCATAAATGTGTTAGAAACGTGACTTCATCAGCCACTCTCGGTACCGAAACAACTGTTCCACCAACTTGACATCCAACCTCCGCAAGCGTCATGGCCGGAAAAGAGAGAGCAGGCGTGAGTGCACCGAAGATCCCCACTTATTCTCAAGCCGATAGCTTCTTGTGTCTAATATGCTTAGTATACTGTGACGATGTTCGTCATCGATGTTTCTCCGTCGATGGGAGAGGAGCGCAAAGTTGAGGTCGCACCTGGGCCTAATGGAGAGCCAATATTTAAAAAGACGACAAAACTGGAGTGGTCGTTGAAATATGTGAAGCATAAAATTCAGCAAATGGTGAGAGTCTTTAAGAGCAGTCGCCGTTACCTCTGTTCATCTATCCTAAGATATTCGCTGGGCGAAAATCGGATAAGTGCGGAGTTATTCTTTTTGGGACAGAGGGTATAATTTTGTTTTCTCTGGATTTTTGGATCTTCTTACGGTACTTCAGGGACAAATAACGTTGTCAGCGACGTGCATGGGGGCTACGATCACGTCACAGAATTCCTCCCTATACATCAGCCTAATGCCCGCACACTATACAAGCTTGATACGATTAAACCCTCAAGCACTGTCGGTGACCGTAAGATTCAGGTTCTAGCTCGACTTTGGGTCTTGATTCAAAACTCGCATCTCCAGCGCTCGATGGAATTATCGTAGCACTTTCAACCCAACAAGATGAACTGGCGAAGAAGCCGAGTTGGAACAGAAGAGCTATTGTTATAACCGATGGAGAGTGTCCCATGGAGGTTGACAATGATGATATGAGTGGAGTGACTGACAAGGTCAATCAATGGAACGTGGATCTGACGGTAGTGTAAGTGTCGAGATTGGAAGTCCTTGGAGATTCCTCTAATTGACCTGGCATGCACAAGAGGTGTGGATTTCGATGACGAGAATTATCCATACGATGGCCCAGAAAAATCAAACATCAAGGTATGCCTGGTTTGGTATGATGCTAGCATGCCTCATTCGAGTATTCTTAATAGATGGCCAACGAAAAGTTTTGGCAGAAGTTCATCTCACTCACACAATCCGGTTCGATGGGGACTCTTGCATACGCATTACAAGTGACGCAATCGCCAGAGATCAAAATTACTCGCTCCACTCTCAGCAAGACCACTTTATCTATAGGCGACATTCACATCAGGCCTGATGAATCTATTGAAATCCTTGTCAAGACAGGGAAGGCGACATCTGGAGTCACTCCGCCTAGTCTGAAGAAGTTTACCATGCGGACGGATAGCGAAAGCTTGAAGGAGAGCCAAAATCAGCAACAGCAGCTCAACCCTGTCATGCCTTCACTCGAGGATGTCGCTCCCCTGGAGATGAGCACTCAATATGTCGTGAAAGAGGATAATGACGTCGATGACGTCAAGGCTGGGAGACCTGCACGAAGTTTCGAGGACGATGAGGAGGGAGGTGACGATGAGATTCAAGATCCTTTCGAAAATGCACAGAGACTGGAGAAAGAGGACCTTATCCGTGCCTACAAGTATGGTTCCACTTGGGTTCCAATCGAGGATGAATCCGCAGATAAGGTAGCGACAGTCAAAGGTCTCCAGGTTGTCGGGTTCAGCTACGAAGATTTAGTAAGTTCTTACGCACTTCCTCTTGCCTTATCTCATTTCGTTCTAGTGGATAAGAGAATGGTCCATGGGTGAAGTTTACTACATCTTCGCCGATGACAAGGTCCCTCGTTCTCAAGTAGCCTTCGCCTCATTCGTTCGTGCTATGAAGGATTATGGAGTGCCGGATAAAAAGACTGGAGAAAACATACTTCGTCCTGTTCTTGCGATCATCAGAAAGGTGACTAGTGACGGGAGTCCCCCCAAAGTTGGTGTCGCTTGCGCGAGATCCCTGGAAGATGTCGATTACCTCGTATGGGTCAGAGTAAGTGCCCTCTCTCTTAAAAAGGAATATCTGCACAGGATTTTACCCTAGATGCCGTTTGCGGATGATATTCGGAGATATAGCTTTCCATCTCTTGAAATCCTAAAGGACAAGAATGGAAATAAAAAGACAAGCCATCCAAATTTACCTACAGACGAAATGATGGACGCCATGAGTGAGCTAGTCGATTCTGGTGATCTCAGTGCTGCAGGTGAGAAGGATGAATCTGGGTGAGGACCAAACCTTGTGATGGTCAGGTGCACGTCATCATGTTTTCTTCCATTAGGAATCGCCTTCCTTGGTTTGACCCGTCGGAAGCTGTCCACCCGGCTGTACATCGTATCAAGGAAGCTATCTTTCATGCGGCTATCACAAGTAATATTGAAGAAGATCCTATACCGCCACCGCATCCTGAGATTATCAAGTTCTTGGACCCGCCCAGTCCTATACTAGTCAAGTCCAGAGGACCTGTGCAGCGGTGCAAATCTTTATTCAATATCCAAGAAGGTAAGATGCTTCTACGTGGTTTGAAGAGGGTAATCCACATTAGGGATTTGTTCCCAGCTCCGCCGCGGCCGAAAATGCGGAGGAAGACCAAAGGAGCGGAAGATGGCCTCTCGGCCGACGCGGATGTTCCGCTTACGCTGGCAGACCTCATGAATGGCGACGCTTATATTCCAGAGTTCTCACCCTCACCCACCTTGGTCGATGCCTCCGAAGACTCCGGAGGCACCACGGTGGCCGCGTCGCCACTACAATCGTTGAAAGCCAAAGCAACGGAGAAACATGGCGAAGACGCGATGGACGTGGATTTACCTTCCAATAAAGAAGCGTTCATAACTGGGAAAGCGGCAAAGCTGGACCGAATAATAGGCAATGCCTACCCACTTCGTGATTTCAGGGAAAATACTGCAAGAGGAGATCTGGTCACAAAAGCTGTTAGTGACATGGGGGAAGTTATACCCGAGATCGTTGAGAGTTCGTTCAGCTCCCAGCGCTTCGAAGAGGCATTGGAGTGTATGAGAGCCATGAGGGACATGGCATTGAAAGAAGATGAGGTTGATACATGGAATGGGTATGTGTGTCACCTACCCCGTCCTTGATTGCACGTTCAACCGCTATCACTACAGTTTTATTAGAACATTTAAGAAGCAATGTCGAAGTTCTAATTTCAAGCATCCAAATTTCTGGGACTCCGTGAAGAAGGAAGGCGTCGCACTCTCACTTATCCACGAAAAGGAAGCCCAGCAGAATGGAAATGTCTCAGAGGTATCCTTAAATGCATCAAAAAAGGTCAGGAATAGGCTTTTTTATACCGACTCCGACTCTCTGATTCTAGTGATACAGTTCATCGAAGAATAGAATGATATCGTAAGGAAAAGTATGGCTGGGTTAGATGGCTGTTTCTTTGGCCTCTTAATCGGGAGTTTGGGAAACTTGGTTTGGACGGTTCTCTACGATTTTATCAATGATTCCAAAATCGAGAGCTTCTTCCGCTGATGAAGTTACAGTCATTATATTGCGCATCGAAGGAAAGAGGCTGATAGGAAAGTTCACCAGTCATAAAGTAGTCTCTCTCCAGTGCTATTTCAAAGCGCTTTGATGCCGCTTCTGCCGTCTCATCGCTTACTGCATCTGTTGCCACGCCTCTGCGACAATGACGAACGTAGATGTCGGTAAGACGACTTCTCCAGCGGAGGATTTCTTTAGCATGAATTGCTATATCCGAAGCCTGCCCAGTCGCTCCGCCGGATGGTTCTGTTATCGATAAAGTCTGTATAAAACATCTTAGGGAAGACGACTGCTTACGATGTATCATTACGTTGGAATTTGGGAGTGATTGGCGATGGCCCCTCGCACCTAGAAAGTACATGAGAAGTTTTAGACACATATAGGAAGTAAACACTCTACCAGCGGCAAGGATTAGGCTGCCCATCGAGCACGCCTGCCCAACACAATATGTATGAATTGGAGATGATACGTACTGCATTCATGGCTAAATAACTATTTTCGATCTGTCATTCAATGATTGCCATTCACCTGCATCTACAGGGAGTATAAGTCCATATACAAAGCGGCAAATGGGCAGCGGTTTTACAGTGTCATAAATCGCCATTCCCGCCGTGACGCTCCCGCCAGGGCTGTTTACATATAAATGTATAGGCTTGTGAGTCTCTTCAGCCTCCAGGAAGAGCAATTGTGCGACTATTAATGCTGAGACAGCATCGTGAATCTTTCAGGATGGCGTAAACTGCAATACCCAATTGCCAAGCTTGACATGACGAACAGGGCCATAGAGCATGATCACTCTTTCACGCAACAGGCGAGAGTATATATCATATGAGCGTTCCCCGCGTCCCTATCACGAAAATCACGAAGAGATGCTGACTTGAAGCAGCAATACGGCAATCCTGACATACGGTCTGCTCAATGACAATGGGCACCAATCCTTGCGCCATTGGGTTCAAATATGAGCTTGAACCATGTGGTAGGTAGGGCGACGCATAGGGATAAAAACTCCTTTTCCCGATGTATTTAGACGCAGAAGAAATCGTTGCTCTGGCAGCCGCCAAAGTCAAAGCGTGGGGTACCATTTGGGTGGGGTTAAGCTGAAAGTGTGTTTGTGTGACGCGTCCCCGACGCAAACAAACTGTGCTGTTGTTGTTTGCTTTGTCACTTTTCTTGGTTGCATATTCGAGACACTGGGCGCGCAGCAATGGCCCGTCGGTTTGAGCCGCGCTCAAAACATGCGCCCATGGAATACACGTATGAAAAACCAGAAATGGAGCGTATAGCTCCTTGGAGCCCTTTCAAGGAAGCGTTGGAACGATCAAGTGCGTTGAATGCCATTGTTTCGAGGTTCAAATGGTCCTAATGAATATCCTCAGGAGGGCAATCGCAGCAACCTAATGCCACACCTTCCACTTCCCCCGAGGCACTCCATGCACCCACATCACCTCACAGTCCTTTTCAGTCTGGTACTGGGGGAGACTCGATGTCTTTATTTACCTTTGTTTCGACACGTAAAGAGGATCCCTTTTCATGGACGCCTCCAGCGAACTTCTCCCCTCAGAAAGCGTTCCCTGCGAGCCCATTGCTTCAATCCAGTACCGCTGATGTCAGCATGAGTACCGCTGGGTCAGAAACTCCAGACGCATCGCCAACCTTGGCACGTCGAGTTAGGAAGGACAATTTCCTGAATGGTGCCCATTCGAGCCCTTTTGCATCAAGGAGCCAAACCAGTCCTCTACGCCGCTCAGCCATACGAGCACGAGAACGTGACCGAAGCAGGGAACGTGAACGGCAGCACGACCGCCGCCGGGGGTTAACGAAAGCCAAGAAAATAGGGAACGAGACAAGTAGCGACGATGTGGGTCTTGGTCTCGTTGAGGATTTCCCAGTTTTTACGATTTCCGTTGTAGGAGCAACAGGATGCGTGGAAAGGCAAACAATATCATTTGCATTTCCCTGGACCGAGCCTCTTACATGGAGATGTGCCCTATGTTCTCTCAAGGAAAGTACTGGATGTTGTGCGTATCAACGTAGGATCGCTAGTAATTCATTCGAGAGCAGTTATCTCCAATTTTTCTTCAATCTCGCTCTGCTTTTAGCGTTCCTTTATGGTGTGGTCGTGGCTATCCTTACAATTCATCGTGATGTCGAAGAACGAATCGCGGAGTATTCAGCCAGCAAGTCACTTCTGATCCTCAACTGTGTTTTCTGACATTGTTGACGTTCTGTTCAGATATTCTCCGCGAAATGGCGCACTGTTCAAAACAGTATTTGGATAACCGATGTGAGCCATCACAGCGAGTACCTCACATGGAGGAGACTTGCAGGGCATGGGAGGAATGTATGCATCGTGACCCGAGCGCTGTTGGTCGTGCTAGAATTTTTGCGGAGACTGCTGCACAAGTCGTGAATGGTTTCGTGGAAGAAATCAGTTGGAAGACACTTGTAAGTGCTAAGGACAATGCAACCTTGGCTCTTTTCAATGCAATCTCCCCCTTGAAGGCATTTACACTCGTATCGCTGGGCTTCCTGATCTTGTTCGCGAACAGTCTCCTCAGCCTGTATCGTTCCCACCATCCTCTTGGAACATCTACAGCAAGTTCGCGACAAAGTCATCCATACATTGCCCCTTCATATCAGCCAGGAATACTTCCCCCTGTTCAGACACAAGACTCATGGCCACGGGCAGCGTCCCCTGTATGCCATGCCATCCCTGCCCTTTCCGCTGCCCCTCCATCACCCTCGAAATCTCGAAGTCGAGGCGGGAGAGTGAATAATCGTGTTAATGTTAATCTCCATCCTCTCCCATTGTATACATTCCCGGGTGCGAAATTGTTCGGTTAATGCGTGTCCACCCACTCGAGGATTGTACTCACCAGTGACAGTAGGATAAGGCGAATCGCTGATAAGATTGCCCGGTCCATTGGTGCAATCCGGGAGACCCGGGGGGCGGCCTCTGTCCATTTGATACCAAAAATGGCTGAAGTCAAATGCATAGTTCTATCCATCTCCGATTTTACCGAGTGACGGAGATGCAATATCGCAGCAGTGAACCGATTAGAGTCAGCATCAGCCACGCTCCGTTGTATCGTTCCACTTTTTCAATGTCTATTGTCACTCCAAAGGAGATGAGAGCTTGATACTCGGTGCTGAGATGTTAAGAATGATAAACATGGTCCTTCTAAACTGATCAAGGTTTCGCACCACGTTGGAGCCCTGCGAAAACAAGGATGAAGTGCTTACGGATGATCGCTTTGTGACCACATCCTTGGATGGCTCCCAGAGTCGACCAGAGGGTTTGACTTGAGAAAATCGTGCCTTAAAGTTATAGGACTCTGCATAGGGGAACGCTTCGACCAGGCAGAATATGCATGTTGCTGGTACCGACGGTCTCCTTTGAAACAGAGTTGTTGACCCTCATTCGAGCAAACCTAAATCACCGCCCAGACTCGGGTACCCCACAGACATGCATGAGGGAGTCTCTTTCAAACTAATATTACAGCTCCGTGACATCACTGGCAACGCTTCGCTTGCTTGTCCCTCACAATTGGACCTGGATTTGCCAGGAAATCCCCAGTTCAGTGACAACAGGCATCCATGTCCAGGAAATTGCATTAAAATGGGAGGGTATCATGATGGAACATAAAAAGTGGATCGTGGAGTACTGAAAATATCCAAGAGCAAGGAGAGAAATGGGGTGATATGATGCAAGTAAATGAATGCACACGATAAACGACAGATGATGCGTCGTAACGCGGAAATGAAGCGATGCAAAATAACCAAATTATGAGTACCAGCCGTCGTCTCCTAACGTTGGAGCTAATGACGCAGTGGAGCCGGTCGGTGATCCGGGGGGGACATAGAATTGACGTTTAATTGTCTGATGCTTGGGGCGAGGAGTAGGTGGAGGTTCAACAGGGGCATGCATCGATTGCCAAACTGATTCGATCGGTGTTTGTCCGCCATTAGATTGTTCAGGCGTAACCGTACCAGGGCGGCTAGGATAATCCACCAAAGAAGTTGTATCAAGGGGATTTATGAATGAGGGATTATGTGAATAAGTTGATGATGCAGGCGAGTGGAGGTAACTAGTGGGCATAGGATATGTAGTCGGAATAGCGTGGGCCGACGCGAGTTGAGCCTTCAGCTCCATTGTCTCTTGCTCGAGAGTCGCATTTTGATTCTGGAGTCGGGTTTCACGTTCCTAGGGGGGCTCGTTAGTGATGTTCACATTGCTGTTAACACGTCCCACCACTCACTTGACCAGCTTGGAGGTTAGTTTCGTACTCCTGAAGCTGCACCTTAAGAGCCTCAAGCTCGTCTGTTGTCTCCTTGCGAGACGCCTCACTTTGATCCAGCTTGAAGGCGCAGTTCTGCAATTCTTGTTCGCACCCTTTAAGTTTCTTCTCGAACTCAGAGGCGCGCTGTTGGGCATTGGCAACGGACTGCTTATGGCCCATCGCCGCGCGCTGCATGTTACCCAACTTGATCTCTTGTTCAGAATGAAGTTTCTGCAAGGCCGAAAGCTCTCCTTCAAGCGAGTTTGTGCGATCACGGAACCTTTGAGCTTCCTGAGCGTCCAGTCTGGCACGATTCTCCAGAAGATTTTTAAGGCTTTCGACATGCTCAACTGTACGCTTGAGATCATTCCAATGGCTTTGCTGTGCAACTAGAGTGGTGCTTTCTTTCAGAAGCGCATCTGCAGAGGCTTTCGAGTGCTTCACATCGTTCAAAGCGACTTGAAGTTTTGCTTCTGTATCGGCCAGCTAGGTCCAATTATCAATAAAGAGCAACATCGATCCAACAAGTGGCCCACCTTGCCCCGAAGCTTCTCGTTGGCACCTCGTGCGTCGTTTTCCTTGCGCTCCAATGATTTTACTTCCTTCTCCTTCTCGCGCAATGCAGCTTTGGTCTGCTCGAGGTCCTTGCCTAAGAATTTAAGCGAATCTTCGTGCTTGGATGCTGTAGCCTTGGTTTGCCGAATAGCCTCTTCGTGGGACTCCTGCATCTTTCTCAACTCCGAGACTTCCACCAAACTTGTTGTTAATTCCGCTTGGGCTTTCGCTAAAGAATCTCTCAAACCGATTTTGTCTCTCTCCACATCCAATAAAGAATTACGGGAAACTGCTAACTCTTGTTGGAGGGCTACGTTCTGTTCCATCGCTATCTGTAATTCCTTAGTTTCGGTCAGAAGTTGAGCCTTCGAATAAATCTCCTGTTGGGCTTGAGCAATCGCAGCGGATGCAGATGCGAGCTGACTCGGCAGCAATGAGAGCTTTGTCGCGAGATCAGCATGGTCCGACTGCAGAGAAGTGTGTTTGGAAAGTAGGTCGTCGTTCTGAGATGCAAGGTCTTTGAGGAGAGTAATAATATTGGTAGAGTTGCTCTGGAATGCCGTGGCTGCCGACTGGAGGCGCTCAGGGGCATTGTCAGAGGCTCGAGACTTCTCAGATTCAGAAAGTCGAAGGTCAATTCTATCCAGCACTGAACCCGCGATGGCTCCCATCAGCGATTGAACATCAAGGTGCGGCACAATTTTGGACAACTCCGACGGCATCTGCTGAAGCCCATGCTCGAGGTTATGCATTGAGGGCACCAGGGACTCGAATAGCGGTCTGAGCTCCTTCGCGATCAAGGAAGCAGTTTCCTTCTTATCCGAAGCGAGATCAATGAGTTGGGAAATATGCGGTTGGACAGCTTGTGAAAGATGTGACGTTGTAAGCTCAAGATTGAATGGCTCTTGACGCAACGATTCGAGCCTGGGTTCTAAATGACGCAGAAGTCCTTGGATAATCGATTCCTGGTTATCTTCAATGGATTCGGCATGCGATGCCTGTTCTTTCATGTGGAGATGAGCCATGATCCTGGTGGCATTGTCGTTGACGGCATCTATTGTACGAGAAGCCAACTCTTCAACAAGCTGGGACGTTTGATGACTCAACTGCGGCTGGGGCTCAAGAGATTGTGTAACTTCAGTGATATCACGCTGAAGGGATGCGCGGAGATCGTGGTGACCTTGCTTGATGAGGGAACTGATCATGTCGTAATCAATTTCCCCACGAGCATCTGCCGTGTCGTCGGCAGCATTCGCGCGGTGCTCTGACAGCAAAGATCGAACCTGCGACTCGAGCACAGGTATAAACTCAAGGAGGACCTTTCTGACTTCCTCGGAAGGTGCTATCGGGCTTTGCCGGGAGGTGAGCTCGCGACGGAAAGCAAGGAATTTGTCGTCGATTACTTGGCCTAGCCTATCTGTAAGCGCCTCGACATCAAATGAAGGAACATCAAGTTCGTCATGATTGCTGGAGTGGAATGACAACAAACGGCCCGAGCGTGGGTTGGAGTCGGCCGAACTTTCAAGACCCACATGAGGTGACCGTCCCTTAGGCGATTCTGTGAAGACATCAAAGAGAGGCGAACCAAGCCGAGTAGCTTCGTTGCGGCGTGAAGCAGCAACAGCCTGCACGCGACGAGCAATTGAAGGGAGGTTGATATCATCCAGCGACGCTTGTGGGCGATGGCCATCGAATAATCGCTCTCTTGAGCTAATGCGAGAGCGAACCATGGACCTCGTTGGTTGATCCCCATCAGTGACAGCTAGAGCCTTAAAGACAGAAGCAGGGACAGTATTTGTCGACACCGGATGCCCGAAATCGGGTAGGGGAGCACGTCGACTACGATCGGGGGATCCAATAGGAGTCGTCGGTGCGTCCGTGAGCGGTCTCGGAGTTACTTCCTTCAGGTCATCGGTTGACCTCTTGAAAGAAGCGGGTATGGTGGCTGGCGCAGAAGATGGGGTTGTATGGCCATGCGCTGCATACGCACCATGTGCAACAGTGTCATCACCCCGGCGGGCAGTGGGGAGTGTTGCAGACATCCTGCCGAAGATGAATGGCTTAGCAGCGGGATTGAGTATGGATCCTCTGCGAGACATTGACTGTGTCGGCTCGCTGAGAGTGACAGTTGTAGTGTCAAATTTGGCACCAAGAGCATCTTCTTCCCAATGCGGAAGGAACTGGGTCCTGGGCTCTCCTTGAGCGGCGTCACCCGACCCAAAGCCCGAACCAGATCCACGTCTTCGGCGTTTTTCCCGACCTTGAACTGCTCTCGGGCTTGAAGGTGGCATAGGAAGAGGTCGCTGAAGTTCAATTGATGCCGCAAAGGAAAGTGATGGGACACCCGGAGGAGGATTGAAGTTGAAGGTTGCAAGGGAAGGTTTGAACTCGATTGCAGCGGCGTTAAGTCTGGAAGTTGACCCTTGTCTGACATGCGACACATGTTGCGGTTGTGCGGAAAAATCGGCTTGGGGCTCGTCACTCCCACTACTTGGTTGAACACCGAAGATGAATGGTTTCGCTAACGGATTCAATCGTTCAGGACCAGCGGTTGCAGCGCTGCCTGCGCGACTGTGGCCATCTAAGACAGCGGGAGTTGGGGCAAAACTATGACCTTCCGATTTAGGAGGTAGAGGGAGAGGTCTAGAAGGTCTAATGTTGCCATCATCTGACTTACTAGCTGAGATGAATGACACAGGCTCCATGGCTGAAAAGTAAGCACTTTGATCGTGTACACCTTCATCGCTTGGATTCGATATGATATCAACTGAAATATCTCTAGGACGTTGGTGAGATACACCGAAAGCGTCCTCGATTGAAGCTGAAGGAGGTTGCCCATATTGATTGGCATGGTGGGCTCGCAGAGCTTCTTTTCGTAGATGACGCTCTGCGCGTTCGTTTCGATGGCGTTCTTCATCAGAAGGGTTGGACCATTCTCCGGTGCTCTGTGTGTGAAGTTAGTATGAGGATTCAATACTCGTTGGAGGACCAACCTCGGTGTCGGTCACCAATTGATTTTCGTGATTGTCGGGATTCCTCCATTCCTCCACACTCCTTTGCAGTCTTAACGATGGGTTCGTCCAGTCTTCTGTGCTAACTCCCTGATCTCTGTCATCACCCCACACCGAACCTTCCTGAGATGGAGGAATATTCTCCTTCTCGTCACTTCCTTCTTCATCAAGCCGAGGTACCAAATGAGAGTCACTTTGCGACGTGATGAAATGAGGCAACGACGAGCCCGATCTTGTCTCACGATGCAGATGATTCACAGCGACCCGAGAAGCATGCCGGCTGTGTGACGGAGTGATAAATGCACCTTCGGTCAAACTCTCATCATAATTCGAATCGTTGTCATTCCCGTCAGTGGCGGCAGGGGATGCTTCACCAGATAGAGTGCGTCCGAACTCGGTGAGATCTAGCGCGTCCATAGGTGGAAGAGCGTATTGAGTTTGAGACTGAGAGGGAACGCCGAAGGCAGCTGGGATGCTTTCGTCCTCGCTTAGGCTGTCTAAACCAAAACCTATGGTAAAATCCGGCTTTAAATCTGGACGGGGAGGAGGTTCGGGTTGGAACATGGAGGCTTGCATAGGTGTCTTGGGTTGAGGCGCCAAGATTGGAATATCCCGACGATCTTCGTCATCCTCGGATACCTCATCCTCTCCTTCATCATCTCCATCGTCGTCTTCCGCCTCATCCTCCGTTTCGGAAACAGAGTGCAAAGAAGACGATGGTAACGGCGAGCGTTTGAGGTGTGCAGGCACGCCCAGATCCCTGTCAAGTGAAGGCTAGTTCCGAAAGGGCTCATGTCTGAGTTGTTGGCTCCTCGAGAGGGGATGGGCTGACTTGCAGATGCACCAGGAGTCCCCGGACTGAATATAGCCCCAGAAGCACCCACTGGGGCGGGGACCATGGACTTGCTATACGCGTGACGTGAAGCACCTCCAGGTGCACTTGCGAGGGAAATGTCACTCGACTGAGGCGAAGCTAGGATTGATTGAGTTTGACTTTGTTGAAGCTTATTGAGTTTAAAAAGCAGGAGAGCAGGGTCTGCTGGGGAGGATATCTGGTCCGCCAGCAAACGAGCCACAGCAAAGATGAGAGACATGAACGAAGATCAGATACATGAGGGAAACACGTGGAGTTGTATGTAAGCGCGGGAAGGCGGTAGTGAAGACTAGAGAGACATACCGAAGTGGCCCGCGCATGGGTATGGCCGGGGATGAAGGGATTCACTCCTTGGCTACCTCTTTCGACTCCTAGCTTCGCAAGCTTCTCTTCAATGATGCGATTTCGAAATGCTTCCCATGCACCCTGAAAACGCAAAGAGATATGATTCTTGAGCCAACCCCAGCAATTTGACAACCGGGATCAAGGATCACCTTCACAGGGAGGAGGAGCCCAATGGGCGGCAAAGGAGCTCCACGGGGCAGGCTCTCCGGGTACTCTTCAGCAGTTGTTATCTCCTCCAACGGCAGTAGTGCCGGATCCTCTTGTCTTGGTGCAATTGGGATGGGATACCTTGCCCATGGGGGCCGAGAAGGTGTCGTCGACTCTGACCCATCAATATTTGGGAGGGTTTCCACTGGCAATTTTACGATGCGCTTTTTGAGTTTCGGTTTCGCCAAATCATTAGCTTGAGAAGAACTAGCGGCTGTATTTGTTGTCACAACTGCACTTTCGTTCTCGCTCTTGAGTGGTGGGTCTGGTTTCCGAGGCCCGCCGAGTACAGCTTTCGGTGGACCACCAATACTGATACTAGCACTTCGGCGAGGGTGGAAGGGGCGTCCTGGAGCGATTCCTTGAAGCCCGGCGTTAGGAATATTTGGGGCCGGTACGGGAAAGTTAGGGGGTACGGCAGCGCTTGGCGTTGGGGGAAGGGGAATGTTTGCAGGGACGTAGCTGGGACGCGGACGATGGTGGGCAAGATGGGGAGGAAGAGCGAGATTCGGGGGGGCGATAACGCCATTTTGGAAGCCCGGTCCATTAAAGAGCTGTGGCGACATCACGGGGTGGAACGCAGAAGTAGGGGGTTGACTGGTGTATAAAGGATTATTATCCGGAACCCCTGGGGTACTGATGTCTAATGGTGGAGGTATATGAAGGCGGGAGAGCTGGCGATGTGGCGGGGGACGCGTCTGAGCCATAGCGTCCAAGTCCACAGTTGTTCCGGAGTCGAAGTGGTAAGGGCTCGAAACACGGCAAAAAGAAAATCAGGAAAGAACTGGTTCTGCACTAGCGAGCAAATGGTCTAGAGCATTAGAGACCACTTGGGGAAGTTCTGAAGTAGTACTTACGCGTTCTAGCAGCAACAAAGGCTCATCGCAGAGTGTACATCAAATACCCGCGTCAAACGAAACGAAGGATCCGGAAGCAAATTAGTCTTTGACCCTGGTCACGTTTGCCCATCGGGCACTAGCAATCTCGAGCCTTGAGAATCAAGGCTTTTGTTCCACTGATAACACTATGACTAACATCCATGAGATCCAAAAAAACAAAGCCCTTGGTGGTTTTATGATCAAGTACAACCTCGAGGAAAGGGATGCTTGAGTGCTCACCTGATGCGATCTCATTTCGACTTCATGCAGGCTAAAGCTCTGGGAGGACTTCAGAGCAGCTTCAACATATTTGTCCCTGGAAGTCTTGGGCAGCATAAAGCGCCGATCCTCTACTATCTTGCCGGTCTAACTTGTACAGAGGACACCGCGTGAGTCTCGACTTCCACCAGCGTAGTCGAGGTGATCCGATCAATATAATTCAGACCATGGAAGGCTGGGTTTTTGAGAGATGCAGCCCAAGAGAGAGTAGCATTAGTTTTCCCTGACACGTCTCCCCGCGGCGCTGCAGTGCGGGGAGAAGACGATAGTTGGGATTTTGGAACTGGTATCAGAAATCCTTGACTAGCTGCACAATTAGTTTATGTCGATATTCCCCCAGGAGCTGGCTTCTACCTTAACGCGACACTAGACCCCTGGTCTAAGTATTACAACATGTATGACTTCGTCATTAATGAGCTCCCCCAAGCCCTGAAAACCCTCGACCTTCCCCTCGTAAGTTACCTGTTAACAGTACTATTAGAATATGTGTAAGCTATGAAATCCAGGACTTCACCCGCGAATCCATTTTCGGCCACTCAATGGGGGGGCACGGTGCTATCAGCCTATACCTCCGCAATCCACACCGATTCAGGTCAGCCTCGGGCTTCGCACCCGTTCTAAATCCTACTCGAAGCGCGTGGGGCCAGAAAGCCTTCAAGGGATATCTCAAAGGAGGCTTAGACGAAGGGAAGGAGTGGGATTCAACTGTGATCCTGTCCAAAATGAGCCCACAGACGCATCGAGAACTTAACATTTTAATTGACTACGCAAGTAGCTTCTTATTACTCATGTCTTTTCTTATCGATTAACATCAGATAGGGCGATGAGGATCAATTTTACAAGGACAGACAGCTTCTCCCAGAATCTTTTGGTAAGAACCGGCTCCGATCATTTATGATTACGTCCTCAATGCCCTCACTTGCAGCTGAGACCGCAGAGGAGGCTGGCATCTTAGGATCCCGTATCAGTGTTCGCCGGCAATCAGGCTACGATCACAGCTACTATTTCGTATGCCACATGCTCTATCTAATGGTAGGGCTTCTAACTGAAAAAATCCCCAGATCTCCACCTTCGGCCCGGAGCATATCGAATGTAAGCTTTCGAATTGTTCTTCGTACTGCCCCGCAATGCTCAAATTGTTCGGGGAAAGTCCACAGCAAGTTTCTCAATGCCTGACACTTGCCACGTTTTCCTATACGAATTATATTATTTGCCGGACCGCGATATACTGCTGAGTGAAAGGTAAAGTAAATTTCACAAAAGGGCAGTGCGAGTAATTCGGTGATCATGGGTAAGACGGCAATACAAAGATTCTAGCTTTCTGTGGTGGCGTTGAAGGGCTCCAGAATGTGTTTTGCGTATCGATGCTTGAGAGACCCCAGATTATCGGGGCTGGAGATCCACGGCGAATTAAGGGCCCGTTCGATCGTAAGACGCTTCATAGGATTTCTACAAAGAAGACCAAGAACGAGTTTTCGGACTAACCCAGTGGTTGAATATCAGTGAGAGAGTCGCAACGACGTGAAGACGATATGAGTGCGCTGGACGCGAAATCCCTACCGTCAGGCAGTTCCGGCCATCTTCCTTCTCCGAGTTCGATGGGCTGTTGTACAATTCGCTTGGCCAATGCTTTGTCAATACCCAACGATTCCCGAGTGCGACAAGTCGAGCGGGATTGGCTCATCGCAATGGCGTAGCTCGTGAGTCTAGAGGTTGCTTGCCCACTTGTTGTTGAAGGGATTTGATCAAATGGACGACGATCCCTATCTCGCAAAGTGCGAAGCCCGGTCGCTGCTAAAAAGATGGTCATAACTCACGCGATGATTTCATGCAAGACAACACCAAAGCTCCAACAATCGACAAGTGTGTAATCGATCCACCTGCTATCATAAATTGCTTTCACGGCTTCCGGAGGCAAGTAAGCAAGAGTTCCAGCAACACCCTCAGAATCTGGGGTTTCTTCCGGCGAGGAATTTTGACTGTAACCAAAGTCGGCGATGAGCAACCGAGGGAAGCGGCCTGGAGCATGGAGCAAAACATTTTCAGGCTGGCGGGAGATGCAGTTCTGTGCGTCAATTCAAGCAATAAGGGGACGGGATGGACCTTAAAGTCTAAAGCAACACGAGATTAGTCCGATGAAGTAATAAGCGAGTCAGAAGCTTCCTGACCTCGGTGCGCAAGACCCCCATTATGCAAATACTGTGAAGCGTCAGCCATCACAGCACTGAATGTTGGGATTTATCATTACCATAAGGCCGAGCATGAGTTGGTAAGCCATATAGCGAGCCTCGTGCTCGCTGAAAGTCTGCCGTGCAGCCAGCCATGCAAAAAGATCACCTCCGGTACATAGCTCAATAAACAAGTGACTAGTGCATATTAATGTCTCCCAGTTATGCAAAGAACAGAGATAGCACGAACAGAGTAGTGGAAGTGAGCACATGATGTAAGATGGAGTTTATGTTAGGCTACGGGGAGACTTCAGCTTGATGAAGATAGGACGTAGACTGAGCGCCCACATGTCGCAGCTTTTGGAGAACATGCACTTCTTTCATCATGTCGTCCACACTTTTCTTCCACACGCCGTTGCGTCGGTGAATGCTTTTGCAGGCAACCTGTCGTCGTGCCTCAGTGTCAAAAGCAAGACGTACAGAAGCGTGCGCCCCACTGGAAACTAGATATCAATATAGAAAAATAACAACTGAATATGCGATTTACTCTCCCAGCACATAATCCTGCACAACGAAGTGATTTAGACGCTACAAGTCAAAGAATCAGAACAGGCTGCGCAACCGCGGCCACTGGGATAGGCGGCGTACCTCGACCTTGGTGCAGGAGTCCTCTAGGTGATGCTGCGCATCATGAATCGTCGGGGGGGTCCGCAGGAGGTAGCATGTAAAGTCTGGGAAAGGATAATAGTTAAGCATGAAAGGAGAGAATGAATCAGATATATACGTCGGCAACTTTCTCCAGTCTTAATTCTGAGAGTGTCCCCATGAAGCAATATGATAGTTGACCCAGATTTTATCTCAAAAGAATTCCACAGGATACCGTTGAGGCCTAAAACCTAGAGTGACCAGGTCCCACAGTTCATCAGGGTAAACAAACAAGGAGATCAAACCTGGCAGCATAGTATCACTCCATCTACCTCCGTTCCTGATTTCACTCTGTCTGAAGTTGTCGGCAAGGAAAGATTGGCAAGCGAGGTGAATGCTTACGCATAAATCTTGCAATGCTCACGCGACACAGATGGGCTGTCAATAGTATGGTCGCTATATGAGGAGGGTGACGGTCAAGATATCAGAGGAGAATTCGCAATCACGACTTGCCATGCCTGCCTCCCAATCGTCAGAGTCTCGTTCAGATATATGAAGAGCACTTGATGGGTAGGTAAGTAAAGTCGTATAAAATGACACAAATCACCACCTTCAGGCTGATTCATATCATTACAGGTCTCCAGGCGGGCGTAAGCACTTCTCCGATGCGTGATAGATGAGACGCCACTTGGGATAGGACATGGGAACGGACTGAAAGGCTTCTTTTTTTTTCAGGGCGCGGGTCCGACCCTTCTTCATCAAGAGTCCTCTTATTTCGTCGTCTCGGTGGTGCCAACATCGCCGAAATTTGGTCACGGCGCGAGTCCGAGCGATGGTGGCAGGCTTCGATATTCGCGCGAACGGGTTCCCACGTCACGGTCCGGAATCATCCGTATCCATTGCTGTACCCGAATCGCTAATCATCGCTTGTACATTGCTTCTGCACAGCTCGGCTTTTTTGGTGTATCGTCTTGACTCAAGATGCTTTCTAGTGGCCCAAGGAAGAAGAATTCCGCCAAGTTATCGTCCTTAGCATTTGGCCACTCTCCATTTGCGATCCAGTCGTCTTCTGCTGTCGTTGTGACCGTAAACACGATTGCCAAGTCAAAAGCTGCAACCTCGACACTTGCTGCGTCAGCAACCGTTCGGGCCGTGCAAAGCCCAACTCCCTCAGCCTTTTCGTCATCATCTCGTCCGACTCCTGAAAAGGAGCCACCGAGACGCAAACGCCCGGCGTCTCAGTCAGAGTTACCAGAAGGACCACGAGCAAAGAAGCAAAAGAGCAAGAATGCGGCCAAGGAGTCGTCCACTCCGCGCTCTTCGAGAGCCTCCTCAATCCGTCGGATTGGTCCTCCTTTTGGTAGTCTCGAGAGACCTATACCTCGCATTTGCGTAACTACTGAAGACGGGGCTGTGCCGCATGTTTCTTCTGAGGATGTTGTGATACGCGTATTAAGAGAACAAACTGTTCCAAAGAAGACGAAGAAAGGTTACAGGGCTTGTGAGTCCTTCCGTCCCTCGACTTCAATCAGTTGCTTATACAAACCATCAAAGTCTTCCGCAATCCCTCCGATCTTAATGACAAGTCTTTTGAGCCCGATTCACTGCAGCTACCAATTGTGGAGTTTCAGTATCCGAATCATGGCGCTTCTGAAAGGTAGGGAATGTCCCAATGTTCGCGCATCGTGTTCTAAGTCTACTAAACGTTGCAGATTCCTTTTGCTGTACCCTTGGGATAAGGATGATTACCAACCTGTGAAAGAACTGATGCGAACATTGAGTACCATCGTGGACTGTACGTTCTCGACTGCGTCTTTCCGGCCTTCAAGTTACCAACATGCGCACTACCTCCACAACTTTTAGGCTATCTAACTCCCGCCCAGCGAGAGCCATTTGGGTCATTATCCCGCAATCTTATATCAATCCCTACTGAAGACACTCGCCCTGCTTCGCCAGCAAACCACGGGACACCTTCCGAGCAATCCACGCCTCTGCTCCGCATACTGGAACGTGCTTACCACAAGCACGACGGGCCACTCTTTATAAAGACCATGAATGAAGTATCCTCTCGTCTCGCAACCCTCAAGGAAGAAATGATGGAGAATGCTCGAGCATGGTTCAATGCTAACAAAACGGACGAAGAGGCGGAAGAAGGGACGTCGAGCGGCGGTGTCCCTGTGAAATTGTGGAAAATGGTTCTAGAGGAGACGTACCAAAGAAGTGTCGGCCCTGATGTGGATGATACCAAGAAATACAGGTCGTTTAGTAGCGAGACATACGGCGAGCTAAATCCTTCGTAAGTCCTCCTTTAATCTGTTTGGGAAGGAAACTGTAGCTTGAGAATAGGTTTATATCTGATATTGTCCACCGATTGGGCTTAAAGCCGGGAAAGGTATTCGTTGACCTCGGAAGTGGAGTAGGAAATTGTGTGTTCCAAGCAGCTCTCCAGTTCGTCATTTTTCCAGCCTCTATTTCCGCCAATTGCTCTAATACTTCCAATTAGATCCGGGTGTGATGCCTATGGCATAGAGATCAATCACCCCGTGGCATCTCTCTCCTTCAAACAGAAAGTCGAATTTACAGCTCGTCTCCGAATGTGGGGGCTGACAGCAGGAAAGTACGAAGTACTTGATGGCGATTTCTGCGAGTCGAATGAGGTGGCGGAATGGATACGGAAAGCGGATGTGGTATTGGTTAATAATTATATTTTCAATTCTGAGCGTAAGTTGCCTTTTCGTCTCATCTTCGAGCATGTCATGTTGATTCGATTCAAACAAACCTTGCTACATGAGAAGTAAACGACAGGTTGACATGGCGATTCCTTGATCTGCGGGATGGAGCTAAAGTGGTCGTCCTCAAACCGTTTTGGCCCTTTAAACGACCGTTAACGGGGAGAACCGTATGTCCCATTTGTTTTTCTCATTGCACCCAGTGTCGAACTGGATTCGTGATTACGGCTAGGCCGATACACCAGAAGCAGTCCTGACGAACGTCGAGAAACTAGAATACTTCTCAGACTCTGTGTCATGGACGAAAGAACCTGGTACGCGCTATTAACATCTCAATTCCTTTCCAGCTTTCTGAATAAATGATTTTTTAAAATCTCATTCAAGGCGACTTTTATATATACACGAAATCCAGCGTGCGACCAGTCCTAGTTCAAGAATCCCGAACAAGCTCTCGTGCAAGTTCGCGACTTTCTCGATGACATAACCCCCCCAACCGGGGAAACGCCGCCGCCTTACCCACACTAGATTTTTCTTCAGGGTTAACGTGTAACTACCCTACAAGTATATTCTGCGAGATTGACCGAGTATCTGTCCAGAATACTCTTATTTTCCCCTAACGTTAGGATACCAACTTTAATTCCCCACCACTTCCCCCCCGTGTGTTATTGCCACCCCTCTTGCTTTGTGAAACATTGTGCTACCTTCACTTAGACCATTTTTCTTCGTTTCCCTTTCCGACTACAGTCCTGTTACTCAAGATTTGGATATACTTCGCACAACAGTACCTTACATCTTAGCGTTACGCTATTAATATCCGGGCGACCTGTCCCCCCCTCCCTGCAGTTTCACACCCATGGACACTCACAACATCAAGCTATTGACAGAATCAGCGCTTAGCCCGTGGTTTCAAGTCAGAGTGAGGGCCCAAGAAAAAACAGAATGGGGTAATAAGAATAAGAAAAGTCCAGGCTCGAATGTAATCGAAGTCCATTCACTGCAGAACGCACCACGCCAACTTCGCTTCAGCCGCGCCCTATGCATCTTGAACATAGTTACCTAAGCGTTCAGAACGAACGAAAAGACAAATCCCCCCCCCCAAACTAATCAGCCACAAATCTCCGCACGAGGAATGGGTCCGAGGGTAAAATTGTGACTCACCAGGGAAAACACCCTGAACACCATTAACTTTCCCCGTCCACCAATCCTCCGCACTGTCCGACCTCTTCACAATCTCAATATGATCCCCAACTTTAAAACTCAAGTCCCCATCTGCCTGAGCCTCAAAATCGTACAGTGCAATCACATAAACGGGTTGTGATTGAGGTGGTGGCGCTTTGGGTTTGTTCGCTGGGATGGGTGGAGGTGGTCGTTTAGTGCCTGCTATCGAGGAAACGTTGGTGCTGGTGGAAGATGCAGGCGTATAAGGGGGCGGAGCGGTGGTTGGAATTGAAGTTGATGCAGATGAGACGGATCTGTTGATAGCTGAGGCGCTGTTAGCGGAAGGAGGTTTAGTGAAGGAAGGCTTGGCGGAGGTATTTGGGGGAGGAGGGGGTGGTTTCTTGGTGAAGGACGAGGACGGAGCGGGTGGCGGCAGTTTTCCAGACACAGATCGTGAGACGCTTGATGATGTCGTCGCCGATGAAGTACTACGATTAAGTGATGTAGATCCTGTCAGACCCGAATCTTGGCGGCGAGTATGCACCAGTTTAGCTAGTGAAGGGGAAAGTGAGCAGAGAATTCATGCGAAGGAACCATGAAGTCGGTTCACCTGTTGATATCATCCGCTTATTGATATTCATACCCTCGATCGTCTCCCTTGCATCACCTCGGCGAGCTTCATAATTCTCGGTGATATCCTCGATGGTTCCAGTCGTTTCATATTTGCCGTTCGCAAACTCTTGTATCTTTTCCAGCATGAGGTAGAAGATGTTAAGTCTATCAAAGAATAAGAAGGTAAGAATGGATGGGAGGGAATCAAACCAGGCGATCGAGGTCAAGGGCTCACTGCATGTAGAAAAACGAATGGAAGAGAGGATCGATAAATTGCGTCGCGAGAACCAAAAAGTTGGGAAGATCTGTCTTCATGTTCGTGTTATACAATTCGTAGTCAGCGCTTGCCTGTTCGAAATCTTGCTCGAGCTTTAAGACATGGTGGAGTGGGCATTAGGATAACAACTGGGACTTATAAATAGAAAGAATCACTCATGCACCTTGAAGAGATTCTTTTCATCATTCAAAGTTTTCTCCTTCTTGTCCCTTAATTTCGTTAACGAATTATTGAATCGGTCATAATCTATCAGCTAAACCAAACCAACGAATGTCAAGTGACCTTCCCTCGAACAGTGGTTCCAAGCGCACCTTATGATCTCTCTTCGTGATATTTTTCCGAATGGTCTTCATAATCCCTTGCAACTCCTTGCATGGACCCAGAATCCTGCTCTGAATCAATTCCAACTCGGGGGTAATAACCGTCTTTAGCTCCTGCATTGCAGACTGAAAGCCAGCCACGTTTTGGGATGTGTGAGCTGCATCGGGGAACTTCCCTATGATGTCGAATTCTCCAGCCATGGGGGAAAAGATGTTGGTAAAGCGGATCGCCCAGTTTTCGGTTGCGGAGAAGAGGGCTGAATGGATTCGGTTGGGCGACGGAAAGGGATGGATTGCAAATATGCAAGAAGAGAGTACGGAGTGGGGTTTTAACGAAATAGCCAGAGTGAGGATGTGTAGCACTTACTTTGAACACCATCGATAAAGGTCTTAGTGTCCTTGAGCGATTTTTCTAGGGCCTGTTCGAGAGAGACAAATCGACGTTGAAGGTCATCGAACTCGGGATCATTCGATTCTTAAAACAATAGAGTAGGCACGTAAGATGGACGCAAGGTGATACAGATAAGAATTGAGCGCCAGTTCATTCATGGTAGGGTTTCAACGTCGAAAATGCCAACGAGGGTAGGAGCACTTACTTTTAGCCATTCCAACTTTCGCGGACACCATATGGGGTGTCCTAAACGACAAAGCCGGCACCGATACATGACCAGGGTCAGATAAGCTTCTCAGCTTTCGTCTTCCGCCTCAGGCTTGGGCTTACCGCATAAAGGCCTTGGTGATTCCTTTCATCTTGAGGATAGCGTGAGGAACAGGAGACTGATGGGATGTCGAAGGAATCTCCCTCTGCGATGAGAAAAGACACTGCGCACTGCGCTGGTTATCGTGCAACTACGACCCGATGTTATGTCCGTTAACTCCGTTCCGGGGTTTGCTCCACACAGGGCAGTCATGTTACTTCCTAATATGGGGCTTGACAAGCCGCCTGGCCATTTCTGTGCCCAAATGTACAGCGCCGCGGACTATGACCCGCCATATGACCTGTGCTCATTGCGAATTGCTTCGAGTGTCTTCATCAGTCCAGCCAGGAAGGCCGCTTGATCAGTCGTGCACAATGGCGTTCCCGACCATCATGACTCCAGCTGGAATGATGCACTCCTCTCAGTGATTGTTCATGCTGCTCTACTATTCTTTCCGAATACGGTTGCTGGGTGAAACAATGTCGACGTCATCAGCTCCAGAATTTTTACGTTGTGAGGCCTCGATGCTGCTTGGCCAAAAGCAGTATGCTCTTTATACATGTCGGATGCTAGTGTGCGTAAATTTCTGGTACTGGTCAGAGTGATGATCCCGTTGAAGGGGTAGTTGGGCTGGCTCGTCTTCTTCCCTGGCAATGGGGACAGCTTGAGCTCAAGTTGTGAATGAAACTACCCTGTTTCGGATAGAGTAAGGTGGTGTAATGACGTTGGACTCCAACCGCACATCTGACGTGATGATGCGGAGCGCCACATTAACCAAGCGACGCGGCGCAACGCGTGAATCGACGTCATATTGCCCCATCTCACATTTGAGCGTATAAATACCCCCGTTTTCTCCTCCACCAACTCCCCCACTTTCTCCTCTCCACCACCTTCATAATCACTGATCTTCAGTAAACGTTTCACCTGTCGTTAATCAACATGTCGTCCACCGATAACAACGGTAACAACAACCAAGGCCCCAAGAAGACTACCGGACAGTATCACTCCGTCAAGGGCACCGTCGTCGAGACCGTACGTTGTTCTTATGCCTTTGTATTCATCTTGACACTCATAATTTCTTGATTTACTCCTTTACAGGTTGGAAACCTCACTGGTTCTCAAGCATGGGTCGACTCTGGAAAGCAGGAGCATGTTGCAGGCGAAGGCGGGTCTCTTGCCCTACCTACTCGAATCACGCAACTAACTTCTTACCTTTCTCTATCGATTTTCATTCTCCAGCTGAGATCACCGCCGCCAAAGCTAAAGGCTACGGTGAAGGAATCGCTGATCGTGCCGAAGGGAAATTGGATTCCGTCACGGGTGCCATCAAAGGCGACAAGCAGCAGCAAGCTAGCGGCAATGCTCAGCAAGATAAGGGTATCGTCCAGCAGAACCTTAACAAGTAGTTTGTCGTACCACAGTTAGCTAGCTAGCACTGGGACATGATGGTTATGCAATGATTATAGTTGATGCACACGTCAAAAGCACTTCACGTAACCGATCTAAGGCGTTTGTTAGCTTCAATAGTAACGTCGCATCTGCGGCAATCACATCGCATTCGGGACCTACTGCATAGCGTGTTCCCGCTCCTCCTGCCCTTGCTGCCTCCAAACTTCCCGACGCTGCGTTCATCAGAAATAGTTGTCAATCCCGACTAAACTCGTCATACTTCAAGCCCTGAGACATTCAGTAATTATTAGGCGCTCAAATGTTCACATGTCAAACACAGTGACACCCCAACCCAACCGAAATATCGGCAATGCGCCACATAATATTGTAACACGTTCAAGTTACCTTTCCCCATCAGATGAAAAAGCGAAGTAAGACGAATCGACTGGGCAAGAACCCCATTAACACCTCATGGCCGCTGTGAATCGAAGCTGCATGCATCACATATTGTTAAAGCGCCGTGGAAGGTTGTTATTAAGAATAACATCAACAGCCTTGGTGGCAGATTGGAGGTCAGAGACCAGCAGAAGACAGAACCAGAGGTGTTCGGAGGACACACAAGCAATCGCGTGTCTAGTCGGTAATCACCAACAGAACCCGAGGTAGCCTCGAGCACAAGAAAGCACTCATCACTTGCGGCTTGTGATTAGCGACGTGGTTGTCTGCCCTTGGTCCTGGTGTTCAGCATCGTAACTTGTCGTGCGCCACTCGGAGACTCTGCTTGACTATTAGTACAATTCATGGACTGCTATCCGTAAAGTAAATGAGCTATTTTGTGTCCATCGTCGAGATCAGTGGGGCTGGCTACATATTCGCGGCTCTTACTGCCCGTTTGTCCGTCCCCTACCTCTCCCGTCGATCGTTGGAACCTTTAGGGTGCCTTTCTCACAATCACCTTTAGCTCTTTATTAGAGACGTCAGGCTATGTGGTCGGAGCACCTAAACATTATTCCGGCCCAATCAGGAGGGGCTTCACATCCCTGGAAAGTATTGAGTAGTGTCGACGAGGTTGATTCTACCTGCACCAACCGTCGCGGTGCATACTCAGTGGCACGAGCGCCATTGGCACATCAGCAAGAAAGGCCACCGTATTCGTCCCATTTTCGTCCTATTTCGTAATTCTGATTGTTATGAGTAAGCGATACATTGCAGCCAGGCAAGAAGAGAAGGTAGAAGCGGAACGTCTAATTGCTGCCATGCTCAAACAATATCATCCGGGATGCTTTCCCACTCCTGCGTTGCTAGTTTCGTCTCGAATGCGATGTGATTGCCGCAGATACGACGTTACTATTGAAGCTAACAAACGCCTTAGATCGGTTACGTGAAGTGCTTTTGACGTATGCATCAACTATAATCATTGCATAACCATCATGTCCCAGTGCTAGCTAGCTAACTGTGGTACGACAAACTACTTGTTAAGGTTCTGCTGGACGATACCCTTATCTTGCTGAGCATTGCCGCTAGCTTGCTGCTGCTTGTCGCCTTTGATGGCACCCGTGACGGAATCCAATTTCCCTTCGGCACGATCAGCGATTCCTTCACCGTAGCCTTTAGCTTTGGCGGCGGTGATCTCAGCTGGAGAATGAAAATCGATAGAGAAAGGTAAGAAGTTAGTTGCGTGATTCGAGTAGGTAGGGCAAGAGACCCGCCTTCGCCTGCAACATGCTCCTGCTTTCCAGAGTCGACCCATGCTTGAGAACCAGTGAGGTTTTTGGGGCGGAAACAAAAAAAAATGATCAATATTTGAGATATCAGCCGTGGACCCTGAATAATATCGACCTCTGTCACAGCTTCCGCCAGGCGTATTATTGGTCCCATACCCTTCAGTACAAGGCGCCTCCACTCAGCGCCTACCCGGCTCTGGAAAACATAAGGGTAGGTAGAAGTGCGTCTCCTAATCCCTGTTCGGCAACTTTCCCAATAGCTTCACTCCTTCGCCCGCACGCCAGTGCGCTCAGCATGCTGCGCACCACCAGTGTAAAGCGATTGCATTGCAGTTCGCCCCAAACACATCTGGCCTAAGAGCGACAATTGATGTCATGACAAAGTAATCGATGTGTACCCAATAAGCAACTACTCATCGTGGATTTCCCGACGCCGCCAAATTCATGGTCGCAAGGTTCAACGCGTCACAGCGAGGTGTGAGCCAGCCATTCGAACTTTTGCGTGTTCCATCACTGAAACGAGAAACTCATCTCCTCTCACGGACTTTGGCCATCGTATAGTAGCAAAACAACAAATCATACGGCGCCCGGGCTCGTTAGTACCGCCTCATACCACTCCTTTATTATCCCCTCGTTTCATGTTTATTGAATGTTTGACATTCATTCTGCGCCACTCTGCCCTTTACCTATAAACATTGTACATACTCTGCTACGAGGTTGTTAACAGTTTTCCCCGGCTGGGATCGCCAGTTATCGAGAGGAAATCGTGAGCTAGAAACAGGGAGGGGACAGACTGGGGACTGGTTGAAGCGCTGGTTGAGTCGCTGATTGGGGCGATGGCTGAGGGACATTGGTGGCCGGTTGATAAACAGTGACCGGTGGAGCTTAGGCGGTGTAATTTTGAGGTCAGCAATGTCGTAAACGAATAATCGGGTTGAGGAATGCTCAGCAGAAAGACTACAGTACCCCCATGTGGGCAAACCAATGCCATCATGGGAGAGCAGAGGAAAGTCACTTAACCTCGCTTTTAACAGAAGATGGCCCGTTTTGAGGTGGCTGGGAGAAAGACATGCGTAAGTCTCATGAGTGACAACAACCAGGTAAGGAAGGATTGTGAAGGCAGCGATAACGCGCGTGGGTTCTTTAGCGGCCTGAAAGGCGCAGATTGACACTGAAGGAACATGGGGGGTCAATTGGAATATGAACTTCACTAGTTGCTGGGGCCTTGGATGGTGCGTTAGGAACCTGTGATCGAGAGCATGTTAGCTTTACGATCATCAAAGCAGTTGACGGATAGAGATGGCTCAGAAGGAAGGCAACGGAAAGCTCCACATGGGTTTTTGTGCTCTCGGACGATATTACATCCGTGAATATTTCATCATGAGATGGAAAAAGAAAAAAGGGAATAAGACTGACACCCAGGACTGCGGGATCATTCACGATATTCCGTGGCTGAGGCCGAGGCTCCGTGTCAGCTGCGAGATGTTGAACCTCAGACGCGCGAAAGACGACATAGTCATACGGCATGGGCTATGGATCCGGTAGGGGCGCCTGTTTCCCGTGCCCATAGAGTAGACTTTCGAGCGCACGTCAATGGTTCCGAAGACCTTGTGTCAGCAAACCATTCGAGAGATCCATTCGTGATTCGGGATCGCGTGAACCCCATGGTGAGATTTTCCTCTAAGATGAAATCATCGGCCCCTTGTGAGGTTATCGCGTATGAGTCCGACAGTGAGAAACGAGGGGACCGCCACGGCCGGCTAAATTGTGCGTGAGCCTACATACGCAGAAACTTTGTGGAAAAGAAAAAAGACCTCGCGATAGGCTACTTGACGTAATTTCTAGGGTAGAGCAAGATGTCCTTTTGGCCTTGTCAAATGCTTAGATAGAAGCTGCACTCTCGGCAGGAACTATAACGCCCGGGTAATCGTAGCCACCAACCACTTAAAGCATTCCGGACCGAAGGTCTTCGAACTCGGGCTCGCACCAGGCATGAACGCCAAGGAATTACGCGCTGTAGAGCTTTGCACACCCCATGCGGAACCGCGCACGCCCATGGTCATCCATCCCTGATGGTGCCTGGTGAAGTCCTCGACTCCATGTCGCGTAACCTTATTACCCCGCGGCCTCGTGATGACGTGGTAGTGCAGCTATCCCGTCCTAACACCGTAGCGTACATGGGGGGAATGGCTCTACAATATGATGGGTATTCTGTTGGTGTGTTCGGGTGTTCCTCGGGTTTTGTGATGTCCGTGTGGCCCTTGAAAGGGAGGAAGCGGAACCATGTATTTACAGTTGTGTACATCTCTGGTGGCCAGTTTGATTGATTACAATTGACCCAGAGGCACTACTGTTACGCTGCTATTGCTTCGGTGGCTCAGTTGGTAGAGCGTAGGTCTCATATATTTGATATGAGTGGGTTGTTCGCCACGCAATCCTAAGGTCGTGAGTTCGAGCCTCACCCGGAGCATTTTTTCCCTCGTTCGCTCTCACTATGAATTTTTTGGCTTTTGGAATCCTCACATCCTACGCTGGGTTAATCGTTGCGCTCTTCGGTTTCATCACTGCATCATGGAAAAGATGGAAGAGTAATCTTCATCATGGCTTAGTTGTCATGAGCCTTGTGTCATTTGCACACACATGGTATTGTTCGTAGACTGCTTCATTCTCTCACACCCATCTAACGGCAAGGTAGATATGTTCAGTTTCATTAAGGTCTGCCTACCCGACTTGGTTCCCTTCCTTCGCTGACGGGTGTTAGTGGAGTTTTGACGACTATAAATCGAGGCATCCTGCCCCTTCTTCAGCCACAATTGAACGGGCCTCCGACTGGCTCACCAATACCAAGCTCTTTGAACAGGCCTGGGCAGTCGTGTCTACGGGACTTTACAATTGGTGGTGGAGCGAACAACTGTGCCTGTTCACTGCGGGACCCTGGACGGCGTTCCTCTTCTTTGAGTGTGCGCATGTTGTTGTTCCTTTGGCCCGACTCATCTACTCACAGAGCATCGTGAAATAGCAAAAAGACTGCAGATTCCGCATGTTTGGGCTTATATGTTCCTTGGGCAGGTCGTAGCCATATCTGTCGCGTCCAACTTGTTCTTTATCGCAATTCGTCTGGCAATGTCGGAGCCCTCAAGTTCTCCGACACGTCGACTTGGTCAGCCGTTGTGTGCATCGCCATGGGTATGGATCCCAATCTTCGTTTCCTTGGCTACCATTTGGCGCACTCCAGCCGTAGCGGGTACCAGCGAGTTCCTTCCGAATCTTCTCGTAATGCATGTCCTGCTCTTCGCTCCGTTCATCCCACCTTCCATCGTACCTTTTGAAATCCCGGGACGTATCAGTTCAACCTGGCTCTATGCAATCCTAGGAAGCGCTTCTCTTGTGATACGCGCGCGGACCCTTCGCGAAATTATGTCTCTTCCGACAGACGATTCAGTCATCGCTCGTCTCTGGGAAACACTTCATTCTCATCCCGCGCAGTCATCAATCGGATGGGACGTCATTTGGACAACAATTTCCTTTATCCTCTATTTTACACTATTTGCCGACGGCGGCGGGGATCGCGTCTCGGTCGGAACGCTGATCGTTGACGGGATTGGGAGTTTGTTCGTATCCATCAGTATCGTCGCTTCGACACGTCTCATGGCACGCGAAGCAGCTCTGGCGGCTGCATAAAAAATTGATATGTACATGCATGAAGTATATTTGGTGATTACTTGGTCATGGTCATGGTCACAATAACGGTGCTCTCATTTGAAACCTCCCCAAATATCGCCAAAGGCATCGTCTTTCTTAGTTTGCTTGAAGGATGTACTTAAAGGATCCGAGGTGGTACTCCCAGATACTGCTGTGCTTGAACCCCACATGTTGGACCCAAACAGATCGTTGGATTGTTGGAGGGGTTGTTGTTGTGGAGAAGCCCAAATGTTCTGTGATGTCGTATTAGGGATTGAAGTTGCTGGAGTCGATGCAGGAATCGTGGTCGTGGCAAGTTGCGGTTGAGATGAAAATGAACCCCAGGGATTCGGGGCCGCACCTGGAGGCTGCGCACTCCATCCTGACTGAACACCCCAATGTCCAACGCCGGTATGCCCGACTAGGCTAGTTTGCTGCTGGGGGACACTGACCGTAGGAGCGGCTGCTGAGGAAGAAAATAGAGACATGATGTCGTTTTTCACATCGCTCTTCGGGGTTGGGGCAGGGGGATTGGATGAGGGAGGAGTAAAGTCAAGAGAAAAGATGTCGTCCCGAACTGGGGGAGATGTAACGGCGGTTGTTGGGGGAGCCGGTGCCACTGGCGCTCCTTGAACAGGCTTGGAACGAATAGCTGTGGACAAAAGTGTGTGTTGTCGAGGAGGTTTTGCACTCGAGGGTGGTGCATTCGTTGTCAGATCCTGGGTTGGCTCCTGTTTAACTGGGGGTTCGGATGCCTTTATGAACGATGAGCCCCACACTCCATCCGACCATGGATATACGACGCACCGGGGGTTTGGAGCTCTGATCGCTCGAGTCAAGCACGGATGGATCCTCTGGCGGGGTTCCATCCATTGCCCAACGTCGAGACTCGTACTTGGACCTAATGAATGATTCCATCTTGTGATCAAGAGGAATGTGCCCGGGTTTGAGGTGCATTTCCCAATATCGGTTTGCCCTCTCATTGCCCCACTTCTCTATAGACTATACAAAAAACCAGCTACCATCACCCGAGGTGAAGAAGGGATAATGCACTCAACCTACCTGCATCTGCTCCGGTGTCCACACATCGAGATCCACGGATTTGACTTTCGATATGTGAGTCCCCATGCTTCGGTGGATGCCAGAGCATCGAATACATATGAAAACGCCTCTACAAATTCATGGCCATGGCGTGATAAGAGTCAAGTTTGATTGGAAAGGATAGCCCCCTACATGTTCCAAGATGCCCAGCGAGGATCTATTAAAGATGTCAGACCATCGCATGTTCAGCAAGTGATTGCATCCACTACTCGCCGTTACGTTTACAATCTGCACAGACCTTGTTTCCTGGGCGCTTGACCATCTCTCTCAGCGTCTTCGCATTTCTTTCCGTTGTTGCCTTGTCTTGTTTGGACATGCCGTTTGTGTACAAGTCCCGCTTGACTTGAGTGGCAGAAACAATTCAATTGGAGATCGCAATTAGCCGGTGCCCAGCGCGCGCAATCCACAATTGAACAGACGCACATCAGGTATTCCACTAGAACACAATGTCTGGCCTTTTCTGGGCATCTTCGACGACGAAATTTGACGAGGATGTTGGTACGAACTACTTGCTTTCTGGATAGCTGTGGGTACTTCATGCAGCTGGCTGAACCCCCTTATGTAGATCGAGCGACAGCAGAGACCCTCCCCACTGGGGAGGAAGACTTAGAGCTCAACTTTGAGATCAGTGACTCCATAAGATCGAAGAGTGTACATGCCAGGGAGGCAATGCGTAGCATTAAGCGGCGTATTAACCACAAGAACCCAAATGTTCAGCTGTCAGCCCTTGCAGTACGTGGCGCCCCTTAGTCATGGCAGCAGTAATTGATGCCCTTGTTTCTTTAGCTCACAGACACATGCATTAAGAATGGTGGTGATCATTTCTTAGCAGAGATTGCGTCGCGTGATTTCATGGACAACCTTGTTTCCCTGCTCAAGTCTCCGGTTGGTCAGCGCGACAAATAAAGCGTCATTTGTGTCTCAAGCTTCGCGCACAGGCTCTTAACAATGACGTCAAAGGGAAGATCCTCCGTCTCATACAGAATTGGGCTGTGTCGTTCGATGGCAAGCCCTCACTCAAGTATACAACCGAGACGTATAGAATTCTGAAGCAGGAAGGTCAGTGCTCTTAGAAATTCGTCTGGATGACCCCGCTCAAATCTACTCGCATTCTATAGGGTACTCGTTTCCACCTATAGATCCAGCCGCAATGAGCGCCGCAATGACGGATACTCTGACTGTGAGTCCATGTACGAATGCTCCCTCCCTCGTTTGCTTATACTCCTTAAGCCCCCGGAATGGATAGATTCGGACGTTTGCATGCGATGTCGAACCCCGTTCTCGTTCACCAACAGGAAGCATCACTGCCGTTGCTGTGGTCTTATATTCGACCAACAGTGTTCCAGCAAGTCGATGCCATTACCGCATCTTGGAATCGTACAACCAGTCCGTGTCTGTGATTCATGTCATATCAAAGTGAACAAGGCAAAAAGGCAAGTCACCTTATGCTATCAGCTGTAGTGAGACGCTCAGCATGTTTGTTTCCAGCCTCCGAGGCTCGAAACATCCCCGTAAACTGTCAAAAAGTGGGACCACGACGACAAGACCCATCTCCGAGTCAGAGGATGAAGACTTGCAACGAGCTATCCAACTATCTCTGGAGGAGGCGGGCCTTGCAGACCCTGGGCACGGTCCGCGGAGAGTAGGCTACATACCTCCCGAGTTCCCTGGTGCAAATGAGCCTCCTCTGGTCGTTCCAAATGTGCAGGATGGCCCTGACGACGATCCGGAATTGCGAGCAGCCATTGAGGCGAGTTTATGGGAATCCCAGGCTCCGAAGGCGAGCGCGCCCACCGAAGACGAACCCGCACTGTATGATGGCGCGTATGTGCCATCTTCACCTGCTGTAGAGGAAAGTCGTGTAGCCAATATTTGAACCAAGGAACTAATCGACCCAATAGATATCTCCAAATTTCGATCTGGATCCCACGGAATCAGAGGCTATCCTTGCATTCAGTCAAACGGTCGAGTCGGCTAGTGCCCAAGGAGCAACAGATCTGATGCAGCAACATGGTGTAACCGAACTCTATGATCGAGCAACAAGAATGCGACCAAAATTGGCTCAAAGCTTGGATGATACAGGGCGTCGAGAACGTGAGTGTATTTCTGCAGTATTGAGCTCTCGACATTCTAACCTTCCTCCAGAAATACTATCTGAGATGAATGAGAAACTTTCCGAGGCGGCCCGACTCTATGACAAATTGCTCACATCACAGATCTCGACATCCCGCCATTTTGTCCCCCAACGTACTGAACCATACCCGTCTCATCCTGCAAGCGTACCTTACGCACCATATTCCGCTTCATATCAACCCCTTGCCTCACCTTCATGGAAATCGAGCCCAGTTTCTCACCAAGCGCATAGTTCAGAACCGGAGGCGCCAACTTTTCATTATAACGAGCCACAATACCCCCAATATGTTCCGCAAACGCAACAGCCCGAACTGTCGCAGCAGATGACACAACCTCTTGCCCAACCGACAATCTCCCATGCGCAACAACATGAACAACATGAACCCACTCCATCCTACAATCCCTCTGCTATGGCTTCGCTGACTCAACCTTCAGAGCTTCAACCGTCCCGGATCCCCCCTCCCCCCTCTCTCTCTGCACCCATTTCTCCTCCCCATGAACTGCACATACCCCCTCCAGCCATACCGGCCTCGGTCCCTGTCGTTTTGCCCTCTCAACCTCAGCCATACCAATCTGTCAATTCGATGCCTATATTCCCTTCCGTACCTACCGGACCATTGCAATCGCAAACCTATCGGGCGCCAGAACCTAAGGAGGCCATGTTAATTTCTTTCGACTAGTCCCTGTGTGTCCAATCATATTTAAAGTCGGATTTATCATCTATGGCATGTCGTGCGGAGGGAAAGTATGCAAATCGATAATCATATATAATACACATTAAGACGTCATTCCCATTTTTACCAGAGCGCCCACAATGTCAATTGCGGACCACTTGGTGCGATCCTGAGGTTCAGATCTCCTGGACCGAATGTAATCCAAGGTATTCCGGAAATGCCGTATGATCATTTCAGGCGCTTGTACGCCCTCGATCAAACCTGGCGGTGCTCGTGCGGTAGGATGAAGATCGGGAGAGGATGCAATATCAATTTGATTGACTATCAATTCGATGATTGTGTTGACGTATTTCGATGTCACCTAGAATAGCCGGTTAATTTTAATCTAACTGAATAATCAGAGTACTTACTTCTTCGATATCTCGATCAAAGTAGTAAAGGTAACGATCCAACGCATCGCAATAGAGCTGAAGACTGATGATCTCTTCAAAACTGGCACCAGCGACGCGAAGTGATCTCTGCAAACATTCTAGTACACGTTTCCCATCTTCCATGGGCTAGGCCGGTAGATGAGGCAGGGAAGTGCATTGAAAACATCGCAACTAACCTGTTTGTCTTGAGAAGTCTCATCTTTGTTGTCATCGGCTGAGGGGGGAGGAGAATCGGCGGACAGCTGTTGAGGAGTTTGTGTCTGCCACCAAAGGTGGCTAGCGAGCTGTACAGCAATAGACTGATGCGGCTTCTTGAGTAACTTTGCAGCATGGAGTGCGGCCTTCGTGCTCAGAGTGTCATAATTATCACTCCCGAAGACACTAGCACCTTGTAAGGTACCAATGATAGTTATGATAGCCTGCAATTGCGCCCGGCTGTCCGAAATGGACTCTTCATAGACAGAGAAAGCCTGCACGTAAAACTCATATGCTAACTCTTCAAAGCCGCATAAATCAGAGACTTGGGCAGCAAGAAGGAACAACCGAAGACTAATCGATGGCGAATCCACTTTTGTGTTCAAAACGGAAATCAATTGGTGTATTGATCGCAATAGGGTCGTGACTTTCGACGGCCAATCCACTTCCTACGAAGTAGATCTCAGTAATCGGACACAGAGTGGAAAGGAGGAGCTTGCCTCGAATTCGCGAGGTTTGTACCTTCGAGCTAGATTGATAAACGCCGTTATGAGCGGTGGATACGTGTATCTCATGCGATCGCCTCCTTCGGCGAAATATCTTCGGGCGGTTTGGAGCAGCTAAATGAACGTGATTATTCCTTGACGGGTTTGGCATGCACAGGGAACACTCGAACCTCGTGCTGTACTTCTAGATCATCCGATCTCAACAAGTGCACCATTCTAGCGACCCAGCCTTGTTCTTCTGCGACGTCCTCTGGGTCAATGCGAATACCACGTCCACCTGATGGACCGGTACTCCCCATTCCGACGCCTGTATCTGTCTGGTCTCTGATAAGAACATGACATACATCCAAAATACCAGAAACATCCTCCGGTGTTTCTAAGTATGTCTCGTTCTTGAGAATTGAGGAAACGATGGAAGTGGCAATGGAGCGACGAGTCGCGAAAGTTTGCTGGACCAGCAAGGGTGAGTAATTGGGAATTGCTAGAAGCGTCAGGGCGGATTGGTACGAGTTTATAGGGGCAAGCAGAAGCGAGAGTATGTTTGACGTTGTGGCAGTAATGTGAAGATCAGGGCTGGGAATGGCTGTCAGACAGGCAAACCGCACTGCAATATCGTCTTGCAAGGCAACGAACCTATCAGCGAAGTCCCCCATCTTTTCACGAGCGAAGCCTAGGACCTGATCAACGTATTCAAGTCTGTCCGGATAACAGCTGAGACATAGATTGGCCAACGAAACAAGAAGAGCGGTGATGTCTTGTATTGACAAGTCTGGTCGAGCCTTCACGCAGAGCGGAGCTGTCACACGTGCACAAGAACGCACGGCAAAGAACATACCTTGATTAGTTCCACTACTTGATACCAAAACACTTCAAATAGTCTCACGTCTTCTGGGATTCCACGGAACTTTTTTACTTTCCCTCTCCCTTCCTCTGTTGAGGATGGATCGAGATTGCTTGATCCATAAGCGGAGGCGTCAGGAGGATGTGTTTCAGCCACTGGACTAGTTGGGCTGGCTGGGGAGTCAGCCCACACGCCATCGACACTCGACGTGGAGCCATGAAGTCGTTGCCGTTCGCGTTCCCTGAGCCTTTCTCTTTGTTGTTGCACACGCTCCGCCAATCGCCTTGCTGCAGCCTCTTCCTGGCGTTTCGTTTCTTCTGGGTCCTCATTCTCGGCTTCGCGAGCAGCATAGGCGGCTAGCCGATCGATGAGTGCAATGACAATTTGTTTGATGTTGACCTTAGGGTGTAATTGGGCAGTGGCGGAGAGGAATGGGGCAAGTGTGTGAAGGTGAAATTCATCTGTAAATACTTGAATGATAACCTCCATGAGATACTCCTGGGCGATCACGTCTTTGCAGTTGACTACTTGTTCCAGAATGCCGGGCAGGATGGTACTCTGGTACATGACCAAATCCACCCCCTCTAATTGACTGAGGCGAACGAGGTTGGTACCAACAAGAATTCGGAGCTCCTTGCGCTCCAGTTCGCGTTTCTCCTTGTCACGAGAGTGGCCCTGGTGTTGCAGACGAACCCACAGCTTGTTCATTTCAACGAAGTTTGTGACAACAAAGGCAATTGAGTCCTGGAGATTACCCTGAGGTCTAATGTAATGGAATCAGCTGCAACAGTAGATTGCCACGAATCCCATAACCCACCCTTGTTCCTCGCCGATTGGTAAATGGTCCCGCGTCTGTCCACTAAGATAGTGGCGCAGGAACAGGCCACGGGTGGGATGCTGGACCCCGCGCGACATCTCCATCATGTCCTTCATAATCTCCTTTATGGGTGCATCCGGTATGCTCATGTATACTGAGCCAACAGTAATCATGAGGTATAAACGAGGAACGATGTTGCCAGCGTATTGAACAAGCTCATATAAATCCGCCAGGTGGTGCTTGCCAGTAGTATGCGCCTCATAAAGATAATTTGACAAATATCTTAGAGCATCGAAAACAGCCATGTCTGCGCCGTATACATCGAGGTGTCAGAAGGAGCAAAAGGATCCCGCAACAGTGGATGCCTACAAAGTTCATAATACTGTTTTGGGGATAGGGATGATGTCCTCAGTTCGGCAAGCATAGTACTGGCCGCTTTCAGCGCGTCCATGAGTTGATCAGCCTCCTATCAAATTGTACCATTGTCAAAGCGCAATGAATACTGAGCGCAGTGGTTACGTGCCAGGTACTTCCTCATAGAGGACGTTTGAAGCTTGGAAACGGAGAGACTCGCAGTAAGCGCCTCATCTACCGGAGGCGGCAGATGTATGGGTAGAGTCGCCATAGTGGACGCTGTGAGCGCACGGCGTCTAACGAAGTGCTTCGTCCTTTGGTGACGGACAAAAGACACGGAGTTAACGGAGTTAACCACCCTCAACTTGACCCTTCACCACCACCATCTCTGGTGCGGCACTCATCCTTCAGCGCACAACTCGACTTCCACGGTGTCCTGTACTAGCCAGTACTTCTCCTGCGCGCTCTCTCACGCTGCGCTTTGTCTCTGGCAGCTTTTCTTCCCGCTTGTCTGAACATTCCTTCCAGTGGCAAAAAAATTCGTTGAGCAACCGCTCCCGCTAACGACGAGTTCGAGTCGTGTCTACACGCATTGAAACAAGGTGCTTGGGGCTCTTGAAGATTTCAGGCGTCCTCTCTTCCTTTAATATCGGTATTCTTTTTGTGGAGTGTCTCGCGCGTCACCTCTACACACGAAACGGTCTCACTGTTGTTTGGCATCTAATTCTCACTAATCATCCATCATGCTCGGCCACGCCTTTGCATACTCCTCGGCGCCAATCAAAACGGTGCGAGAGGTTCAGTTTGGTGTTTTGTCTCCAGAAGAAATCGTAGGTTTGATTGCGGTGCCGCCAATGACTCAGCTGCAACTGTTACTCGTTTGTTCCTCAGAAAGCGCATTCTGTGGCAAAAATTGAGTTCCCGGAGGTCATGGATGAAACTGGGCAGAAAGTCAAGCAGGGCGGGTTGATGGATCCTAGAATGGGAACAATAGATCGCAATTTCAAGTGTCAGACATGTGGAGAGGGGATGTCGGAGTGTCCTGGTCATTTTGGCCACATCGAACTTGCTCGGCCTGTATTTCATATAGGTTAGCAGCAGTGTTCCCGAAGCCAAGCGTTCGAACTCATGCTAACTTTCGTGCACACTCAGGCTTCCTTGTCAAAATTAAGAAAATTCTGGAATGTATTTGTGTGCAGTGCGGGAGATTGAAGATTGATTCTGTGAGTAGTCTCTACTGCTCTCTTCGCTCCCCTAGCTTTGTTTTCGGGCGGCTCTCCCTGTTTTCTAAGGGATCCTCCAGCCTCGTGCAGATTGTCGTTTCGCTTCGGAGCTTGTTCCCGCCTGTTCAACAACCGGATCGCTTGATTGCGGTTTTGGGCGGTGAGGACTATCGAAGCTGCCGTCGTCGTTGCACGTCTGCCGTGGTGAAAAGGGGAGCAGGAGAGGAGCGACTAAGGTGCACCTCACTGCACCCATGTCTATACATCACCTCTCTGCTTGCTTATAGAATTTATTATGTCTGGCGTGGTTCACTTGCGCCATCCGTCTATCATCCACCATCATGGTCATTGCCCATATACTGACTACTCATTCCTCTATGTTACCGTGGTCGAAAACTCGCAATAGTCGGATCATGCTTTCATTGAACGTCTCAAACATATACGTGATGTCAAGGTTCGAATGGCAAAGGTCCACGACCACTGCAAGGGCAAGATGATTTGTGACGCCACCGAGCCGGAGCTTGACGGTGATGGCCAGCCTTTGCCAGTTCTGGATGCGTTAACAAAGATTGGTTGTGGTCACGTTCAACCCTCGATTCGTAAAGAAGGCTTGAAATTATTTATGGTTTATAAGAAGTCAAAAGATGAGGATGAGCAGGTGTGTGCCCTGCCTCCTTTTTTTTTCAAGTATGATCGACCTGTGTTGCAGGACATGCGATTGGCCTTGCCAGACAAGCGCCTGTTCACGGCCTTGGAGGTCTACAACAACTTGCGCAAGATATCCGATGAACATCTTGAGCTTATGGGGTTATCTGTGGAATATGCTCGACCTGAATGGATGATACTTACTGTCTTACCCGTTCCACCGCCACCAGTCCGCCCGAGCATCTCAGTGGATGGTGGTACCATGCGGAGCGAGGATGATCTCACATTCAAACTAGGGGATATTCTGAAGGCCAATGCAAATGTCCGGCGATGTGAACAGGAAGGGGCTCCTGCTCACGTTATCTCCGAATTTGAGCAATTGCTTCAGGTATAATGCACTCGCAAAATGATGAAATTTGTTTTGATAACAAATCCCTTAGTTCCATGTGGCGACGTACATGGACAATGACATTGCTGGTATCCCTCAGGCCATGCAAAAGTCTGGGAGACCAGTTAAGGCAATACGGTCTCGCCTCAAAGGTAAAGAGGGCCGTTTAAGAGGGAACCTCATGGGCAAGCGAGTGGACTTTTCATCCCGAACGGTCATTACTGGTGACCCAAACATTATGCTTGATGAGGTTGGAGTACCAAAAAGTGTTGCTATGACGCTCACTTATCCGGAGAGAGGTATATTCGTTTCGTTTGTTCTCAACGTGGGTTGACACTATGTTGTTTAGTCACCCCATACAATATAGAACAGCTCCAAGAGCTGGTTCGCAACGGTCCCCGGGAGTATCCTGGCGCTCGCTATGTCGTTCGAGATACTGGCGAACGGATAGACCTCCGGTATAATAAGCGTACGGACGCCTTCCTGCAGTATGGCTGGATCGTTGAACGGCATCTCCGAGATGGAGAGTCAGTATAGCTCCTCATTGAAAAGCATATCTTGGGGCTCAGCGATCTTCGTTTAGCTATGTGCTTTTCAATAGACAGCCTAGTCTGCACAAAATGAGTATGATGAGCCACCGAGTCAAACTTATGCCTTACTCGAGTACGTCTCCTGTTTGATCCACGTGCGCTGCTACTCATGCCAGACTCGTTCCAGCTTTCCGTCTGAATCTTTCTGTGTAAGACCTTGGGACGCTCTTCGATAACAGCCCATTCACGTCTGTCTGCAGGACACCCCCCTACAATGCTGACTTTGATGGTGACGAGATGAACATGCAGTGAGTCAGGGATGCAGAATTTTGCCTCTGTCTCCAGCGTGAAGCTTGCTATTCTCAGTGTGCCACAAAGCGAGGAAACACGAGCAGAACTGAGCCAAATTGCATGGGTCCCCCGACAAGTGAGCGAAGCTCACAATGACCTCAGTGCATCTTTCATAATCTCGATTATAGATCATTTCCCCTCAAGCTAACAAGCCAGTAATGGGTATTGTCCAGGACACGCTGTGTGGGATCCGAAAGTTCACGTTACGTGACACTTTCCTTGACTGGGCAGCTGTTCAAAACATTCTGATGTGGGTGCCCGACTGGGATGGCACTCTCCCTATACCCGCTATCCTTACCCCTAAGCCGCTGTGGACGGGCAAGCAAATCCTTAGCATGGCCATTCCCAACGGTATCAACATCATACGATTACCTGAAAATGGATCGTCCAATCCTGTTGACGACGATGGCATGTTGATCGAGAACGGCGAGATCATCTACGGTGTCATTGACAAAAAAACCGTTGGTGCCACACAGGGTGGCCTGGTTCACGTCGTTTTTCGAGAAAAAGGACCGGAAATCTGTCGTGGTCTATTTAGCGGCTTGCAGATGATTGTCAACTACTGGCTATTTCATAACGGTTTCTCGATCGGCATCGGTGACACTATTGCCGATGAGAAGACCATGGACCATATCACTCATCGAATTGCGACGGCCAAGGCGAAAGTGTATAAACTCATTGAGCAAGGCCAACGAGACCAGATCAAACCTAAACCGGGAATGACGATTCGGGAGTCCTTCGAAAGCGAAGTCAACCAGGAGCTGAATAAATGCCGTGACGACGCCGGTCGGCACGCCGAGAAGAGCTTGAAAAGCGATAATAATGTCAAGCAAATGGTGGTCGCGGGCTCGAAAGGCTCTTTCATCAATATTTCGCAAATGTCTGCTTGCGTTGGACAACAAAGTGTTGAAGGAAAGCGAATACCTTTTGGTTTCAGGCATCGAACACTCCCGCATTTTGCCAAGGATGACTATTCTCCCGAAGCACGCGGATTTGTTGAAAACTCCTACCTGCGAGGGTTGACGCCTCAGGAATTCTTCTTCCATGCCATGGCTGGGCGCGAGGGCCTTATCGATACAGCGGTTAAGACCGCTGAAACAGGATACATCCAGCGACGTCTTGTGAAAGCCCTCGAAGATGTGTCCGTCTGCTACGATGGTACCGTCCGTAATTCCCTAGGTGATATCATTCAGTTCACTTATGGTGAAGATGGTATGGATGGAGCTTTCATCGAGCGCCAGCGAGTAGAGACATATCACTTGTCACACTCTGCTTTCTTCCGCAAGTTCCGCGTAGATATTATTGGTGAGGACGAGAACGCGGCATTCAGGTCAGGGGTTCTTCAAATTGGCCTGGACACAGGAAGTCCCGAGCTACAGCGGGAGTTGGACGCTGAGTGGGAGCAACTCCAAGCCGATCGCACACTCCTTCGTGATTTTATATTCCGGAACACAGATCCCACACGCCCACATTATCTTCCGGTCAACCTCCGTCGCATCATCCAGAATTCCCAGCAAATTTTCCACATCGACCGTCGAAAGGCCACCGATTTGGATCCCATCCATGTTATCCGCGAGGTTCGCGCACTTTCCGAAAGACTTATTGTTGTGCGTGGTGCCGGGGAAATTGTCGAGGACATGCAGAAGAACGCAACCCTGCTGTTCCTTATGCACTTCAGATCAAGTCTCGCATGTCGTCCAGTGATTGAAGAGTACCATCTAACTCGGGAAGCTTTCGATTGGGTTATTGGTGAAATCGAGACCAAGTTTAATCAAGCACTGGTCAATCCGGGAGAGATGTGCGGCACATTGGCGGCACAGTCTATTGGAGAGCCCGCCACCCAGATGACCCTAAACACATTCCATTACGCGGGTGTGTCTAGTAAGAATGTGACGCTTGGTGTTCCCCGGTTGAAGGAGATCATTAACGTGGCTACCAACATTAAAACACCTTCGCTCACCGTGTACCTTGAGCCCCAAATTGCTCGCGACACCCGACGCGCGAAAGATATCCAGACTGAACTCGCTCATACAACTCTCCGAACCGTAACGGCGTCGACTGAGATTATTTTCGATCCCGACCCGTCAACCACCGTCATCGAAGAGGACGCGGATTTCGTTGATGCGTTCTTCGCGATCCCTGACCAGGAAGTGGCAGACAATCTTCATCGCCAGTCTCCATGGTTGCTGCGTCTGGAGCTAGACCGCGCCAAGATGCTCGATAAAAAGCTTGAAATGGCATATGTGGCAAGTTGCATTGCGGATGCCTTTTCCACAGACCTCTTCGTCATCTGGAGCGAAGACAACGCGGAGAAACTTGTCATTCGTTGCCGGAGTCTCTCTTCCGCCACCGACAAAGACGAGGAAGGTGATATTCAGATCGAAGAGGATGTCTTCCTTCGCCAAATCGAGAATACTATGCTGAACAGCATCAGTCTTCGTGGTGTGGAAAACATTCGTCGAGTCTTCATGGTCGAACATGACAGGGTTACTGTTAAGTCCAGTGGAGAATTTGCAAGCAACAGAGATGCTGAGAAAGAGTGGGTGTTAGAGACGGATGGCGTCAACCTGACAAAGGTGATGTGCGTGGACGGTGTTGATTTCACTCGGACATACTCCAACAACTGTGTCGAAATCTTTGAAACCCTTGGAATCGAAGCTGCGCGTGCCGCACTCCTCCGCGAGCTCCGAGGTGTCATCGAATTCGACGGTTCCTATGTCAATTACCGTCACCTGTCATTACTCTGCGATCTCATGACAAACCGCGGACGACTTATGGCCATCACGCGGCATGGTATAAATCGAGCCGACACCGGCGCTCTCATGCGTTGTTCTTTCGAGGAAACTGTAGAAATCCTCGCAGAGGCAGCAATGATCGGGGAGAAGGATGATTGCCATGGAATAGCCGAGAATGTCTTATTTGGACAAATGGCGCCTATGGGCACTGGCTCATTTGACGTTGCCCTCGATATGGGCATGTTGAAAGATGTGATTGTGGACAGCCGTCTTCCGGTTCAGAACATGATGGCAGCTCATGCTTCGGAAGGCGCTGCAACACCAGGTGGGATGACACCCTACGATTCTAGTTCGCCAATGTACGAAGAGGCTTTCAAGGGGGATGCGGTGGCATTCTCCCCGTTGGCGCAAAGCGGTGGCGACGACTCATCCGGGTTTGCTTCATACCTGCCTGGATTTGGTCAAAGCCCTTTCGGCGCTGGGAGCGGAGGAACTTCACCGATGGGCCCGCAATACAGCCCCAGTTCCCCAGGCCACTACTCACCCACTTCGCCGTACCAACCTACATCGCCCTTCGGAGCGGCTGCCACATCTCCGTTCGCGACTTCACCATTTGCAACTTCTCCGTTTTACGATCGATCACGCGGAGGTGCAACTTCTCCTACCTACTCGCCGACTTCTCCTATGCTTAATCTGTCATCTTCCAATTTCTCCCCTACGAGTCCGCGTTATTCTCCTACTTCCCCGTCTTTTTCGCCAACGTCACCTCGATACAGCCCGCAGTCACCTTCGTTCAGTCCTACCTCCCCTCGTTACTCACCCACAAGTCCTTCTTTCAGCCCCACCTCGCCGCGCTACTCTCCCACAAGCCCTTCATTCAGTCCCGCTTCCCCTCGTTGTGAGTGTCACCTTCTCAATGTATTATGCGCATACTGACTTGAAATTTAAGATTCTCCCACTTGTGAGTTGCCCATCAGTTGCAGGCCGTCCTCAAGTTTACTGACCTTGTTTAGCACCCGCATCGGGCTCACCGATGTCGCCAAAGTACTCTCCTACATCTCCTGCCTCTCCGGTCTCTCCGAGATATTGTATGTACTCAATACTCAATCCATTCTACCTTGGCTGAACTAACGTGTTTGCAGCCCCTTCCTCCCCTCATTATTCACCAACCTGTAAGTGCCACCTGATGCTCAGACTGAAATGGTTGCTGATGCTCTTTGTGCAGCTCCTGTATACTGTAAGTCTCCATCATTGGAACAAAGAGCACGTACTGACTCCATGAACTAGCTCCTGCCTCACCCGCTTATAGTAAGTCTCCCATTTCGTCCCCTGTTTCACACACTAATAACCTTGCGTAGGTCCTACATCCCCCCAGTGGAGCCCATCTAGTCCCATTCATTACTCGCAACAGGGTAAGAACGGACAGCCCAATGGCAACGGGACGTACAACCCAACGCCCAGTTGGACGTAAGGGCCATGAAATGGCGATGTTTGATCCCCTGATTGTGGGACTATATCGGACAACGCTTGTTTAATTAACAAATTTTTGTCTTATTTTCCTGCATACCTCATTACATCAATACGATTCTGTAGAGTACACTTTATTCATCAATCAATTACAGCCGAAGTCTGGTCGTGATGGGGCCCACACGTATCTTGGTCTTGCACAGTTATGCTTTGTACGGCTTTAACACAATTGCAACGAGGCAAAGGTGTCAAGGACACTGTAAAACGGTGACATACTCGAACTCGTGTTGTCCCGACCTCTTGACGCGTGTGCGTGGTCAATGGGTTGGTCAACGGGTACGTACAAGCACAGACGGTAGCGATGCATCGCCAGACTGATGCGTGACTAAATTTCTGTATAAAAGCTAATGGGAATGGCACCCGTTCTGATGGCACATGGCCCGACGTTCGTGGCTTCCAAAGAATGACAAAATGCATGCCACGACAAAAATAATAATAATAATCCAACACGTAACAAAGAATCCCAAAAACGCCACGCGTTCACCCTTAGAGACCTTCTGTGTCGTGTCGGATTGTCATCCCTACGTCCGGCTGCACATGTATGCGGCTCTGCGCAGGCGAGCGAAGTGCCATAGCTACGGCTAGAGATGAAGTTGGTAGCCCGAGCTGGCTTCACCAAACGATCAGCGAGATGCAAGCGGCGGTCCGTGCCCGGACATCCGTACGGATCAACCAACGTCATGCCAAGAGGCTGATTGGCCGAGCTTGCGAGGCATTTGTATCAATCGATCGGAATTGAATCGTGGTTATCCTCCATCAGTAAGAAACCGAGCGAGTTGCATCGTGGCATTTGCATGGACGTAATGTGAAGGGATCGTCATGAATCCCCGTAATCCTCACGGCCCAGACTGTCGAAATTAAGTGACGAATTGACTTTTCAGTGTTGTTGGTGTATACGTGAGAGGCGTGTCTGCGCGCTCCGCATTGAGAGTGAAGGCATCATGCTGCTTACAGACTAATACTCAAAAGGAAATATCCTGCTGCTTGCCTCACAAGAGAGAGGTCATCCTCGAGGCGCTGATCCCGGAGTGTTGCGCCTCTACTACCCTCATTCAGACGGCAAGACGCACTAATCCTAAAGAGGGAAAGGCCTAAGAGGAAACAAAGATGTTATCGTGGCAACAGCAGCATTCTATCGGACAAAGTAACGCTAAGGGGCGGGGTTGAAATTCAGACATAGCAGAGGGAGGGTGAGATACTGTAGGCACCAGCACAAGTCAACGAGGCCATTCCTTACGGTGGTGCAGGCGAGCCGGTTGGCTAGTGTGTTCGTACCCAGAGCGACCGTGCTTTACCGCAGCGGAGCGAAGAGTGGCTGTGCTCGTTCGCCTCTAGACAGAAACAGGTTTCATGCTGCCGCTTCCTCGCCGGAGGCAACACATATAGGCCGAATTCCCGTCAAGATTTCTGGTACATAGCTCTGGGAGCTTTGGTGAGTCCCAGATAACTCTGTTTTATCAGGTTGTGTGTGAAAACAAAAATTGAAGAAAGTGACGCATGACGCTCGTAGAGAACCAGCGCGAGATTCAGAAAAAGCTCGTTGGTTTCTGTAAAGTTTAAAGCAAAACGGGCGCCTAACAACTACCACTAGTTGGGCTTGCTCATCGTGTGAACAAACCTAAAAGGGTCTGGCGCGGTTAGCCAGGGTCGGAGCTGAATACTTGCTTCCGGCGTTGAGTTCGAATGTTCTCGAACAATCGTGACATCTCCACACAAAAAGAGTTATAACCCGCCCTTTTTGCGTCACAAAATTTCTCCAAAGTGTTTCTCAACTGAAAGAACGCCCTCTCCGCAACGAAACGTCGATCGTAGTTTTCAGAACCAATGTCGCCACTTCACCCGGAATTCCTTTGGGCTCAGAGGAGTAACGCAACCCTTGCAGAGAAGGTTGGTTAGACTTGTTAGAATCTTATATTTTTGAACGTTGTGCTTTTCGAATCCAACTACTAAAAACTTGACGTGAACTATACACACGCGTACATGCGTGCATGCGTGCATGCGTACGTACGTACGATCGATCGATTGGCGCGCGTGCGTCTTGAACCTATACTCCTCTCCTCTTACTTTCCAATGAATAACTCCACCGACGCAACGCGGTTTTCTCAACAATTTTTTTTAGAACATTATCTATCTTACTATTAACCTCCCTGATATCCAAGAACACACTCTGAAAGTTGAACTCACTTCGACAAAATTCAGCTTCAGCGCGCGAACTGGAAAGTGAGTAACTTCCTTGCTTCAACTTATCATTTGACCTCACCCGATCTTTCATTTCTTCCTTTCGCAGCCAAGAGAAGGGAATCGAGGAGAAAGATTGGGCCGCTGAGGTGGAATTCTACGATGAGATCGATCCAGAGGTAAGTTAAGAACCCAAGAATCGTACAACTCCTTTGGATCTATTGATTAATGTGTCTAATGATGACACCCTTCCGTGATTGTACAACTTTTCTGTGATACGAACACAGAATTCAAAGAAGACGTTAACTTCTCGCCACTTTGCGCTCATCCTTGGAAAGAAGAAAGCACAAACGGAATTCTGGCCGCGGTTGACGAAGGAGAAGGGCAAGATTAACTTTGTGAAGACTGACTTCAGCAAATGGGGTGAGTCCATGCACTTCCACCTCGAGGCTATAACAAATTCTGAACAACTCCCGCTTTAGTGGATGAGGATGAGCAAGAAGGCGTGATTGACGGTATGCAAATCCGTGACCTACAACTGTTACCATGAAGCTAACTCTCAATGCCTCCACAGTACCTGATGAGGACTTTGGTGACTTTGGTGGCGGTGGCGGTGGCTTAGGAGGCTTAGGAGGCCTGGGAGGAGGCCTAGGAGGAGGCTTGGGAGGCGGCAACCCTGACTTTGATGCGGTTTGTTCCGTTCTTCACTATCAGAGGATCTTTCGCACTGATTTGAATATCTTGTCCCTTTACTTAGATGATGAGAAATATAGGCAACTCGGGAAGCGGAGACTTCGGTAGTGGTGAGGCGGGACTTGGTGATGATGTCGACTCTGATGATGAGGTGCTGACGGCCCACCACCACTCGAGGATGCTCCGGAAGAGACGCCTGCCGCGCAACAGCAGTAGATCTAAGAAATCTAAGAACACCAATCTGATTCCACCAGTGCCGAATCAGAGTACTGTTCTGCAGCTAGTCTCCACTCTTCACTTACACCAATACTATTACCACATGGACTTGATCGATTTTGATTGCTAGACCTGCCATGTTCATATTTGACCATCATGAAGAAGAAAAATGGATATTGTGCTCGCAAGGCACGCGTGAACCGTTAAGTAATTCCGTCCAATATTGCAATTAATGATCGATCATGAGTTACTTGGTCCCTTGTAAGAGGGGCCAGATAACTTTTAGTTGATATACTTTGTCGTTCTGCGAACACACTATGTAGTCGCGATGCCAGTAGCTTGCTCTGGCGTGCGGTAACTTGTCTGCAGACCAGGCACGCCCACTAGCTGTTGTGCAAAATTTGACTCCGATCACGTCTAATAGACAGCTGTGGGAACGAGATAATCACTTATTTTTTTTCCAAGGCGAAATGAGGAACATAGTTATTTTGTTATTTTTTAAAGCTAACGCTGCTTAAGGACTTAGAGGAGTAGTGAGACCGATTCAGCGAAGGTTGATTTATGTACTGGTTGGGATCGAATCTTAATATCTCGTTCCCATCCGGAATGCAAATCAAAGTTGCGACTTTTTATATAACGTTTCGTGAGAACCGTGACTTGAAAAACACTTTTGAAAGTCGAACTCGTCGAGATGAGAAAGATTGGGCCGTTGAGTGAGAGTTTTATATGACGAGATTGATCCGGAGGATTCTTTTCTTTCGAAATCCTGTACGATCGATTCCCTTTCCCCTCTGTCATACCCATACACGACAAACACACAAATTCAGAATTCAGCTTACCGGTCAGAGACACCTACACCCTTCTCGTTGAGCGAGGGATTGAAGGCGAACCTGATGGTATGCAAGTACCCGTGACCATCGACATCGTTACCATAAGGCTTACCCACAACGCCTCTGTGGCGCTCGAGGATGACTTGACATGGGCGGCATGAGTGGTGGCATGGACTTTTAAGTCGGTTCTTTTTTTGCCACCGTTCCCCAGATAGTAGCCGTAGCCACGCTAGAGAATCCACTGATTCGAACATTTCGTCCCCTTACCTAGATGATGGGGTACGCTGCAAACAGCGGAATGTGGCAGCGATGGCGCCGCAGGGCTCCGACGATTCTGATGGTGGACGAGAAATGCGAAAAGGTCCAACCGCCACTTGAGGAATTGAGTTAAAGGAAAGGGATCCCTATCGTGCAGTAGCGACAGGTCCAAGAAATTCCACAATAATAATAATACGAATCTTGCTCAGATCAGTCTTGCGGCGCGTTCTATGGCTAGTTTCCCCTCTTTCCACCTTGATGAATTTAACATGTCCGGACCTGACGACGGGGAGGAAGAAGGGGGAAAATATGGGGGTAGTGTAGTATTGTATGATGATGATGTACACACACGCAAAAAAAGGTACGAGTTGTCCGATCTTGCCAAATGTAAGTATGATTCAGGGACACGGTTACACACACCAAGCAAGCACCCATGCATTCCTGAGCTGTGATCATGCGGTGATTGCGCGCAGATTGTATTACACTATTGCATGTTGCGGCAAGCCAACCGAGGAATTCGTTCGATCCTAGCTAGGCTTGACCCCTTTGATCCCTTGATCCCTTAAGTAAGGATTGCAGCCTGCTCCGCGCCGCGCCGCTACTGCGCGTCATTCCTTAACTTGGGTGTGAGCTTTAGGCTGTGGTTCTGTTCGGACAAGTACGTTACGCGTACGTTGCAGGCAACTTGAATGTAACCAGCCCGTGTTCCTATCATCTCCTTGACCTTCCGAAGCTGTTCCAGGGTTAACAAAGGGAATGAACTTTGAAGTCGACTGTATTGTATATACGGTATATACGGCCGTTGAACCAAGGTATCGTTCGGCCGTTGAGCTTTTTTGATCCCTTACTAGTAAGTACGTCACGCTGCTACTACCCGCACGTACTACCTGTAATTCTTGACTTTAGACTGGGCGGTCATATTCGGACACTGATGTTGAACTCACCTCTATTCCTTATCTTCTGAATTTCATGATCAGCACAAAGAGGCCCTATAACAAAATTACAGTAACAGTCAAATATGTACAAACAAAACCACCAAAGTGGAAACAACAGTAAAAAAAAAATCAAACATCAAGAAAGAGCCGAACACACGAAAGCCTGCTTTTACATATACATATTACCTATCTTGGCCTGGATGGAACGTGGATTATGGGTGGGGCTACTAGTACCTGGACGCAAAAGGCGAGTTTTTGGAATTTCGGGATATCCCGTGAGCAACGTCATGTTGATGACATGCCGATCGAGAACGCGAGGTATAATTAATGACGCCCTCCCCTTGAGGCCCTGCCCGTCCACATGATGTGAAAGGACCCGGGTTTGGCCGGCGCGGAGGCCAGGGCAAGAGATAGGGAAGTCGAAAGCAATCTTGTCTATGCAAGGACATAATGGTTTCTTTGCATGTAGATATGAGAAACTGGCTACAGTAGTAATTACTACGTTCCACATGCGTCCAAGGGAACACGGCCCGCCCGGACGCTTGAGAGCGAGATAACGCCCAAAACTTGCAAAAGAGCTCGCTAGTTTGCATGTATCGACTTTGCCACAATAAGATTATGTTTACCTAGCGCTATCGCTATAGCGTGGGGGTGCACAATGGTGGGAATGAAGAGAAAAAACGTCGGGGTTACTTACACACGTTTTTAAAGCGGAATGAATAATATATCTCACGAGCTGCCACCCATGTACTGGCCCCGCGCGTCTCCGTGGGGACGGGACGGGACGGAGGGAAAAAAAAGAAAAAAAAAGGGGTGGAAGAGTTAAATCGAGTTCGCCGACATCAAAGAAAGAGACCGGGATGGGTCGAGACCCCCCAGCCCTGCTTGAATAGAACGGTGGGAAGATCGACGAACATGCACCTGGCACCCATATATACTGATACACACACACACACACATGTACATGTGCATGCATGTACAGGAACAAAATTAATTTCGTTCCACCCGGCCGTTCTGCTGAAAAAGCAAACACTTCTTAGTATGTTATCTTAGTACTGTTCCTTCAATGCCCTTTCCAACACCCTTGGATGGCGTACCCTACGCACGTAAATGGTCGGAGCAATACATTAATTGGACTAGAACCACTGCATATGTGTGAATGACCGGCATGCATATGAGAGTGATGAACAACACAGCATATGAACAAACAACAACAACATGATGATCAATCCTTTACAAGTGGAGGTGGATTCGATCAAAGATCAAAGTGTCCATGGCGTGGCAAGGTATCCCATGGTAATATCGAATGTGTATCGTGGCAGAGCAAAGGTTATCGATGTGAACGAGCAAAGGCAAAGAAACAAGGCAGGAGAGAGATTTGAAAGCAGAACGTTTCATACAAGGGGAATGGGCAAGGAGTCCCAGAATCCTCATCCAAGAAAAGAAAAGAAAAGTAAAAAAGAAAAGGGCGAAAATCGTATATGTATTTTCCCCCTGCCAACTCCATTTCAAGACTTCCTGTAGCCGGGAGCAACTTCTTCCAAGATTCTATCGACTTCCATCAGTCCAGGTCCTGGAAGCTTTCCTTTCCAACATGCGGGATGATAAGGATGAACGGGAGTCGTCGTGTCATAAGAGTCCCTTTCCTCAGCATGTACCTGCAGAGGGGGCGAGTGCGTGAGTGTTAATGGGAGTGTTGATGTACACGGAGATGAGGAAGACGCTCCTCCTCCTGAAACCCCCACTCCTCCCATTCCTCCTCCTCCAACTCCCCCGAGAGTTCCGAAGCCACCTCCTTGAAAGACGTCCATCTCACCATCACGATCACCAACTCGTTGTAAATCGTGTAATGGCATGCCCAAATTTGGACTTGGACTCATGAAACTCCTGCTGGACGGACAAACTGGCGGGAGTGGCATCGTAATGGGTATATATGGCAATGGTCCTTCTTTAGCGATGACCCATGAAGACGTAAGCGAAGCGACGTTTGAGAAGCGAGCAAGTGAGGGCGGATATTGCGTGTCTGGATCGAGCACGGGGGAACGTTCGTTGGGGTGGTAGATGGGAATCGTTCTGTAACTGGATGAGGTTTATAAGCCGGACGAGGTGGTCGTTGAGGGCTTAGAGAACTGGGATCCCTGATAACAGCTTGAAATACGTGCTGAGTAGGTACGTCCCTACGCTGCTGAGGGCTCCCACCACCTCCTGCGGTGTCGTTGAACGATGTGGGTTCTTCACCGGGCATGTCGATTTCGAACGATGGGAGGAGTGCGATGGTGGCTCCTGGACTATCGGATGTCCTGTTGGAAGGATTCCCGGGTCGATTGCGGCTCTTGACGCCTTCGCAGGAGCGGAAGTGGCGTCTGAGATTCGATACGACCGAAAATCGCTTTGGACAGAGCGCACACGGATGGGCTTGGTTGTGGTGGTGGTGAGGGAAGGGAGGAAAACAAAAGAGAGAGAAAAAAAAAAACCCAAATTAATACGAAGCCCCCCACCCCATCACACACGCACGATTTATGGAGGGTGAAGCAAGGGCCCCGAAACAGAATAACGAATCCACATGGATGGGATGGGATGGGCAGGTCATCGGATAAAGTTGGGAACAATGCAAAACAAAACAAACCAAAAAAAAAGAAATATTACGATATGAGCTTCTCGTTGATCATTGATAGTACTGACTTGGACGTACGTTTTTCGCCGGTGTGAATTAGAAGATGCTGAAGCCCGATAAAGCAAAGGAAGGAAAGAGTCAGTATATAGATAATTTCAATAGGGTATCTGAAAGCAGAGTGGGATGCGATGGACAAGAGCAACGCGTAGTGGGACCGCACTTACCTGTCTAAGTGAACTGGGGCGCGTAAACGAGGCATCGCACCGAGGACATTGAAACTTCTTGCCTTCTCCTCTATAGGATGGAGGCCCAAAGTGATTGTAGTCCTGATCGCCCGAGTTGGTGCTCAGAGGGGAGGCTCCAGCATTCTCGTCCGAGCCCGATTCCGAATGATGAGCAGTGAGGTCAAATGGGTTCATGAGTGCGAGAAGAGTCGTCTAGGAGTTATGAGGGGTTGATCAGCAGTCGGGATCGGGGTGGGAGGAGGGGGGTGAATTTATAGGTGGAAGGGGGGTGGGGGTGGGGGGTGGGTTACAGAGTAAGCAAAGGTTGAACGCAAATATCCGGGTTGGGCTCGTTGCCAAAAAACCGAGTTTCCTTGGTCAGCTGAAGGGACGGATGGGCAATAAGCGCCGATTGAGACTAAGAATTGTTAAGGGCTTGGGCCCCGAGAATCTGGGATGAGTGGTGGAAACAGGACGAGATCATGGTGTAGTAATACGTTGGTACATAAGGAAGGCGATCGTCACGCCAGCACGCTGTCACGGATGTACACGTTGAACCCACTTGCAAACTACTATTTTTCAATTCTTTTGGTGGCAGATCTGTGATGGTTTTGGGAGACAGATTAGATGCGGTCTAGTTCTATCTGGATTTCGGTTGTTTTGTATGAAAATGTATTTGCATATATCGTATGCAACCCTCCCCAATAATTATGCGTATTCGGCATTCGGAAATGCCTCACGGATGAGGGTCATTGGCAATTTGATTAGGCCTCATCCCCCCCGATGAAGTTGCGCATTCCCTAGGGGTTCGTCCGGCTGCATTACAGCAAGGCCTGCAAAAGTCATGAGTCGCAGGGGAGGGGGAGGGGAGGGGGGGTCAAAACCCCAAAAATCACATATACATTCGTGAAATCAAACACGAATTGGACCCAAAAGAAGGTGAACACGCACGCGCGTTTTACGGGGTTCTTGTATGTCAGTCAGGGCTTGTCTCGCGTGGAACTGGCAGGACCACGAACACTATTCGTGTTTTGCTGACACGCGCGCGAGCTTAGTTCGTGTTTTGTGAACGGGGCAGCTTTCAAGCTTGATCATCACGGAATGATGTAATAGATCAGTGATTAAAAAAATCAAAGTATAAGGTTGTTTACGACGAGGACGGTTATCTCACGCCCTTGCTTCGATAGTATCAAGGACCTTGATGGGCGGCCACTGTGTTCGGGCGTGTACACGCCCCTTGCAACGGGAAATCCTGCCTGTTCAGCATATCCTGATGTGGCAAAACAGGCTGTTCCTCCTAAAGTTTAGTCCCTAACCATTTATTGAGCTACGTTCATTATAGTAGCTTACGCCAGGCAATCACATTCCGCTGCCACAACGACAATTCATAGGTACACGCTCCTTTTTCTTTGCTTTTTTTTTTTCTCTTCTCTTTCCCTGTCTCCACTTTCACTCCCCCCCCCTCCCCTCTAACCCTTCCTCTCTCTCAAGCCTCTCCTACACGTTGCTCATTACGCGTTTCGACCTCAACTCGGACTTTCTTGCACCAAAACACACATTCTGGACGAAACTAATCCCTTCCCCCTTGTGCCTCGGCGCTAAACTCTACGCTTTCACATTCCTATAATGAGTTCTCAATCCTGGGCTTCGCTGTCGGGCTATCGAGCTCTTTCATTCCCTCATCAAGGTCTTCCGAGCGTCCAGGACATCCTTTCCCCCAATGACGCCACTGCACCTTGGTTCAGGACCACCGCTATCGTCGACCATCTTTCGCCACTCACAGCGGTGGGACCGTCATGACGCCATCAATGGGCTATCTTCACTCTTCTGGAATGCCAACCGTAGACAATGTGCATCATTCCCAGCAAGGGAGTCAACTTCCTCATGGCATGGACGCAAGCGCGCATCAACTCCGATACCGGGCTCTCAGTCTAACGTGTTTCATACCTCGCCGTCTGACCATTCCTCGGGCTTCAATTCCCCATACCACATTACAGCTTAAATGTAACTGGAAACGTAACGGCTGCTGCTGCTGCTGTTGCTGCGCTACTCTCTTGACTCAAATTCCCGCAACATCTCCTGCTGCGGTCCTAGACGCTAATACGGGTGTCGAAAATACGGGAAACAACTGTGCAGCCTAGAACGAGCTCCAACGAAGCACTCTAAACGAATGGATAGACGAGGTCCTCGCGAGCGCCCGTACACGTGTATGGGGTGTGACGCTACATTCGATAGACCTAGCTCGCTCCGCACAGTACGTTGGACTCTCATTCAAAATAACCTTGCTGCCATGCTAACGTGCTTATTTCCCTGCTCGTGTTAGCACATGTTATCTCACACAGGCGAGAAGCGTACGTCTTGAGTGGAGATCCTGTTGTGATCTGCATGCTCAACCGTTTCCTTTCTTTTCTTTTTTTGTCAAATCCCTTTACATGCATCGACTTGCTGTGTGGCCGATCACCTAGCGCATCAATGTGCGCAGTGCCAAAGGCGATTCTCAGTACTCAGTAACCTAAAACGCCACCAGATAACATGTGGACGCACTCGGCGTAGAAACTTGGCTCCGTCTCCGGATCCTCGTGACAATGGTCGAAGTTCGGAAGAAGGGCCGGCCTTACGGGGAGAGCAACAACAGCAGCAGCAGCAGCAGCAGCAGACTTTAAGCGCACGAGGACCCCAACAGGTCTCACCTTCTCCTGATTCTCAATCAGGAATGCAGTTCCCAACTTTAGGTGAGAGCAACCAAACTAAAAACTCCATTCACGTGGAAGGAAGCATGGTTACTGATGGATAAAGGCAACGTGCCTCCTTGTTCCCTTCAAGACGATGTACAAAGTCGAATAGGAGCAAATATGAACGAGCCGCCACGGGCGAGTCCCTATCCTACTCATCCATCCATCCTCACTTTCCATCCCAGTGGTGACACGGATCCACTTATGAGGCCATCTTTTAATCAGTACAATTCCAGTCCCACCATCTCTTCGCATTCTTCCGATGCTGCAAGCACCCTGTCAGCCGCAACGTCCATCCCTGTCAACCATCCATCGGCGCATATCGGTCCATCAGCTCCACTTCCGCCACGCTCTCAACTCGCCCATTCTGGACTAGCGCACACACCAGCAGTGCACCATCGTTCACCTGACCCTACTTCGCCTAGCGGCGTGATAACCAATAACCCTTATCTCCTCGGAACCGAACACTCCTTATCTGGATCTGTCACGAATGACCATCAGCCGACATCGTCGGCATCAATCCAAAGTAGCAATAGCAACAGTAACAACCTCTATAACGCTCATATCCTTTCACCAACACCTCCTACTCCGCCATCGACAAACGTCAGGTCTCCTAGAAGACGTTACACACGTGCAAGGCCAAGACCTTGGCTTCCTGCTTCTCTTTCTTGTATGACGAACATCCATGAACTCCTTAATACGGCTCATTCGAAGAGTGCCGTTTCCAAAGCTGTGAACACCCTCAAACGTGTCCAAACGCAATTCGCTTCGATTCTTTGTGCACCTTTAAGACCTGTGGTGCCGTGGAGTGGGAATGGGAATGGGGGTGTGGGTATGAGCGTGCCAGATGGCGGTGGCGGTGGCGGGGGTGGCGGTGGTGGTGGTGGGTATGGTGGATGGAACTTGGAAGAGAGGAACAGTTATGCGCCTGGTGCCCCTCGTGAACCATACCATCCCAGGGAATGGAGGGATGGTGTGTCGACGTTACCCGGACCGAGGCCTTTGGCTCCGGAAGAACTTGCAAGGCAAAGTAAGAAAGGAGCCAAGCTTGGTCATTGAGTTTGGTTTGTTTGTTTGTTTTCTTTTGATGATGATGAGCATGTTTTCAGACTGATTCACTATCTTCTCGTGCATGAATGAGGGAGGAGGCTGTTCTTGTTCCTTTGTTTGTTTGTTTGTTTGTTTTTTCCTGCCCTTCAATGTGTGTGTGGTTTACCATTATCTCTTTTCCTTACCTACGAACGCACTTGGATAAATGATTGATGGAAAGAAACTTTTGGAGCTTGATATTGAACTACTTTTTTTCGATCGAGAGGGGTCTCGTATACGTCATCGACCAAGGACCACGAGTCTTTGTACCATTATAGTACTAACTAGATTGGCATTCGAGATGTTAATCGATACAATCGGCTAAATGAATCGGGCAACGCGAGATCTAAAGAGTGAAAGCAATAGGCAAGGCAGCAGGGCAACCAGCCCCCCTCCCCCAACACTCCCCACCTTCCCAACTCCGTTACTGAAAAGAGAAATTCAAAGTTGTATTTGTCTATTTGACAATTGCACAGACGACAACTCAATCGTCACCATCGGACTCTTGATCCTCATCGTCATCATCGATATCCATACCTCGATTCTCCGATCTTGATCTCATGGCCCTCTCACCACCCAAGGCACCCGAACGAGAACCTGCAACACCCCCGGAAGACGCTCGAACTGGGACACTAGCAGCATTCCCGCTCCCACTCCCACTCCCACTCGCTTGTCCTGATGATGTCCCTGGTTGTTGGTCAATCCCTAATGCACGTCTCCCCTTCAGAACGACCATTTCTCTCAACCATTCATTCTCCTTACGAAGCTCCCCAGCTTCTTTCTCCAAATCTTCTGCTCGTCCAGTCAAATCTTGGATATTCCGTTCAAGATTCAATGTACGTTGTTTCTTCTTGGTTCGGAATCGCGCTGGAAAAAAAAACAAACAAACAAATGTCGGATGGATGAAATAAAAGGAAGGTAGGATTAGAAAGGGATTAGAATTTGAAAACAGATGGTCACGTACCGCTAGCAGCAGTATTCCGTCGTCTTTTTTCGTCAGCGATAGCAGCCGCTTCAGCGAGGTCATCCTCTTCAGGGCCCGAATCTGAGTGTGAGTGCGGCGCGGGAGCCGTGCCCTGAACGAGTGGGACCGAACTGGGCCCGGTCCCTGGGGGACCGCTAAAACTAAGGGTGGACGACGAGACGGGTGATGGTTGTGATGGTGGCGAATTTGAAAAGCTTCGTGGTAGACCCTGAGCCGTCGTGAATTGAGGAAGCGAACTGGAACCGGATGCATGCCCAGTGGGAGAGTGAGGGACCAATGGCGTTGTGAGAAGATTTCCCGAGCTTGCTTGTTGTTGGGCGGGATTGAAAAGTCCAGTGGGTGGTAAGAGTGGCTGGCCAAAGGAGGCGTACAAGGTCGACAGGTCGGGTGGGGGGTTCGCGAAGCCTGATGGGTGATTCGGCAGACCCGAAGGTAGGGTAGGATGCGAAGATTGGGCCAAAACTAGAGAGTGTGTGATGGGATCATTTCAATCCTGTGGGAGAACGGATAGGAATGTATTATCAAGCGTACATTGAGGTGTGTTAGATCCGGGGTTAACGATGGGAGGCAACATCCGCTGTAAAGAATGAGGCTGAGGCTGAGGGTGAATCGAAGATGATTGGTGAGTGTGGTGAATTGATTGCTGTTGCTGCTGAGCGCCAAGCAATAAAATTTGATAATGGGCATTGATTACGACTTGCTGTTGTTCTGGCGATAAATGCGCCAGGTCAAAGGGAGGAAAATACAGAGACGTAGGAGCTGCTTGGGGAGCGGTAGGAAAGCCAGGTTGAGCAAAGGGACCTGTAACTGTGGGCGCGTTTGCAGGATAAGTATCAGACGGAGCGAACGAGGTGGGTGGGGACGGGTGACCGTGACTTGTCGAGTATTGAATCGGAACACCCCGTCTTGGGCTTGTACCTCGTGCGGCTACGCCGGGATCACCGACACTGGTATTACGCGATGATGTTGACCCTGATTGGGTATACTGAGGATTTCCCACTGAGCGCCTTGGCTGACCCCGGCCAGATTGTCCCGCTCCAGGGGGTGGATCATTAGGCAACCTCGAATTCATCTGCATGGCGCTGTGAGGCTGGTAATATTGGGTGGGGGAGAAAAAGTATCTGCTTACTGACGACTTAAGTCGATGTTCCAACGGAGGAACTTCGTACCAATCCTCTCTTTTGACCGATCCAGCCCTGTCAACAGACTTAAGAGGATTAATTTCGGGAGACGAAGAATGGTGCAATTCGTCGCGAGTTCTTAATTTTGAATTCTTGGAAGGGCCGAGCACGCTTTTCTCCCCATGCAGCGAATCTGATCCCACGCGCACACGTGTGGATCTTCGGCGCGGAATGGGCGGCACGGAAGGTTTTGGGGAGGGTGTTGATCGACCAGATATTGTCATTAGCTCTCCAAAAGGTGGATGACAGCCTGAGGTTTCACCGAAAAAAAAGTCGTGTTTAAATTGAGGTCCCGAGAAGATGCAACAAGGGCGGGCCTGCGAGTATTTATGGACACGGCAGAAGATCCGTCCGAGAATCAGGTTGGAGGTTAGAGACAGGGTGCGAGGCGGAGCCGTTGCCGACACACAAAGACGAGAAGATGCACCTATAGATAGTGGTTGTCTCAGAACCCTCCCTTAAGAGAATCAGTGAAGCCATTGGCAGCAGCATGGCGTCAATCCGACGAATAGGATGGCGCTGAAATGTCGCCACTTGGCAAAAATATTGCGACAGATCCTTATGTAAGCAAGTCGTTCGCATGAGAATATTGTTGTTGCACGTGGAGGCGATCCCAGGCGGAGTTCGAGATTTGCTCAACGCCGTAGATCGACGAGAGTGAAGCACTTGAGTGGTTAAACGGACATGCAGCCTCCTGGCCACTTCATTCTATTTGGCTCAACAGGCCCTTCGGGGTTGAAGATCATCGAGCTAGGTAATGACGTCGGAGATATTGAATGCTGATGACATTCACCTCACACTCTTTTGCTTTCATCCAAAGCTCTTTCTCGAGGAAATTATCTCACACTTTACGTGCGGTCCCCTGACAAGCTTCCTGAAGATGTACGAAACTCCCCTTTGGTCCGCGTCGTAGTCGGACAATTGGATGACGAGGCCGCACTGGAGTCGTGCTTTTCGAAACTGGAAGATTTCCCTGTAGTGAAGGGCATCATCTCCGTGCTTGGCGCAAAGGTTGGCCAGCCACAGGGAAACCCTATCACGAAAGGATACGAAATCATATTCAAACTGATGAAAATGCATGATATAAAAAATATCGTACTTCTTTCAACCGTGTCTGTAAAATCGCCCAAGGATCATTTCTCACTCGTTCGTGAGTCCCTTGTAGCAGGCATAAAACTCATAGGTCATTCGGCTTGGGAAGGTATAACTGTTCCGCTCACTTGCCCAAGAGAGTGGGATGCTAACCTCCCAACCCCCTGATAGACGTGGTGGCGACCGGAGAGCTCGTGCATTCGGAGGCATCGGATGGTCTGAACGTGACGTTGGCGCGAGTTCCAACGTTGAACGATTCCAAAGGAGGTTCATTGAAGGTAGGATTTGTAGGAGATCGGTATGTAGGATGGTTGCTTTCGAGGAATGACCTAGCGACGTTCTTTGTCGGAGAGGCCGAAAAACCCGAGTGGGCGGGGGAAATTCCACTTCTGAGCTCTTGAAAAATTTGTGTGGCGGATCTGTTCCGCCCCCTCGTGATTACGTGGCAGTGCTGCTTTCTCATTGAGGTGCTTGGGAAAAGCGATAGAGCTCATTGTACTCAACCCACATTTTGCAAGCCAGTAGTACTACTATTATGCCTGCTTGCCTTCCGGTGATCAATTTCTGAAGTGCAATCGATCGCCAAAGATCTTGTATTGAGGAGACTCCAAGTATGGTAATCTCCTACTCGGACATGTCTTTACCATCCCATTGCCACCATCTCACTCTCATCAGCTAAAATTCCGACATCGAGGGCACAAATCGCTGTACGTCTCATCACTACACTTCTTCACAATTCGTCCACATGCTTGAATCATTATTACTGTTATTCAGAAGGTACGTATTAAATATCTCGCGACACCCACCCACAGCTGCATGCTCGAATCCCTGACAATGAAAAAAGCGAAAAAAAACGTACCGAGATTGAAGGTTCATTGTGATTTCATGGTGCGGTGTCCCTCCACAGCGTTCTGCAGCGGATAGGAAGGCTGTTAACTTTACAAAAGTCTATGAAAAAGTTTCGTCATACGTCCCATCTTCGCAGTACGGACTCTTCTTCGTGAACCAGGGAAACTGCATTACCGAATGACTGCACGATTCCTTTTAATGATGCCTCCAAGAACGGGCTGAAATCCTGCTTCCAAAAACGCGACCGTATCGACGTGACCAGTCTCCTGTGAAGGACTAAATGTAGCGAACGCGATAACAAATGACAAAAAAATAGACCTTCCGACCTGAAGATCACCTTTGCATACATGATCTAGGTGGGAGGACCTAGCGCACAGGGGATTCTCAATACGTGATAAGGCACTGTATAATTTTCATAGCCTCGGCCCGTTGTCAAGTAAGCGTTGAACAGCCACTCATACAGTAATAAATCCTGTCAATGACAAAGTTGACACATTTGGCAGGCACCGGCAGTGTCACGACTCTCCGCAAGCATGCCTCTCTATGTTATGTTGAGCAGGAGAGCAACTATGAAACAGCGAACTTGAAGCTGAACCGAGGCACGCGGGAACGGCGGCCGAACAGCAAGTGATGACTCACCAAATTGAACGAAGGAAGGCCATTAATTCTCCTCATGATCAAATCCGGGTGATTTCGCTTTTGTTCCGAGTATCTATTCTGAATACCGTTTGCCCTGCCAGTGCGCTCTCACGAGCCGCCCGCCCGAAGGCTGTGAGTGAAATAGCCAACGACGACTACTACGGAAAAACGACACCGTTGAGGATGCTGCTGGACTCGATATTAACTCTTCGAGCATTGATCAGCCATTTTTCCCCGTGGCAGCGTCCTTTCGAACTGCTTGGGCAACCAGGTCTTCGAACTTCCCAGCCGCAAGACATCTCTTCGCCGCCAAAACGCATAGCCGTCGTGGGTGCCGGAACGGCAGGTCTCTCGTTCCTTAAAGTCAGCCTGGGGTACCAGCGAGAGCGTGATGTCAACTGGGAAGTTGTCCTGTACGAACAGCGCCACGATATAGGTGGCGTATGGTATGTGGTGGCGTTTTTCTTCAGTTGTCATGCATGTAGTGTTGATCGTATGAACTACAGGCTTGAGCAAGTGGTCAAGCCTGAGCCCCCTCTTCTACCAGAGACTCCGCTTTACCCCAACCTTCGTACGAATTCGCCGCACCCCGTTAGTGAGTATGCACCCCTCCCATCATTCTATCGTCGCTCTACCTCGTCAATTTTAGATACCTTTCCGAACTTCCCATTCCCCGCCGAACTGGACTTATTTCCTGGCGCGCAGTCCTTGTACCAGTACCACAAAGATGTCGTCGCGCACTACAACCTTACTGGCTCGATTCATTTGCGGCATAATGTCACTACCGCTCGCTGGTTTGGTAATGCTACCCATGGCCATTGGGGACTTACCATCCAAAGACCACGAAAAACTTGCCCATCCGGGACTATGCAGAATCCCACCCATTTTTGGTGCTCAGTCTTACAGGGCTCAGAACACGATTTGGAGACTATATACGAAAACTTCGATCACCTCATCGTGGCACCGGTCAAAACCGGTACCCTCTTGTGGATAACTTTCCCGGAAGAGATGACTGGCTATTGAAAACTGATCCTGAGTCTCCGTTCCGGAGAGACATACGACATTCTATCTACTTCAACGGCCCAGAACCTTACGTAAATCGCACTGTTCTTATCGCCGGGGGTAGTGTTAGTGGCATGGATATTGGGAACCACATTACCCCATTCGCTGCCAAGGTACACCACTTCTATTTTGTCTCCGTTTTGCCTTGGCATAATTAATCGTGTTGGCGATAGGCATACATTGCACGATCGGCAGGGATGAAAGGCGACCCGTCGAACCATTTCCTTATTCCAAAGCCTCGATTGTCACACTTCGATCGTGATGCCATTTATTTTGAAGATGGATCCTCCGTGACAGATGTTGATAGCGTTATCCTTGCAACTGGATACCGCTATATCGTGCCGTTTCTGATTGCTGGAAATGCACTTGTTATCGACCCCAATGCAAGATCACACAACACTTCACACATCCATCCGCCCCCTCTTCTACGGCTCACGAGCAACGGAAAATACATGCATCCTCTTTACAAACATACGATGAGTTTGAGCTCCTATTTCCCTCCTAGCTCTCTTTTTGTCTTTGCACTGCCGAGGATTCCTCCACCTGCGCTCGGAGATTCTGCTCAAGCTATTTTCGCTACCCGGGTTATCGCCGACCCATCTCTCGTTGCCAACAGAATTTCACTCCTTCGGGAATTGGAGGAGGATGAGGAACGTCTTCGACGGGCAGGATATGATCCCGATAAGCGAGCACATACGCTCGTCGATCTTGGCGATCTTGGCCAAGCGTCGAACCTCTGGATGGAGAGCCTTATAGATTTCCTCAAGGAGAGGAACGTCACTGGACTACCATTGCCTGGAAGTGGTGGTCGGTACGTCGATGATTGGCGGAGAAAGCATGGGGATTTGCGTGCGCTTGTCGGAATGTTGTTCACTTGGAGGGAGGTCGAGAAACGTGGTGAATCGGAAAAGCTGCTCGCTGGGAGGAGGACAGAGAAAGATTGGGCTGAACTGCTTGACTATCTGGAGACACATCCGTTGCCTCCTACTCCCATCGAGGTTGATCCAAAAGTTTAATGAGACGTTGCGTCACAGCTCAATGCCTCAGCACGATATTACAATCTGTTCAGGTCAGTGCGCATTTGGGTTTGTAGACGGGCGCCTTGGTCAACTCATGATCGTGGAAAATTTAATTCGAGGGCTGGTATCATACCACTGGCACATAAGGTCCCATTCTCCTTTGTGCGATTCGAAGCACTAGTTATGCATTCTCCTTGGCCGATGAGCTAAAGCTGAATGGAGCTAGCTGTTGCATCTTTCGATAGTTGCAACACATCGGAGAATAAGAACATCATAATTGCCAAAGTACATTCAAGTCCTAAGTGTATGCATTGAAAGTCAATCAGCTAGGGATGCGGAGTCCTAGACAGTTTTTCGATCCTAGAGATGAATACCATGATGGCTAAGTCCTGGAGGATCAACGGCACCATGCTCTGCCTACTGGCCTCCTTGCCTTGCCTTGCCTTCTCACCTACATTTGGTTCATCCTTCAAACTGAGTGCATCGTGAGGCATAAGTGAACGCTCTAAAAGTATTTGGTAGGATTCCAGATCCGCCTCTTGAATCTGCTTGAATGTTTTGCATGAGAGGCCTGCCAGCCAGATATCAAAGGTAGTAAACCCGCTGAAATGATGCTGGACCTCAGGCCATTGCCTGAAGACTACAGCAGGTTCTGGAGAAGCCAAGTCAAATACCACTCGGATAACCGGCTTCAGATCCGCCGCTTCTGGCTTCGGAATCACACTTGGCCCTGGGGCCATCTTCCTTTTCTTTTTCTTGGGCTCCGCCAGCTCTGTGATATTCGGCTCCCCTGAAGCCTCAGCAAAGTCGGAGTCGGAGGTGGAGAATAGTACAGCACGATCCATCGTATCAAACAATGACGATTTGAGTGTTGCCTTGTAAGTCGGCGCATTCTTCACCTGGATGACCATGGCCGTCATAGAATCTGGGCAAAGATTTCGTGTCGTGTGACAAATGGGCAAAACAATATCAATGCCTTCTTGATTAGTCGCACACAATATCATCGCCCCACGCGTAACAAATTTCCACAGATGGTTGCTTGAGATCATCTCCTGTGTCTCGATCTTGATGACATGGTTAAACCACATGCCGTAGTCCTTGAATATCGCCTGGAATGTGTTGTCGCGATTCTTGGGCCCATCCTTCACGAGCCAAGATGTCGGGCTGGATTGAAGGAGCATCTCATAGTTCCACGTCGGAAGTAAGGCCTCCATGAAGTTGGCCACAGACACCCATCTTCTACCACTAATTTCCCGTGCTGCGTCGTATGTTTGCATGATCAGCAGAGTCGCAATTAGCTCACCACGCCGCCCACGGTCGATGCAGTTCAGATCCGAATGGTTCGCCAAATGGTGCACTGCGTTCCTATGCGTATCCCTCATGAGTTCATAGGCAGCCTCAGCCAGAAGTGGTTCGGACCCAGGAATGGTAATCAATTCCTCGAATCCAGCAGTCGCTGAGAGGCAGAGTCGCATATGCCGTTCAACCTGGACACAGCTTACAGCGTGGGCTGAAACGTCTGTGTTGAACTCCAGCGCTAAACGTACGGAGAGGCAGGCAAGGGCACCAGCCGAATTGTCGTCCCTCAGCTCATTTGGCCCGTTCAGCAGCTTCTGCCTCGCAGAATCCAGAATCGCTAGCTCATCTGGGAACTTATCCCAATAAGACCCGAATCTACTCGAGGTGGTAAGAAAGCGGCTCTCTGAAGGGATGACTGGGGTGAACATACAATGGGCGTCCGAGATGGGAAATCCAATCGGTTTCTACCACTCTGTGTATCGTAACGGTATCCTTCAATGCTGGGTACGCAAGATCGTCGAAACTGATTTCGGAAATCGGATTCAGGGACGGTTGTCGGGTTCTCTGACCCGAGCTGAAGGATCAGAACGGATCTCTGGGGAGAATTTATTGAAGCGCCCCGCTGTCGAAAGAAAGATTGAGAATATTGGGAAGTCCTGGATTTGTCGTAGAGTTCGACGCAACTCTGAGAACAGATTCCAGTCTGTTTGACGTGGGTTATCAGTGAGGGCATGAGCCTCGTCGAAAGCGAGGACCACCAGAGGTCGTCGTGGGCCATGATTCGATTCCAAAATCTTATGTTCATCTATGAAGCGACAGAGGCTTTCGCCTGCATCGAGTGGGCCCTTTCCTGCCTCTTGCAGGCCCTTGCCTCCCATAACGTACCATCCATATTGCCGTTCTGCTTCGTCCTTGACCCATGTGCTGCCTTGCACAAACTCGAGAAAACGTCATTCTCACAAAAACGGTGAAGGACAGGAATTTACCTCATCGGCCAACTTGATTACCTCATCGTAGAAAGTGTTTCGATGGGTACCCGAAGCATGATATAATTGACCGTAGTCATATGCTCGCGGAAGGCAGATGCCAGCCTCCTCTGGCGATCTACAACCAATGGCATATAGTCCTGCAGCTTTTCTTTTGACGATTCCCAATTTAAACTTGGTAACTCCATATCTGCAAAGCCATTAGCAAATAATCCGATGAGGGGTCGGAAGATAATCACCTTGTTTCTCTGACACGATGGTCTTCAGTGTTCTGAGAGTGACCACTAAGAGAGAAACAAGAATCCCCGTAACCTCTTCTGAACGGTATCCCTATTGCGTATCTGAGAAACAAGCCAATCACGGAGTTTCATATCGGGAGGAGGCATTCCTATGGAAGTCGGATTAAGCCATACTTATAAAGAAAAGGCAGAACGAAGGACCTTTGATTCCCGGACGTAAAACACATAGGCACCGTTATAATTTCCTTGCCAAGCTCGTCCACCATACGAGACTTGCCGGTTCCAGATGAATTTATGATAGTCGTTAGCCTAGCATAAGGAGTTTTATCCTTGGAAAGGTCATCCGCATAGTTTCGAAAAGCACATTTGCGAGGTCGCCTTTGAATTCACCGCTCCATGCTGTGTGGTGGCTGTTGTCCGAGTCAGAGGGGGTCAACAAAAGGATTGAATTCACTGCGCACCCAAAGCTGAGTTCGAAGTGTAAATTAACTCAGCCTCAGATTTCAGAAAAGCCTCTTAAGACAGAATATGATAACCAAGTGCTTGGCATCAAAAGGTAGAAGGCAATGCACCATGTTTAAATAAATCACTCCAGGGAACCTGGTTGTTCGCCATACTGAAAAGCAACTTGACAAGTTCCAGCTCTTCATTGCTCCCAGGCTTGACATAAGCATCGAATTCGGTCTCATTTCTAAGACGGCCCTTTAAGTTTGGATCAGTGGCAAGAGCCCGGTGGACAGTGAACCAGGCACGGCCAGGTTTCGCCGAACCCGATCGACATTGTCATCGGGTTGAAAGCTTCGCCAAGGTAATAAGAAGCGTCCTCCAATGCGGTTGGCACTATTAGATGGATGGAGTTCAGGTGAACCCCCAGGCACCTGCTGAGGCCTCTGGCTGGAGGACATGATTTTGGGAGGGAGTTGGGATGGCCCATGACATGCGTGACGCGTAACGGAGGGTCCTCTGTAACTTAGGGTCCTTTTTTCCCATTCTGACCATACGACTGACAGCAGAGATATCTCCGTGTCTTCGCTTTGTAAAGTCCATCTACTTACTACCTAAGGTGTGCTCTTTTTTTTTTAAAGCATAAGGCTTGACATTTGTATGTATAGGAGCTTAATCGCATTTATGACGTTTGTCACGGCAAGGGTGATACAGTCGAGTCCGGCCAACTCCGCTATAGCCTATGCAATAATCACCGGGTGGGGAGCGGCCCAAGGGCAAAACGGGTACAACGATTTAGCGCTTGCGAAAAACGACAGATGCTGGTGGACTCGATATTAACCATCCCAGCCTTGATCGGCCGTTTCTTGTCACTGGCAGGGCAGTACCATCCGTTTGGAGTACCTGGACCTGAGCCGACTCGTTTGCAAGACAGTTCCTCGTCGCCAAAACGCATTGCTGTCGTGGGTGCCGGAACGGCGGGTCTTTCGTTCCTGAAGGTCAGCCAGACTATCAACGGGAGAACGATCATGTCAGCTGGGAAGTTGTCTTGTACGAGCAGCGTCACGATATAGGCGGTGTATGGTATGTTGCAATCCATCATTTTTTTTTCCCAGAGACTTCACAGATGTGATGCATACATTGCTGACTGTAAAAGAACTAACAGGCTCGAACAAAAGGTCAAGCCTGAGCCTCCTCTTATACCAGAGACTGCGCTTTATCCTGACTTCGCACGAATTCGCCTCATCCCATTAGTGAGTTTACACCCCCTCCTGTCATCAACCTATTTCCCACAATTAATGTTTTCATCTCATCCATTTCTAGATACTCATCCCCACCTCCTCTTCCCTCCCGAGCTTGAACTTATTTCCACCCCACAATCCATGTACCAGTACCACAAAGATGTCGCTGCGAACTACAATCTCACTGGCTGGGTTCATTTGCGGCATAATGTCACTGTCGCCCGCTGGTCCGGTAATGCCACCCACGGCCATTGGGAGCTCACCATCCGAAGACCACGAACAAGCCTGCCTGTGACTGCGCAGGAGCCCGCCCGTTTTTGGTACTCGGTCCTGCTGGACCCGGTAGATGAATGGAGACAATATACGAGAAATTCGATCATCTCATCGTGGCCACTGGTCAAAACCGGTACCCTCTTGTGAACGACTTTCCCGGAGAGATGACTGGCTATCGAGCAGTGACCCCAAATCCCCGTTCCGGAGGGATATACGACATTCTATGTACTTTATGGGTCCAGAACCTTATACAAACCGCACCGTCCTCGTCGTCGGTGGTGGTGTCAGTGGCATGGACATTGCGAACCACATTACCCCATTCGTTACCAAGGTACACCATTTCCATTTTTTTTCTTGTCGACTTTTTTTCTGGTATAACTTGTGTTGTTGTGATAGGTATATATCGCACGGTCGTCGGGAAGGAAAGGCGACCCTCGAATCCATTCATTATTCCGAAGCCTCGATTAAGAAACTTTGATCGTGATGCCATTTACTTTGAAGATGGATCCTCTGTGACAGATGTCGATAGCGTTATTCTTGCAACTGGATATCGTCATATTGTTCCCTTTCTGAGTGCGGGAGATGCACTTGTCATCGACCCGAAAGCAAAATCACACAACACTTCACATATCCATCCACCACCTCCTCTGCCACTGACGAGCAACGGGAAATACATGCGCCCTCTTTACAGGCACACGATGAGTTTAAGTTCGCGCTTTCCTCCTAACTCCCTTTTCGTTCTTGGGCTGCCAAGGACTCCTCCACCTGCCTCGCCGATGCTGCCCAAGCTATTTTTGCTACTCGGGTTATCGCCGATCCATCTCTCGTGGCCGACAGAATTTCGCTCCTTCGGGAATTGGAGGAGGACGAGGAACGTCTTCGACGGGCAGGATACGATCCCGATAAACGGGCCCATTCGCTCATTGATTTTACCGGACAATGGCAAGAAGCGAACATCTTCATGGATGGTATCATAGATTTTCTCAAAGAGAAGAACGTCACTGGGCTACCGTTACTTGGAAGTGGTGGTCGGTACGTTGAGGATTGGCGGAGAAGGACCGACGATTTGCCTACACTTATCCAGATGTTTTTCACTTGGAGGGAACTTGAGAAACGTGGTGAAGCGGAAAAGATGGTTGCTGGGAGGAGGACGGAGGAAGATTGGATTGAACTTCTTGATTATATGGCGGCACATCCGTTACCTCCTACCCCCGACGAGTCTGATCTAATCATTTGATCCTTGCAAAAAAAGTCTTCTTAGTACAGTAGATACAATATTAGGGTTTTCAGTGCCTAGTCGCCCGAGAGCTATTGTAATTTTACCATCATAACATTATCGCACTCCCATCTACTTTAGTAGAGGCTGGGATCCTGCCTAGCGCTCCGATGCCTGCTGGGTCAACTCATGATCGAGGAAAATTCAACTCTGGAGTTGTTGGCATCACAGCCACTTGCTCATTGATCTTGTTCGCGCGTCCAGTTGCCGTCTCGGCGATGGTGCTTGGCTAATGGGTTCGTAGTAGAGGTAGAAGCTGCCAACTCAGCCTTTCCTGGCCTGCGCAGCCGTGGGCGACGGGCATCACAGCTCGTGTTCGCATGCTCAAGAACCCGGACTCTGGTTCCACGCTCAAATTTTGTTGGAGAGATGCTCGGCGACTTCAAGTCAGTGGTCACCTCTCTCCGCCGCTCTTTTTGGGACCACTTACTTTGACTCGATATGCTCCAAATGAGCCTATTGCTCGGCAGAAACCTCATGGGCTTGGGCATGTTACATAAGAAAGTTAACGCTGTTGTCGGTGACGGAACGGCCCACTGGACAGAGCTCCTTGAAATTAGTCTCCGAGTTTCAAGGAGACCAGCAGAGGACATTGAGGACACCTACAAGGGCTTTGTCCGGCATTCCTGACGAGGAGCAAACAGAAACAACTCAGGTACTAGGAGGTTTGTCCTTGCGCGGACAACACCTCACTATTGGGGTCATAGTCATATAATAGGTTCTATATCTCCCTCGCAGGTGAATCGTATGGAAGAACATACCTGGGCGTCCTAAGGCGGGCGTTTTAAGAAACAAGGCGTGGGGCTCGAGGGCGTCGTACTACGCGCATGACATGATGCTACCTCGGGCTGCCAGATCGGTGGATCTGCTGGAGTGTCAACAACTGAATGACCAATCATGAACGCTTGAGGCAGCTAGCGGGTTGAAGTTGCGTCTTTCGAACGCTCTATGGCTACAGCAGGAAGGAAGTGAGGGGTGGAAACCATTCCCCGAGAACTTCGTCCGTGGCCATTGAAGTGACTGGTCGCTTAAGGGTCACTTGGCTTCCATCGTTAGATCTTGCTTCAGGCTTGATTTAGTGGTTTCGCACGGATTTAGGCGCCGCAAATCCGCTGCGGAGTTGAGTCCAATACGGACTCGATATTCCGTTCCGTCAAGATGTCATCCACAATTGGCTTGATCTGATTTGATCGCATATATATCGGGAATAACTCGACGATCGACATTTTGGGGAGCGCTTATTGTTACTTAACGTACTATAGCCGCATTTAGTCAGAGTAGTGGACGCGGGCTCCGTACCTCCTTGGTGGAATTTGTGCTCCTGTCGCCATGGCTGGTCCGGGTCGTACTCCTGTATACACTCGTGTCAACATGGCACATCCGGCCCGTCCGTCAATTTGAGGATTTTGGTCAGCGTGGGTCACTGAGAAAATCTGGTTGAAAAAATCCACTCCTATCCGCACCGCTGATCCATCCTCTGCAGTCGATGAGGGAATTTGGTTGGGAAAAAGTCCACTCCTGCTGGCATGGCAGAGTGTGTATTTGGATTTTTAAAAAATGTCCACTCCTGTCAGCACGGCTGCTCCCGCCCTTTCCGTCATTGGTTGGAAAAATTCCTCTCCTGTCAGCATGACTGATCCGTAATTGAGGGAATTTGGTTGAAAAAGTCCACTCCTGTCAGCACGGCCGTCATTAATGTGAGAGGATTTGGGTAAACAAAAAGCATGGCTGGTCCGGTCCCTGCGACATTGAGAGAATTTAGTCAAAAAAGTCTACTCCTGTCAGCGTCCCTCGTCTGGCTATTGTACCATTGAGAGAGTTTGGTTCTTCCTGTCGGTATGGCTGGTCCGGCCTCGACCTCTATATCTTGGGGGCTGGTTACCCTGTACAAGTCACCGCGTGTTTCCTCACTCTCGCACCTCTTGCAGGCTTGCCAAAGATGCTGCTCAAGTCAATCTTGGCACTCCCAACCTTGCTCGGTGATCTTCTGTTATGGGGGTATTCGCTTAGAGTGCCCGAGCAGCAAACTCTCCAAGTCCATCAGTCGCCAAAGCGCGTAGCTGTCATAGGTGCCGGAACCGCAGGTCTCTCGTTCCTCAAAGTCGTCAAAGACTAT